TTAACATCATCTGAGACTAAATTCATGTTGATTACTATAAAAACATAAACTATTCAATAACCTTATACGATAATATAACAACAGAGATAAACTAATTCTGTATCGTAAACCTAAAATTCACTAATAATTAATAAGTCGATGTTTCAAATAAACAAATATCAAGTACACAAATATACCAAGGGTCAATATTTAGTACTAATATTAAATACGAATAATTTATCAACATATGACTAGTTAATTTATCAACATAAGATAAAGTTAACGACTTGAGCTTACATATAATAATAATACATAACATTCATTTATACTTTATATTATGTTGAACAATTAACTCGTTATAGTAATCAACATGGATTTAGTCTCATATGATGTTAATTGCTGATGATGACCGTACATATAATTCATCACAAACATCTCATGAATTACAACAAGGTCGAAAATGCCAGGATTTTGTAAAACTTCATATAAAACTGCCGATTTATTACCACCAAAAAATCATTATCATTATTATTTTGATCTATCCTTATGAAAATAATTGCTGAATTCCTCCCAGTTTTTGAATGTAATATGATAGTTCCTTATGGTACGCTCGCTCAATGCTGACAGGGTGTAGATGGGGAAAGATTTATACCAACACTCCACGCACCTTTATTTCATAATTTTAATTGCTATCAACTGTGTAATACTATAAAGTGATGATTTGCTTTTCAATAGAAATTTGATTTTTCCACTTGAATATTATCTGATATTTTACGATAAAGAAAATCTATCAGAGCTAGCAAGAATTTATGGTTGAGATGCTGGATTAAAAATAGCAGTATGATTAGGAGAGCGAATCATCGATGCCACATTTCTTGGTGGCGATGTTGCAATTGATAATGAACCAGAACTTCTCGGTAAACATATTTTGTTGAGCAAGGAAGAGCGAATTCTCGAGTATATAATTAAAAAAATATGGTTTATTCGAATAAAAATTTACAATATATAACACTACGTTCTCACTTAAACACAACGCTGTTGCTTATTGAATGCATTTCATACGAAGAAGTTTTGAAGGGTTTTTTTCCAACTTTGCATGTGTTCATATCTTAGAAATGATAGTCTAACTGCTACGGATAGCACTCAGCTTTACTTTAAATGTATATTTATTTAACAAACATATGCGCATGAACATTTTCTATCTTATCTCTTATCTACAAATATAGATACATCTCGCACGTTTGTTTCTTCATGCTGTCTATAGCTAATCTATTGATAGCTTTTGAGTCATATTCTTCGAAATATGATGAGTTATAACACTAAGATGAAATCATAAAATACTTTTCATAGCTCTTAGAGAAATCAGACAAAATAAATTTATTTGAAAAATGAACATTATCATATATCTTCATTAGGCAGATCTGTAAGAAAAAATAGAAATACATATTAGTTTTACATTAATTGTTTATATCAGAGCCCCAAACAGGCCACGTCTTCGAGGTCTGTAGGCCTGTCAGCATTTTATAGCTAAAACAAAAATGATGCGAGGCTAGAAACTAGATGTACATACAGAGCACCGAGTGTACTTTTATACCTGGAAGTAGCCGACCTGTCATAGACATAGACCACGAGTTTCAGACCAGTACTTATCAGAGGTTCAAGCAATTTTTGGTCTGTTGGCCTGTCTGAGCCTGCCAGTTTCACTGCTCAAATAATCGTGGTCTATGCCTATGATAGGCCGGTTATCTCCAGGTATAAAAGTACACTCGGTGCTCTGTGTGTACCTCTAGTTTCTAATCTCTCATCATTTTTGTTTTAGCTATAAAATGCTGACAGGCCTACAGGCCTCGAAGACGTGGCCTGCTTGGGGCTCTGGTTTATATTTCTTGAACCTGCTAGCTTCAGTGCATGGATTAATCCATTGCTGAATTCGATTTGCTTTTTTAACTATCTTGTTCAAATAAATAAATACTCTCATACCATGCTACTCCTTGTGATGCGAAAGTGTGCAGTAGTAAAGTGATTTTATTGATGGGTCCATCATCAATTACGTCGATGATTGATAATGATTCTCTGTGTCAAGTCAAACAGAGTAGAGACATCAATTTGCTAGGAATTTACCAATCTACTCAAATACATTCATGTTGGTTTATTCTCTACAATTGATAGGAATCAGTACAGTACTCTTTACAGTATATGTTCGCTCATTCCGAGTGGATTGATTCTTTTTTCATTCATATCATACCAGTGTATGGATTGATAAAATAATAATAAAATTTTTTAATCATGGGATTTTTTTCATCACTATTAGTTTTTTCCCTTAATTATTATTGTATGTCAACAGTATGCGTACTTCGTTGAAGATGTTGAATTCTATTTTATATAAAAGAGGCGTGAAAAAAAGCAAAACAACCATTCATTTTTGTTTTTTTATTTACCTCCATCAAGTAACCGATGATAGATAAGTACCATTAAATTTTCTTTGGTTGTGATATTTTTTTCTCGGTCGTCAGTTTTGCCTGAGTCGTTTATCTTTCGTGCAAACACGTAGCATACATTTCGAGGAAGTGGTAGAAAAGGCAATCCCACAAAATAGTATAAACACTAAAATACCTACGCCTTTTTCTATCGATTTTATCCTTAACCAAGTAGAGTTCGTGATAAGTAGCTGCTCAGGATGTCTTTGTCATAACTATTTACTTGCTTTTTCTTTTATATAAATCATGTCGTACTAAAGTAGCAGAGATTTGTTTTTCATTGAAGTGTACACCAGCTAGATATACGTAGAAGTAGCCAACGAAGTAATGTGATATTCACTGATACGTTTTTCTATCGTTCGTTGCACATATCAAAACAAAAGCAGAAATATTTCGTGTGCTATCTCTTCGTAATATTCTCGTTTGCTTTCGATTCTCACGTTACAATCATAAATTATCGGATAAGAAATCAGTTTGCCAGCATACAGCAACATATAGTATACTTCTAGACATAAATATCTGGACGAATATTTATTTTATGCGCCTACGGCACTGATTTTGTCGTTACTAAATACAAAATTTTATTTGATACGTGGCATTTTGATGAAGCAGTGGTGGGTTTCAGCTCTGGCATAGTCATCCTTCTCTCTCAATCACACTGCTTCAAAAGTAGTAAAAAAGCGTACACAGATCAGTGATATTTTTGTCCTATGCAGTAAGTATTCAATCTGTGGATGTACCGTGAAAGTGACAACTGTCTTTAGCTTTTAAGGAAAAAAAATGACTTTAAGGAATCATACCAAGTCGAAGCTTGAAATATCTTGTGGAATATTACTTTTCTTTTAGAAATAGTCTTATAAATCATTGTATTTACCAAGATTATTTTTTTTATCAAGTAAACATATTTACGTTTAGCATCTGCAATAAATGTGCAAGAAAACGCGAACCAAGCTCGAAACTTAGCCAACCCAATGCTCTGTTAAGAAGTGTCACTCCTAAATCTATCAAGCAATGCAATATTGATCAAATGGTAGAAACATCTGGTCAGAACTTGGCACCAAGTACCATATTCGGATACAATCGTAGTCGTGAATTTTTTAAGAGCACTTGATTGACTTCTGAAGACAGAAGTCAAAGTGAAAACAATTTTTTTGCCGAACTATCAGGTTCAGAAGAGAGGAACGCACGGAAAACAGCAACATTAAGAGTTGACAATTAAGACAAAATTGTTGGCTAAGTAAGCTTCCAAATTCAATACAATGATGAATCGTACGCTAATGTTATTGTTCCAACTGGTTATAAGTTTGGTAAGAAAAAATTAAAACAACTATTACAAGAAAGTTTTGAAAGGCAAATGAGAATTGAAATTGTAATGAACTAAAGGATCTCTGTTAAAAATAATCATTATTCAAGAAACCTAACAGTTTTTCACTTCCTTCCATCGAATTAACAAAATATCCGTATATTATCTTGTATCTTTTTATAAATAAAATACTAAAGTATTTTGCTTTACACTCGAAGCAGTGTTTAAAATTTCACAAAAAAAAAAACACTTTAAAATTTAAAAACTATCTGTGAATCAGAGAACGTTTCAGTGGCTTTCAGAAATTTGTAAAAACTAACAAACTTCGATCTTATTTGAGAGTTCCGTCAGATGCATTGATGATTGAGTAAAATTAAAGACGATTTTGAGAATCGGTGGTTATTATTCTGTAATATGCAACGAACCTCTGCTAATCGAATGAATTCAATGAATATGTGAAAATCGATATGTTAAGATTGTTGAGCATCTTAAAAGGGTGTAATTTTTTAATTGATGCTAAAAACTTGTTTTGGATACGTTCCGTTTGTCGTTTTCTTTTCTTGATATTTTAAATGTTGCATTTTCCCGATAGCAAAGCAGTACTTAGTTTGTATGGTTCACTACTCTCTGTGGATGAGCTCCGATGTATGCTCTATGTTAATATGTATATATCGATTATATTCATTTTTTCTATAGATTAAAATATCAGTAGCTAAAACATGATCATTACTAGGTATCATTCAATGTTTTGAAATGTACATAAGAAGGATACGTATGCGTCATAGAATAGACTATCACGTGAAAGTCGAATAGTTCAAACTTTTTTGTGTTCTTAACAATTAAAATGTTTTGATCGTCTACTACAATGATTCATGTTATAGTTTCATACGTGTCTGTCTTCGATTGGCCAGAAAAGAGAAAAACTCTTTCCGCAAAGTATTTTTCTTGCAAGACCGCGTACGAATGCAGTTGGAAAACGAAAAAAATGAATCAGTCTCTCATCTACCAATAAAAACAAAACAAGTCACAGGTAATAGAGGTGTTTTGGCATGACTATTTGTTGTACCAATAGAATTCGAGAGAATTCAGTGGGTTTTTTTCGCTATATAACGATATGATGCGCAGTTGTGTGTTAACTTTTTCTTGGTTGACTTAAATCTGCCAAGAAGCTATCTTGTTCAATATTTTCCATCTACTACATAAAAAAAGAAGAGATTTCACGCAGATTATGAATTAATAATATGGAGCTTAACAGTAAGTCTAGAATATACTCTGTAGTTTATTGTTATCTGTTTGCGTAGGATTCAACAATACATTGTCCGTACCAGCACATACAGAAGTCGTTTTCTGTAGCAACTCATTGAAATTTGATTCTAGGAATAATCAACATACATCGGTAGACCAAAAAGAAGTCAATCGATTTGGTCTTACAATTTTTAAACAAATCTATTGGACAGACATGCAAGTTTATTTACATCCAGTTTCTTCTTACTGGTGTCTTTTAAATCCTTCTGAAGGATTAAAGAGATCGAGGAAGGATGAGCGCTATGATCATATACAGCTGCAAGATCATAATATTATTTTGGCATTTGGTTCTTTAATTTCACCTCAGCAATTTAAGTGTGTTGCAACCAAATTTCAATTTGAAAAACAATCAAATTCAGACGGAAGCCTATATTTCGCAAAATATAATTCGTTTATCAGCATTCACATCGAACATGTGAAATTTCAACTAAAACGAGATCATATTGATAATCATCGTGGTGTTATCATTGATGTAAAATCTAGTAGCCATTTCATCATGCACATTTGTTTGAAAGGCAATCTTGAAGAGTATGCATGTCAAGATGAAGAAGCTGGTATGTTATCTCTAATAAAAGAAGAAAGAAAGATTCATTACCATCCAGCGGTGTAACCAGGATTTTTAGACCATTGGGGAAACTTCTATTAAGTCAAAAAAAAACCATAGGCAAAATTGGCAAGATTTTTATTGATAGGCCAAAATTTTTTAATCCAGCAAGGTATTGATAACGTAGAAAAAACACCAAAAAAAATGATGTTCATTTAACTACACCAAAAAAACATGAGATTCTTTTAACCTAATATATAGGAAAAGAATCTCAGATTTTAAGCCCGCCTCAGACTTGCTGAGTTAGACATATTTTATTCTATCTTCAGTTTCTATTTATAACATTTGGTTTTGAAATTTAAACACCAAAATCAAAACGACCACTGTGTATTTTTACATCAAATTTCAATATTTGGAAGAAAAGTGATAGCTTAATAACGAATTGCCACTGGCGGATCTACCATTGCAGCTAACCGGCGAGGGCCACACCCTTCATGAAATGTTTTCGACTTTTTTCAGCAGGAATTTAACAGAAAAGAGCCGTATTGCCTCAAATAGGCTTCAAAAAACACTTTTTGACCGGGAGTACCACCCCTTACTGATTTTCTGGATCCGCCACTGTGAATTGGTTCGTTTTCCAGTTGGCATAGCTTATTATTAGTCTTTTAAAACAGGACAAAAGAGAACAAAAAAATTATAAGCGTAAGTGCGTAATTTTATATAAGCATATGTACTATTGTGCATTATTCATTCTTTTTGTTCTGTTGTCTTATATTAATTCTTCATAAAAACCAGTAAAGGGTACATATGCGATTCAAACGAAAGATAAAAAAGACAGTAGCTAGTTTATTCAAAAGTAAATAATTGTAAAAAAGTAAAATTTGAATGGGCAAACATTAACTAATGAAAATTACAATGGGCAAGGCTCAAAATGAAATGGACAATTGTCCATTTGCCTCCCATGGTTACGCCGCTGTTACCATCTTATTTCTTGTATCCAACAAAATCATTTTGAAGAGAGAAAAAAACACCCATGCCTATTGTTTTTTTCACTCTTAAATATGAAAAGTTAAAGAAACATATTCAATTTGTGGTGATTCTTTCATTTCTTTTTTTTTTTTAGTCAAAGATTACAAGCGTCAATTTTGTCTGCATACTGCACGTGGTCAACAATGGCAGCCAAGCTTTTCAACCATGCGTTTGTCGATTAATAATATACAGACAAATGATGATTCAGTTCATAATGCTCTAAGTTATTTTATTCAATTTTTCACTTGCCATTCCATTCCGATACATTTTGGATCAATTAATTTTTCGAATAAGAACTCTATTTATAGAAATAATTTATTGAGATTTAAGCATACTTTTATTTTTGAATATGCCTTGGACATGCTAACTAGTGTCGGATGTCAAATATATGAACAAATAGTGAACAATCAGCGATTGGTTAAGTATATCAAAGAATTGTTAAACGACAACTACAGTGATAGTGGTGCTTATTATATCTTTGAACGACTGCGACGATTTGTATTGTCGTCTGAAAGTTATTTTCCTGAGCTTGCAAATGAATGGTCGACTATTAGGAATCGCTACAGTACTTTTTATCTCGGAAGTACTTTTTATCGAATTGATAATGCCTGGGAAAATTATGTTCGGATTCCATGGTTTTGCCTGACACCGACACGCCGAATAGTCAAGCCGTTTAAATTTATGCAATCCAATCGTGTATTCCGATATATATCTAATGTGCATGATTCTATGGCTATTGTAGAATTTCGTGATGATACTGGATCAGCGTATTTAGGCCAAGAACTTGTTTCTTTTTTGGAACATTATCTGACAAATGGGTTTTGGTTTGGTGACCGTCACTATATTCATTTACATCATGCGCAATCGAAAATAAGACAGAAACAGTTCTATTTTTATTGTGAAGCAGAAGGTAAAATGACTCGTGAAAAACTTGAAAGTTGGATGGGTAATTTTGATGACGAACGATTACCAGCGAAGAATACTGCTCGACGAACGCAACCATTTTCTAGTACAGAAGCTACCATCGAAGTATGAATACATGAATATGTTTTAATAAAGAAAAACCGTTCTTTTCTATTTAAAGATTGATAAAAAGTTCGTTGCTTCTATCCGAGATTTCAAGACAGAAGATAACAAATACAACTTTACCGATGGTGTTGGACAAATTTCCTCAGAATTGAATTTATTAGTAAGTGATGCATTTTGTTTTTGATCAGAATTATTCCTATATGGAATAGTATTATTGTTTTTATTTTATTTAGATTCACAAATCAATCGGTGTAGATGTTGATGGTGGCGGCTATGTTTCTAGCGTTCTTCAAATTCGTTATGCCGGTTGCAAAGGCACTGTTACTGTTAATCCATTGTTGGATGGTGAAACAAAACAATTGTTAATTCGGCCAAGCATGAATAAATTTAAGTGTGATCATCAAATGCTTGAATTGTGCAAACGTTCACTTAGACGTAAGTTAAAATTCAATTGCGAATATAATATTTATGACGTTAAAAAGTATTCTTCAGGTAATTTATGCCTTAATCGTCAAGTGATTAATTTACTTTCACACCGTAATATATCGAATTCGCGCATTCTTGTTCTCCAACTTCAAAACATATTATGGTTGATAAAGTCTCTTGTTTCAAATCAATCAGCTGTCAGTTTACTACGAGAAAAAATCCTGTCCATTTTACCATGGTCAGAAATTTCTGCTCATCTTCTTTTATGTAAAGAACCGTTTTTTCGTCGTCTTCTTCTTGTGGCTATTTCAAACAATCTTAATCAAATTGTAACACGAGCTCATATTCGTGTTCCAAAAGCTCGTTATATGTTCGGAGTTGTCGATGAATGCGAAGTGCTCAACGAAGGACAAGTTTTTGTTCAAATCACTCATGAAGATGGAACGAAAACTGTTTTAGAAGGATCTGTTGCAATTACGAAAAACCCTTGTCATCATCCAGGAGACTTGAGAGCTCTGCAAGCTGTTAATCATGAACGTCTTCATCATCTTTATGATGTAGTTGTCTTTCCGAAGCGTGGCCTACGACCACATCCAAGTGAAATATCTGGATCGGATCTTGATGGAGATGAATACACTGTCATTTGGGACCCTGAACTGGTACCAATTTCACCAAATCCAATTCCTTACGAATATGATGCTGGACAGAGCCCCAAACCTCTTAATCGTATTGTCACACGTGATGATCGAATCAAGGTACTTTTAGATATTTGCGAACAAGATAATCTTGGCCTGTTGAGTAATCTTCACCTTATTTTTGTCGATAAGTTTGGTATCGATAGTGAAGAAGCTACTAATTTAGCTGCTGCGATCAGCGAAGAGTTGGACAGCGTAAAATCAGGTCAACATCCATATACACCACAACAAATAAGGGAACTTTTGGATAAAGCAGGTAAAAGCCGACCTGATTTTATGCAAGCATGTAACTATGAACAGTATCCATCACAAAAAATACTTGGTAAGTCATATACATCGGAGTGTTACAGAAATATGAATAAATTTATAATTATTTTCGTTCTACGATAGGAAAACTCTTTCGAAGCGCTCGTTCTTTGAGTGATAGTTTCAACAATGTTTTTCCCAATCGTCAAAATACTAATGATGAAATTCTTCTTGATAATGCTCTTCTTCACAATGGTTATCAAGAATATGTTGATGCTGCTCGATCTCTTTATGGACGATATCAATATGAAATGTTCGAAATTATTGGTTCCTATGGGTTTTCAAATGAAATTGACCTTTTTTGTTGTATTGATTCATGCGAAATGAAGGCTAATGAGCGAAGTGACATACAACAAACAGCACAAAAACTACTGAAAGCCGTCTTTCGAGATATTCGACAGAGCTTTTTTGATGATATCGATTCATTTCAAAACTCAAAAGCAAAAGCATCTGCTTGCTATTATGTGGCATATACAGATAAAAGCTCCAAAGAGCAGCGCATGTTAAGTTTTCCATGGCTCTTTGCTTCTCAACTTCTTGCCAATGATACAAGTATGTTGGAAAATCCGCTCAGTCTTGATTCGTATTGGCAATGCTGCTTGAAAAAACAATTCCCATCAATACGAAATCTACGTCCGAACGATAACCAATTTATGTTTATGGAACTCTTTGATATGTATAGTAAAAATGCTTCTAATACGAACGACGAACAAATGATTAATAATGCCGAAATACTTATCAAAAATTTGATCACAGCTGCAAAATTTATACATTCGAACTAAAAACTAACTTATATAGAGTTGTATTACAAGTTGATGTGTTCATTGATCACAGCGTTTATTAAAACTCGATTTCAGCTGTTAATATCTCTTTATAGTCAAAAAACAAAAAAAATCGCCTATTGTTAAATCACTATTCTTATCATTATGAATTTTATTCAAAACTATTTTAATTATTCAATTTTAGTTATTCACCATATTCCATCTGATCAATATCTATTCAAAATTGTACAAATCAATTATTTGATACATGCTACGGAATGTTGATTTTTTCTAGGAAAATTTTGTACCTTTGATTTTCATAGAAAGAATTCGAAAATTACAATTTATTACATTAATAGCGAACCAGGAAGCAATCATCGATAATCTTTGTATTCAAGTGGATTACTCACGCCCTAAAATATACGTATTATATTAGCTAGAACTTGTTCGTGAATTCACATTCGATTTCAATTATGAACTATGCGTAACTAATTTCGATGATGAGCCATATAATATAATGTTATAATTGATACTCAAAAATTATGATCTCTAACAGAGTGATGCATTTAATCATTGTTTAACATATCTCAAGGACTCAAAGTTGAAAGATTTTGTTTATCTTTTACTGAACAAATTCTTCATTTATACAAGTTATACAATGTTGCAATTAAGTAATGACTAACAATGAATGTTACCTTGTTGAACTCAGATGATTTTCAGATTTTTTTTTGTTTAACAAATGATTAGTATTTTAAAATCTTAGCGAAAAAAGAAACGTCGACTAATTTTCATTTTCTCCTTCAGACTGCAACCACTATTCAGCACAAAAACAAAAATAGAAAAAGGGTTTTATTTTTGATGAAATCTTGCTTACTTTACCCTGAAATAAATTTTTCAATAAAAAAGAATGAATTGAAGGATATTAATGATTTTTAACTAAACAAATTCTAATTATACTTGTCTTTTGTAAAACTTACATCACTGATTAGTAGAATAAGACTCACATCATAGTGTGTTGTTATTTTGAGAAATGTAAATAATTTCTTTTCTACAATCCAAGAAGACTATGAAATGAGTGCCAATCTATAAATAGTTAATTTCATCGGATATGTTATGTACGATAATCCTTGATACTGAAAAACTTTGCTTAAGGTTTACTTGACGACAAACATTCTGAAATCTGAAATTATTATCTAAATTCTTTTTATTATTTGCTCAATTTGATTCACGAATATATACTTTAATGGGCAACGATTAAACAAAAGTAATCTTATCACCAACAGAGTTTTGTCATATTCTTGCGCACGCACACAAATGATTGTGTCATTATGCATCTTGCTTTTATCTTTGATAGCTGAGAGCAAATAAGAACGAAAAATAGTATATAAAAGTTGTACTGTCGATGTATTGAAAGACAAGACAGCTAAGAAAAGGAACAAGTCACATAAGATTAAGATAGAAATTTAAGCAATGCAAAACGATCCGAATAAAGCAGGTTTTAACAATTATGGGAATGTCTATGGTAACTCATACGAACCTATGCATCAACCACCGCCACCGGCAGGATTTGGTTATCCGTACGTATTATATTTAAAATACAATTTTTATTTTCCATTTTGAACGGCTATAATTCATTTTATAATTTTACTTTCAAGACCGAATAATGCCCCACCACCCTATGCACAATATCCGCAACAACCGCCTAGTTATCCAGTATCAGGTGGAGTTTATAATGGTTCAACACCAGCTTATCAACAACAACGTATTACTATTGTACCTACTTATCGACCAGTCTGGAATAATTTGATATTAACACCTATTACACCTGGTATCAAAGCATTTTTAGTCATTTCGGGCATTCTTTATCTAATATGGGGTATATTAGCTATTGGTTTTGAAATTGGTATCATTCGCTATTCTTATTGGAGATATTATACGGGTTTGTGGGCTGGTGGTTTTCTGTTGGGTGGAGGAATCAGCATGTTAATTGCAGCATGTAAACCATTCTTTGTGATGGCTAGTCTAATTCGAATGTTCATCATATGCTTGATATTTTGTATACTGGGACTCATATTATCGGTTGTCTATGTAGCTACATCAACTCGGTGTGATTCAATATCTTTTTGGTATTATTGTGACTATTCAATAGCAGCTCATCTAAAAGTAGCTATGTTGGCCCTTTTTATTACGGCTACTATTCATACGATTGTCAACATCATTGTGATTAATAATGCACGAAAAGCAACGGCATCAGCACGTAATCAAATTTCTACGTGATACGGCATGAAACAATTTTAATACAAATGTTTGATTAAAATCGACAATAGATAATTCTTTTTTACTTTAATATCTGATATGTTGATAATTATCTAAGAATTGTTCTATTTTTTGACTAATAAATACAACTGTTTTTCTTACTAATATAATTTTAGGTGTGAAGATGTTTATTTTTTCATACACTAGATTCTTTGTTTATTAAGATTGAATAATTCGGTAATATTTCGTAGCATTTAAATCTACATAAATAACTTCATTCAACATACAAAAATATTTTAATTTCATCATTCTAGTAATCGATCAATGGATTCCATGAGTATAGTTGGAAGAAATTCAGACATATTGTCTTTTCGAAACAATCTGTTTGTAATTGAAAAGAAAAATTTTAATTCCATTACACGACGAGAAATCAGTCTTTCATGTACTTCTATTTCAAAATCTAAACATGCATTTCATTTTGCTAAGATGATTTTCGATATAAACATAAAATATAACTGAAAAATACCGAATTTTTATGTTATTTTTATTTGTTGAATGTAAGCCGGAAGACTAATACCAGCTATGCGTAATGTTCCAAGAAAAATCTATCACCTTTACTGTGAGTTTTCTAACTGCATATAAGTTTCAAAAATTGTCAGTGGTAACTATAATTCCTCGGAAGAAATACTACTCTGGTTCATTTTAGTATCATTCTTAGGATGTGCTGACGGTTGGGTTATAAGATGACTGCTACTATCAGTAATTCTTTCAATGTCTAAAGACAGAATATGATCTTTTTCTCATTGTATGCGTGTGGAACAAACGACACGAATTCGTTCATTAATAATTTATTGAATAAACTTGAATTAAAGATAAGAATGATCGATGTGAATACCAAAAAGGGAAACGTTTTTTAAAGATATAAGGGAAGATTCTGAATTTTCTTTTTTATGAAGATAGTTAATTAATATATGAGCGCATATTGACAGAAGTATGTGTTCATCAATAGTTGATTTGACAATATCTTACTTACTAACTGCAAAATTATTTCTCATTTCTTCGTTGTTTTTTGCTTATAGGTTGTTTAGGGATCAATACTCTTCGTTTCGTTATTACCAGCACTCTTACATGCATAAAGCCTAACTTTTTCCTCTGTAGAGATTTTTACATTTTGAAGCAAATTGAAATAATTTATACAGGCAACAACCAGAAGAAGGTCATCATGTGACTTAGCAGGTTTTTGATGACGTTCGCTAGAGGCATATTTTTCATTTCATAATCTTACTGGCATTTACTTGAGTATTTGCTTTTGTTGATATTTCATTTTCTAATCTGCCTACGTTCTCTTTTTCTACTTTTTTTTGCAAATGCAAAGTGTTTAAGTCTTTGTTTTTGCACGAATGTGTTACATATTTTATCTTGTTAAATTCTTTAGTAAAATAATTATACATGAAAGAAAATTTTTCGTATTAATATCATGATTATTGCATTACTGATCTAGTTCAGATTTTTCCGTCGTCTGAATTCTTCTCATCACCGAAGCATAGAAAAACGATTTTGGCCGGATCCTTTACTTTATAAACAATATTTTTTCTATTTTTTGATTCCCCGAAAAATTAAATAGTTTCTTTTTAACCTCCTTGAAGTTTTAGTCGGATAACAACTCCTAATGACCCGAAGATTTACTTTTAATGTACACACATAATTTTTTGAAAAATAGTTGATCAATGTTTATTAAAGTAAAAAAAAAATTAGGCAATTTTAATCGAATATGCTTGGAATGAGAATTAAATAAATTATGAAAAACGATAAAATTTCTTAATCAATTAATTAACAATCATCTTATACTCGGTCACCGATGACAATTTGATCTCATAGCGATGACGATTATCTAGGTATCTAAACAATTGTTGTCAATAATTATAGATTGAAAAGAATGTCTCAAATAGTCGCTCTACTCTGGATCATCGGCATCATGTCGATTTCTATTAACAGTTTACCAGTTTTCAACTTAAATCATTTGAACATCATAAATGATATAGCAAAAAATAAAACGTGAGTATCTACTCTATCATAATAACGTAGATCATTAAGTTTATTGAGGTTCTCGATTGGGCAACTCAGATTTGCTTATCAATCATAACAGCTCGTACTTACATAGTTTTTCCTACTTAGAATATTGACACCTTATTATCGCCCGACATGGATTGACATCAATCTGAGCACTGTACATTCAAATGTACGTTTACTGAAAAACTACATTGGTAACAAGGTACACCTTATGGCTGTTGTCAAAGCCAACGCATATGGATATGGCATGGTAGAGATAGCACGAGCAGCTGTATCAGCTGGTGCAACTTGGTTAGGTGTTGCTACATTGGATGAAGCTTTAGCTGTACGTGCTAGACTCTCACAAAATATTCCGATTCTCGTTCTTGGCTATGTTGCTCCAGAATATTTATCAGTGGCTAGTCGATATAATATTACAGTTACAGGTGTCTCAGTCGAATGGATACAAGAAGCTGCCAGAATCGTTCAACAACCATTCAATTTTCATCTCAAAATAGATACAGGTCTTAATCGTCTTGGCTGTAAAACAATAGATGAAGTACGAACAGTAATGACGATTATTTCTCTAAATCCAAATTTGAATTGTACGGGCATCTTTACACATTTTGCTACATCTGAAGATATGCAAAACAAGAGCTATTTTCATCGACAACTAGCAAGTTTTTATGATTTTCTCGATGTGATTCCTAATCGTACCGACAAAATTATTCATTGTGCAAACTCGGGTGCTACTCTATATCATCCTGAAAAGCCATTTTTCGATATGGTTCGTTTAGGAAAAGCATTGATGGGTCCACCAAACGAAGCATTAAAATATTTAATTCCATTTGAGCTTCAACATACATTCTCTCTTCACTCTATCCTAGATGTTGTCAAACAATTGGATGCGAACGAAAAGATTGGTTATGGAGGTGAATATATGACAACAGAAAAACAGTGGATTGGTACAGTACCCATTGGATATGCTGATGGGTGGCATCAACAATTTAAAACGAGTTATGTTCTTGTCGGGGGAAAACGAGTTCCCATTGTTGGACGTATCTCTATGGATCAATTGACGGTTGCTTTACCTCAAGAATATCCAGTTGGAACTCGTGTTACTTTTATTGGTCGGCAAGGTAATGAAACAATTATTGCCGATGAAATTGCACAGAAAGCAAATCAACCACGATCAGAAGTATTTTCTTCACTTTCAAATCGTCTTCCACGTGTATATATACAAGATGGATCGGTTATCAGTATTAGAAACTTGATTTTAGAGTCCTGAAATTTACACCAAGCTATCTTTCTTTGTATTTAGTCGTCTTGAACGACAAATATCACGCATGCATGTATGATTAATTATGATTATTCCACAAATCTGTTAATATTCGACTAAAATCACATGTTGTTGTCAATTTTTTTCTAGTATTATTATTCACAAAATATAAGAAATAAATCTACTATAGACATCTTTTTAGAACAATAACATTTCTTACGTGTTTTACCGGTTAAGATAAGAATGATATCAGAATGATTATATGAGTCAATTTGTAAACATATATATTTGTCATCTATGTACATAGAATACAGATCGCATGGGCCTATAAAAACACAATCTATATCAAGAATACTAGCTACGCATTACTATTCACTTGTTAACCATATAGGATGTGGTGTTTGATTCAAATCTTATTGTTCATCATCTTTTTTGTAACAACTGTTAACTGTCAAGGAGGAGGTGGAGGCGGAGCTGGTGGAGGACTCCTTGGACTAGGTAATTTTATGATGTATTTATTACTTTATTTAATAGTCGCATGAACAGTAGTTTTTCGCTGAAAATAAGCAATTTATCTAGAAATTTTGAGTCTATTTTAGAGTCTTATCCAAATTTGTTAGCTTAACGTTATAATATAAAATAGAAGGAAAAATTAATATCAATTGAGAAATAAGCATTTCAAAACAGAAAAAAAATATACGAACTAATATTTTTTTTAAACTTTTTTAGGTGGTTTTCTGTTTATAATTATATTCTTCCCTGTGTATTTCTGTTATCAATGCTGTGCAGGTAAACCAAGGCGCTCGAATACAAAATTTGTTAATAGAAAAACAACGAACAATGTTGAAAAACAAATTATTGACATTAAACTATTTCAGTCAGGTATTTGGCAAAGTCAATACTATCAATATAGTAATTGGCATGGTCCGCATCAACTTGAACTCACGTTCGATACTCTACAATCGAAAGTAACAGGATCAGGAGAAGATAAAGTCGGGATGTATTCTATTGAGGGTATTTACTCGACACAGAGTCGTCGAATGGGTCTTACAAAAATATATCAACTTGGTACGGGCAATCCTTTAGAAAACTTAGGACACAATGTTACTATTCAAGTCGAATGGAATAAATATACGAATCAATTTGAAGGCAAATGGTATGTTCGTACGAAAAAATTTAAAGGAGGTGGTTCTTTTAAAATGAACTTCAACAAAGAAAATCCGCAACCATCCCTGTCTTCTGTATATGAAAAAGTGTAAAGGACCTTTTCTTTCTATAACTTATTAAAAACTATTAAATTATTTAAATGTCTGTACATTATATCAATTCTACTTCAATTTCTCTGATTAAAATACAAGTTTTCTTCTATCACCATTTCATATTTGATAAGAAAAGTATACAACAACAGCGAAACATTCATATATACATGTATATTAGATCGAATATTACCTATTGAATAACTGTGTAATGTTCTGATCATTCCAAAAACCTATTAGACTCTTACTTTCACACTTCTCATTGTTTTAAGACATACTACTGAATTTCTATGCTTCTGGTAAAAGTAGCTTGGAACCATTTCAAAAAGTATCAACAGAAAACAAGATTTTAATAAATCATTAAAAATCATACTAAGGTCCTAAACAAAAGGTGCTTCTTTATTTTTTGTAGCTTTTGTAGCTTTGAAAAGGAATACATATTACTCAATCAGCAAGAATTACACATGCGACCATACTGTTCTTAACTGTTATATGAAAGAAGTTGTGATTTCTCTGTTCTTATGAATGCACTTAAGACGACAGCTTCACCTCACTTTTCGATTTGTTAATATTCATTTTTACTGATAGTAAATGGTTTGATCATTAATGTGTTGTGCATATCAAATTTCATCTCATTCAGACAAATGATGAATACGTCCATAATGAATCTCAAATCACAATATATATAACTGCGTATTTAAACACATTCGTTGCGTTCTCAATTACAATTTTTGTTTTCAGTCTACTTTTCGAAGCAATTAATAGCGAACACTTCAATGAAAATAATGCGATTTTCTCTATTGTTTCTATTTGTTGGTTTATCATCAACATATGAACATTGGTTTGTTTTTGATCAATATCAATTTCCAGGATTTCATACACCATTGTTTACATTAATTTATTCATCAAATAATAGAACAGGTCAACAAGAAGAAAAAAAACTTTCATTTGCATTGTCTACCTATGAACGTTCGATTTATATTGATACTGATGTTGGTAATGCAGTTAAAACAATAAAACGAGATGAACAATTAATAAAATTAAATATTGAACGAGCTGATTTATTGCATAATTCATTAAATCATTTAATTTTTATTGCTCTACGGCAAGCAACTAAAATTGAAACATATGTTAATTGTAAGCTCATTGATTCCTATTTACTTTATCCATCGTTTCCAATCAATGCCAATGATGATGATAATAACGATGAAAACTCATCGTTTACAGTTGAAAACTTAGCCGCTGGTATTAAACATTTTGATAATAAAACAGATGAAAATTATCAGCAAAAAATATTTGAAAAATTCGGTTGTAAACAATCGGGAACAGTGATAAATGCGAATAATCAAACAGCATATATTGGAAGACCATTAATTCGAAAAATGCAACATGTTATTGAAAAAGTTCAAAGACGTAAACTACGATCTAGGTAAAACCAAGAGTCTGCCTATTTTCAAAAGGAAATTAACACTTAGAATTTATTTATTATCACTTTTTGTTTTTAATAGACGTCACCAAAATCAAAAATCTTCTCTTGAAATGACATCCGATTCGTTCTCTATTATCTATAAACCAAATATTGATCGATTACATGATAGTAAAAGCAATTTTCGTACTATTCTAAATGTTTCTCAGTTCGCATTTCATATTCGATATTATCCAAAGGAACATCTCGTTCAGATTCGATTTAACAATGAAAATCGTACTCAATTTATTTTATATGCCGACAAATCAACTGATCTTCTTAGTTCTCGTGATACAGCAGAAGAATCATTAACCAACAATAATCTATCATCAACTGTTATACTCTTCATACATATAACGCCAACAATGATAACATGTTACGTTAACTGTGAATTAACTGATCAAGAATTTATTATTGATTCATTATATGTACAAAATATAATTAGACAAACAATGGACAAAACTATCAATCATCAACAATATGAAGATAAACAAATTATGGAATATGATCGTCAATCGACATTAATTTTATTTAATAAATCAATTGAACAGATAGCAGCAAACTTTTTTTGCTTAAAATTAGATCAGAAAAATGAAGATTTACTACCTGATACATATGCTTTACGGTAATAGACATTTGTATTATTTTTTCTATGGAGAAAAAAATTTTTGTTTTTAAATTTTAATTTATAGAAAATTTGCCAACGCTCTAGATATGTTGGTTAATAGTCTCGATGCTCCAATAAATATAAATAATCATCATGATTCAACATCAGCTACACCGGCAACAACTACGCAAAGTATTGCAGCTGTAAATATTCATTCAATTGATGGTTTCGGAAGTCTTATAGCACCTTCGTTAAATACCGATATGAATGCAATATCAAATGATATCAGTGAATATGATAAATCATGTCTGACTGATCAAGATTGTAATTCGAATCATTCATTTTTAAAATGTCAACAGAGACATTGCACATGTTTAGCACGTCATTTTTGGTCGCCAATCTCACGTCGTTGTATATCATGTAAAGATTTATCGATTGGTAATCGATGTTTTCGTTTATCAAATCATAAATCTACATGGTATGAAGCAAATGATTATTGTCAAGATGAAAATGCATCCGATGATCAACCAGAATATACAATGAAATTAGCATCGAATCTTAATCGTACTGATATTGACTTACTGCGCCAGAGTCTTGTCAATGACGAAGATGGTGAACAGTTAGATTATTTTTATTGGATTGGCGCAACAAGTCAATTTGATACACGAAAATTACACAAGCAGAATAATCGAAAAAAACGACATGTACCAACAACAATATTTCGTTGGTATGATAATGGTGAAACAGCACAGTTAAATATTCCCGATTTATGGTGTTCACAAAGAGAACATATGGATACAGCTACAATCAACAATAATGAATTATGTGTTAGTCTTACATCATGTGGTTTATATGCAGATGATTGTCAACGAAATTATAGATTTTTATGTGAAGCTGTTTAAAGACCTGTTTTTCCTTTCACAAATTAAAAGTCCTTCCTTTTTTTTGTAGTTGCAACGTAATTTGATAGGTTATAACAGTTGTTGTGAGTGGGTAAAAAACAATATGAATTGATAAGAATAAAAAAAAATAATTAGAAGCAAAGTTCTTCTACGTATATTAATGAATGCTATTTTTGTTTCTAGTTTCTATCAAAAAGAAAATATATTGTAAACCAATGATTACTTTATCAAACAGGCAATAAATCAATAAAATTCTAATCAACTGTAATCAGTAAGATCTCTTGACGGAAGCGAACTTTGGATAGGTTTATATTTTATATTAACAACAATTTATTGCCAATGTAAAAAGTCTGAATTGAATCATTGATAAACACATTGCTCATAAACATTTTATTTCTACGCACTTTTGCGATATTCCAAGTAACGGCTTCCCAAGAAAATTATTTCCGAAAATGAAATTAAAGGATATTCGAGCACTAATGCATAGTACTCGTGTAGTTTTGTTTTTTGTGTTACTCTTTAGAAATATCTTGCCAATCTTCTAGGTAAAATTCTTTACAACAATCATTCGAACAATAGTAAAATTCCGTTTTATGTTTTCCAGTTTATTCTATTTCAAAATAAAGAGTACGCTAAAGAATATAATTTGAACTGTCGAACGCTTTACTACACCGAAAGACGTGTAAAAATGTTTGAGTGAAGTTATTCACTAAATTTTTTCCACAGAACACTGAATGTTGATAGGTTTTGATTCATGATAGTCGAGATTAACTTTTTTTTAATGTATTAAATAGCATGTAAAGACTCCGTTTATCGGCAGAGTTTCGAAACACTTTATGAGCTTACATGAAATTTGAAAAGCCGCACTCAAAATACAAGCATTTTTACTTCGAAAATCCTAAGATTGTAGGTTTTTCTGCTGCTACACATACTTTCGTTAACTTTTTAGTGAGAATTCCGACGCGAAATTGATGATCATTACAGATGTCTTGAATAGGAAAAAGTTAACGAACACATCGAAAAAGAAATCTACATGACCCTTGAGTGTTATAAAATATAAAATAAGTTGCATATGAAAGAGGTCGCTATTTAAATTAATGGAGGCTCTATATCACAACAAACACGACGACTTATTGGTTTTCAATATTTGAACCATTCAAAATATAACGTTTTGTCCGTTATAAATGGTCAAATCCTCCAACACATATTCACTATCATTAGTATGATACGATTAAAGTAGTAAAATTTTCGATAATGACGGTAAAATAAAACAATATTTATATTCAATATTTTAAATAATTTCTAATCTTAACCATAGAATTCAATCTCAACACCTCGAAAACCGAATGTTATTGGATCTGTTCCATATAATGATGATATTCATTCAATATCGTTATATTGTTCAAAAAATTATTTATTACATTTAAATATAGGACCGTTTTTTTTTCTTTACATTCTTTGGTTTTCAATATGGACATTTCACTTTGGACTTGGAGATTATCCCGAATTAGGAATGATTATCACTGTTATCATTGCAATATTACAAATCATAACTTGTCTTTTCTGTTATTGGTTTGTTCAAATACGTGCTTTTATGCAATGTACCCCTGTAAGATGATTTCTTTTTTTTTGTTTAAATAATTTCCATTTTGAAAATAATTTTAATTTTCAAGGAAAAAAGTCCATGGAAAGCAGAATTAGTTGTAGTGAAACCAACTGCTAATAATGGTTATCCAGAAATAGTACCATTATTACATGGAAAAGTAAGAAAATCGATGTTTACAAAATATTGTATTTTTTAAAACTCCACATTGTTAGAATCCTCATGATCAACGCAGCCATGCATGGTTTGTATTTCAAAAATGTCGCTATATCTATGATGAAAGTGAAAAGAAAACTTTTCAAACAATTGATTATCCATTATCAAATTCATTTTCATCATATCTTCAATCAAAAGGTTATCAAACACAAGACGAACTCGATCAAGGAGTATGGAATTTTGGACTAAATGCGTAAGAAAAAATAAATGAATGCATTTTTTTTTCTAACTTGTTTTTTTTCTAGAATGTTTATTGATATACCCAATTTTATTGATCTATTTATTGAACGAGCTACAGCGCCATTTTTTGTCTTTCAAGTATTTTGTGTTTTACTTTGGTGTTTAGATGAATATTGGTAAGTCATTCTACCATTTGTTTTTTGTTTAAATTTGAAACAATATCTTCTGTCATAATGATGATTCTACATGCACCACTCCGATCATGATTCGACATGAGGAGATTTATTTCCTTATATATGATCTGAAAACAGAAGATATTGGTTTTTCTATTTTGTTTCAAATTGTAAAACAGTTCTATGATGAATCTAACGACGGTCTTCAGAAAAAGAATGATCGAAAAGAACGATTATTAACCCATTTTGACTGAGAACTGTTGTAAAATTGAATCCAACTCTCGGTATTGATCTGATGAGTAGTTGCAAGGGCATATTTTAGTAGTAGAGATGAAAATTAAACTCTGGCATTATTGATTAAAGTAAATGTCTCAAGTGGGAATTATTTAGCTCTCGAGTACTTTACAATTCATGCATATCTAAGTAAAAAAAGAATGAAAAAAATATCGATGTGTTTCATCAATGCACTCGTCCTATTTTTATATTTCCATTTTCTTAGCCTAGAAAGGAAGTGATACTTCCATAGGTTTTATTGTAGTTCTGGTTTTTGGTGATATGCATAATGACTATTTCTTATGATTTTTTTGTGGCTCTTACTAATTAGAAATACAATCAGTTACACAAGAGACTTAAGGGTGAATCTGAATTGGAACATAATCAATTCTAATAACAAAAGATTATTTAATGTATGCTTCAGTTTTAGAGGGCACTATTTCTGTTAGATTACTGATTTCTGACATTCATACTATGGGGACTAATACAAGAATTTCTGCAGCGTTTTAAAAATGTATACGAGATTAAATCGAATATTTTCAGTTTTATTTTAATATTTCTTTCATGAGATTTAGTAAAATACGTTTATCTTTTTTTCTTTTTTTATAGGTACTACAGTCTATTAACATTATTTATGTTAATCGTATTCGAAATAACTTTAGTACAACAACAAAAACGAAATATGGCAATGATTCGTCAAATGGGTAATCAGCCATATAAAATAAGTGTTTATCGCCAACGAAAATGGATTAAAATCGATACAACAGATATATTACCAGGTGATCTATGTTCCGTTCTACGAAATAATGAGAATAATCCATTACCTTGCGATATGTTACTATTGCGTGGTCAATGTATTGTTGATGAATCAATGTTAACTGGAGAATCAATACCCCAGATGAAGGTAAGAAAAAATAAATCTCCGATGATTAACTTTTCATTGACGTACTGATTGTCATTTTTGATGTCTTTTAACATTTTCTTATGAGGAGATTTAATCTTTTTCTTTACTTTTATTTTTAGGAGCCCATAGAGAGTATCGATGAAAGTACAATATTCGATTTAGAACGCCATGGAAAATTACACGTACTTTCAGCTGGCACTAAAATTGTTCAACATACACCACCTGCTAAAATGCAAGGCGGCATGAAAGGTATATTTTTTGAATCAGAATTTTTTCCATGGTTAGTCTATCAAGAAGAAAAAATCTTAATGTTGTTTTGATGAAGAACTTTAGGACGTTTTGTGGTAAGATTCATTAGGATAAATACCATCGAAGGAGTGAGCAACTTTTGAAATTGCGCTAGTACATAAAAGTTATTTGTTTTGTACTATCGGAAAAATTTCAACTTATCTTTTTTTCTAGCTGGCGACAATGGATGTATAGCCTATGCACTTCGAACTGGTTTCAGTACATCGCAAGGAAAACTATTGAAGACAATTTTATACAGCGTGAAACGAGTCACAGCCAATAATCTTGAAACATTTTTATTTATATTATTTTTACTTATTTTCGCTGTTATTGCTGCATCATATGTATGGATTGAAGGTAAGATTAAAAGAGTAGAGAAATGATTAGGAAACATTTCGAATGATGTGAAAAAAATTTTGATTATATTCTAATGATAAATCTTATAAGATTAGAGTCACTGACGAAATGATAAAATATAAATTGCTCATTGAACTCTTTATGTATGTTTTTTTTATGTGTTCAGGTACAAAAGATCCAAAACGAAATCGTTACAAATTATTTATTGAATGTACATTAATTTTAACATCGGTTGTTCCACCAGAATTGCCTATTGAGCTGTCGCTGGCTGTTAATACATCATTGATTGCTTTAGTTAAACTACGTACGATTATTCTCTCTTATTAATCGTTCGAAAAATTTTCATTTTAATATTTATTTTTCTTAGTTATTTATTGTACGGAACCATTTCGTATTCCATTTGCTGGAAAAGTTGACATCTGCTGTTTCGATAAAACAGGAACATTAACAAGTGATGATCTTGTCGTCGAAGGTGTTGCTGGAATACAAGAGTAAATTTGTTTTTGAATGAAAAAGAACAACTTTTCAGTTGAGCAGCTCTATCAAAGCTTTCTAAAAACCGACGAATTTTACATTGTATTCGATTTGGAAAAAAGTTTCCAATAGTTGTGAACAGACATGTCTAAATAAAATTCTTTTTTTTTTCTATTTAGTTCGGATGATCCAATACCGTTATCAAAAATTGATGTACAATTACCTGTTAAACAAGTTCTGTTAACATGTCACGCATTAGCTAATCTTGATGGTGATATTATTGGTGATCCTTTAGAAAAAGCTACATTAAATGCTCTTGAATGGACTGTGACACGTGGTGATACAGTTGTACCAGTTAAAGGTCGAACTGGACGATGGCAAATAGTTCAACGTTTTCATTTTCTAAGTGCATTAAAACGAATGTCAGTTATTGCCGGACAAAGTTCATCACATTCAAACAATGAAACATCGTATATTGTTGCTGTTAAAGGAGCACCGGAAACACTTAAATCAATGGTATGTTTTTATTTAAAAAAAAAGTTCGTTTTTTCGTAATGAATGCGAGTGAATCATATTGTGTTTATTTCCCATAAAACATTTGTCGATAATTTTCAAGGAAATATCATACAGGACAGAACAACAACGATCTTATTCTTTGTACAGTTTTATTTAAATTAAAAAGGATGGATACACGAAGGATGATTTATTTAAATGATACAAATAGTGATTAATACTTGATATATAACTCAAACACTGAACTGACGTTGTCCATTCTATACATATTTTGAAAATAAATCGTCTGTTATATAGTTGATTTCATTCGAATTTGACTAAAGGAATATCTTTATATTCAGCCAAAGGAATATCTGTATTATTAACGTACAATAATTGATCATTTCGTTCGATTTGAGCTGAAAGAGTAATTCCGCCAGGAATGGTTTTAAGTTCTTTAAATTTCATGTGTGCTTTATTTGGCTCATAGTAACATTGATAGTAAATAGGCAGTTGTTGTCCTCTATATAAAAGTATAGTTTTTGAACCTAATTCAATGCATGGAATATCGTATCGAAGTGAATCACGAACAGAAATATGAAGAATTTCATCACCATGAAATTTAGGTTGTTCACCTTTAAAAGTAATGTGGCCAGTAACTCGATAATTAATCCACGTAGTCATTGATTGAACATTAGAAATAAACGCGCGTGAGTTCTCAGCCGATTCGCCTTTTTTGTGCTTTCTATGAATTTCCAAGTATGTAAAATTTGTCAGTAAACGATGAAGAAAAGTAAAACATTGACTCGGCTGCAAGAACCTGTAATGTTTTCTTTTTTCTTTTTTGTCGCGAGAAAATGTCAAGCAGATGCATAATGATGAATTAACATGCACCACTCTGAATTGAAATATTATTTTGACGGTGAAGAGTTAAATGTAACCATTTCTGAATGCACCAAGAAATTAAAAAGAAAAAGATAAAAAATATAATTTCCGATTCTTTTCTAGTTCAGTACAATACCAGAACGTTACGATGAAATTTATTTACGGTTATCAAGACAAGGCGCACGTGTTTTGGCATTAGGACATCGATCACTTGGAGTTCTGTCTAATCAACAAGTAAAACAAGAACTTTCTTCAAAATGAAATAGTGTGTTTCTTTTTTAGTTACGTGAGCAATATTCAACACGCAATTCTGTTGAACGTAATTTGGATTTTTGTGGATTTGTTGTACTTTCATGTCCCTTAAAACCGGATTCAAAAGCCATGATTCGAGAACTTCGTCATTCATCTCATCATGTATGTCTGATTTTTAATTGCTTCATAGAACTTCCGTTTTGAGGAAAAACAGTGTATTCGGTCATTTAATGAAAGACAAGATTACAATCGAAAAAAATTAGTGTTCGAGGAAACATTTTGTTTGCTCGCGTGGCATTCGTCTATCATTCTATGAGGATTTGAATAAAATCTATTCCGATAAGAAAGAATACTTTGCATACCAGTATGACATCAATGATGATGTTGCTTAAATAAATTTAATAATAGAATGCTAGTGAAGATAATGGATCACTGTCAATCGAGACTTTCTAAATAAAAGATTTTCTACTGGATTTTGAATGGTGAGGATACCGTTCGATAGATAAAAGAGTGCTTTAATTGGTTTCATTGAAGAGTGACATGCATGTAATATAGAAACTTTTAGTTCTATTCGCAATGTTGAAACCTTCATTCGATAGATTTTATTATTTCTAAAATACTCAAAACTTTTTGTGAGCTTTTCATTTACAGTAATAGATGTATATTCCATGTGAGTCGAGTCATTTGTTTTTGCAACTCGTGTTGTTTCTGTACTGAGATAACCACAATGTTCAGACAAATGATAGAATTTAATTTAAATTCTTCTATTGTTTTTCTTTTAGTTAACTATGATCACAGGTGACAATCCACTGACTGCTTGCCATGTAGCTAAAGAATTACATTTTACACGGAAAACTTTACTTGTTCTTACAGCGCCAAGTCATGGTATGATAATTTAGTGAAAGAAAATTCTTTCTTTCATAACGAGTTTGTTTCTTCTCTTATTTAGACTCAGAAGAATGGAAATGGGAATCTGTTAATAAAGATACTTCTTTGCCCATACAGCCTGCTAGTGTACGTAATTTAACACGTGAATATGATCTATGCGTTACTGGAGAGGTAAAGTATGATTGAATTTTAGAAATTATACATTTAAATTAAACTGATATCTATGTTTTTTTTTCAGGGTTTGATATATCTTAACAGCTTACCTGTTGCTTTTCTTAATGCGATAATGCCACATGTTAAAGTATTTGCTCGTGTATCACCTAAACAAAAAGTAATACAATGTTTACATTTAAACGTTTTCTTTTTGTAATATTTTCATAAATATAGGAACAAGTGGTTATCAAATTAAATAATCTTGGTTTTGTAACATTGATGTGTGGTGATGGTACAAATGATGTTGCTGCACTGAAACATGCTCATGTTGGTGAGTCGGCTATATCTTTGAATTAATCTTTTTTTTGTAATTCTTCTGTTTTTATTCTAAAGGTGTGGCTTTATTAACTGGCGTAGCAGCTAAGCGAGTTGAAAAACAACATCAAGAAAATACCACAACTATACCGGCTGTTGTTCAACCGCCTGTAGTAGCAACAGCAGCAGTCGTGCAGCCAGTTTTAACACCAGTTGAAAGTGCTAAGCGAGATCGTGAACAAACTAAAGTATAAGAGAAAGAATAATTTATTTAAATAGCCAAAAGTAATGCAAACCATTTTTATTTTGTAGAAACGTTTAGAAGAACTTTATAAACAAATGGATGAAACTGAACAAACGATTGTTCGTCTTGGTGATGCATCAATAGCAGCACCATTTACATCACGTACATCAACAATTCAATGTGGTATGTTATCATTTGTCTATTCTTTGAAAGAAAAATTCTAAATATAATTTTGAATTATTTAGTTTGTCATATAATAAAACAAGGCCGATGTACACTTGTAACAACGTTACAAATGTTTAAAATTCTTGCTTTGAATGCACTAATCTTAGCCTATAGTTTAAGTGTACTTTATCTTGATGGTATTAAATTTAGTGATGGACAACATACACTACAAGGTCTTTTATTGGCTGGTTGCTTCTTATTCATATCAAGATCAAAGGTAAATACTTCGATTGATGAAATGTTTTTTTTGTCTTGAAATACTTTATGATATAATGACAAAGATTAGAGTCTCTGACGAAGTTTATTTAGCTTGTTTTTAAATTTTTTAGCCATTGAAAACATTAGCAAGAGAACGGCCGTTACCAAATATTTTCAATTTTTATACATTAATATCTGTTCTTGGACAATTTGCAGTACATCTTACCGCATTGATTTATGTTGTCAATGAAGCACATAAAAGAATACCACCAAAGTAAGTTCAGTGAAAAACTATCATCGCATTGGTGTATCTGTCAATGGATTGCATGAGCGTGGAGTTGAACCAAAGGGACAACCACCATTCATAGTTCTACAGCCGTTGAATACAAATTTTCATTAGTGGAAAGATCAGAAACTATGCTGCAGATGATAGAAGGCCATATTTCAATCATCTGAATTCTAATGAACACTTTAGAATAATTGATGTCATACTTTGAACCCTTCGTATTAAGTTTAGACATTCTTTTTTGACGTAGTCCAACAATAAAAATCAAGAAAAACAATTGTATCTTCGATATAATTATCCAACCAGTATTAAACAGCGAGTCATCAAATAAAAATTTTTTATTATTTCTTTAGAAATGAAGAATTTGCTGATTTGGAAGCTGAATTTTCACCGAACCTAGTCAATTCTACTGTCTATATTATGTCAATTACATTACAGATAGCAACATTTGCTGTTAATTATCAAGTAAATTAAAGTGTTAAAATTTTCGAATGAAATTTCTATTTGAATTTTTAGGGCTATCCATTTATGGAAAGTCTGCGTTCTAATAAACCACTTCTCTATAGTATATTATTTTCGTTTACACTTGTTTTATGTCTTATATTTAATTTAATACCACAACTTACAGAACAATTTCAGATTGTACTTATGCCTGATGATGTAAGCAAGAAGAAAATTTGATTTCTTCATAACAAACATTGTCTATTGTCTTATTTAGATGCGGCTAATTGTTTTTTATGTTGTAATGGGTGATGTTATTTTAGCGTATGCTATTGATCGAGTTTTGGCATTCTTTCTTGGTCAAGCAAAATTAAAACAATATTAATGTTGTTTGTTTTCTCTATTGTATCATTTTATGCAAAAGATAACAAGATTTCTCTTTTTCTGATTTTAAAATATAATATGTGCAAGATTTAGATAAGTGTTTTTATGTTTTACAGTCTGAATTATTCATGAATATATATATATGTATCTATAGATGTTGCTTATCATAATCAGATGACTTGTGCGTGGAGAACTACAATTTAAGAATAAACAAATATAGAATGATTTTAATGGTTAAGAACTACGAATTTTTATTAAATTCTAATCATGAATCAAATGTAAATTCGAGAGTGCGAACAACGATAAAGGTGCATTTTGTTTGAATCAAAATTATCACTTAACTTTAAATAGCAACAGAAATACCTGCGACCAAGTTAGAGAAGTTTATAAGTTATTCAAAGAAGTTTTATTCTCAGAAACATAGTTCAGTACGAAAGAACAGATTTTTCATAGAATTCATTCAATGAGAATTTTCTAATTTTTCTAAGAACTTATTTTCGTTCAAGCTTCTTTTTATCAGGAATTTGAAGTTTGAAGTTAAATCTAAATCGTTCTAGTGTACTCCAACGGAGGACAGTTTTATCCGGTCAAAATCTTTTGTTCAACATACGATTTTTACACAACGATCAGTGCATACTTGAAACCTTTTTTCAGGCTATTTAGAATTCAGTAAAATCTACATGATACAAATAGTAGTCACATGACAGCGATCAGAAACTGAACGACTTAATCTAACTAGGGCTATGATTACAACGAATGACATTTGTTAGAAAGTTATCTATCGCTTTAACTAATCTACACCGTTTGTCTTGAAATTTTCCTCGAAATCTTTCGCAATAATGTGATCGAAGTTGAGGTGATCTCTAACCATGCAGCTTTCTTGTGCCTCATGATTGCAATGGGCTAACATGCCCTATCTATAAAACAATATAATTATGTGAAGCTTTATTTGTTTTTAAGTTAATAAAAATCTGATATCCATATCTCAAACTAGTGGAAAACTAGAAAAGTATTCGAAAAACACTTTTCAGACCCAACAATAAAATTTTCGAATGACAGTACCGGTATAAAAAAAAATGTCAGCTAACAGAATTTATTGAGCTTTACCTCTATCTAGACTTAAGCTATATGATTTAAGTGTATGTACACTTTATTTCCTAATAGTGAGAAAATCAAGGTAAACGACGACTATTCATGATTCGTATAACATGCACCAAAGTTCATGCGTTGAAAAGCTTAGTTTGTTGTTTTACAGAATTTAAGATACCCATGAATTGTAGATGTATCCATCTACGTGTGCAATGATCAATCCTTGTTCAATATTTTCCAATAGTGACAATTGAGAAATGCATTTTTTTGAATTCACATTTTAAATCGTTCCGAAAAAAAAATCAAAACTACTTAGAAAAGTTCTTAATATAATCTTATTTCGATTTATTCTTATTGTTTTTAAATGAATTGAAAATAGATTTGAATTTATCTAAACAAAATGAAAACTTTTCGTATTCGAAAACAGAACTTAAAAATCGAGGAAATCTTTTATATGTTTCATTTTTTTTTGTAGATGGTTTTTCATAAATAACATTTGAAGGATATATTTTCAAGAATAAAAAATGTCATTGCCAGAAAGAAAAAGAAATTCTGTACTTAATCCATCTTTACTTCAATCAATTACTCAAGCCTTTTCTCAATCGAAAACAACGGTATCTTCACCATCCGATGATTTAGCAAAACTAACGGTGAATACACCAACAACATGTTCATCTATAGAAGTGATTCATGATATGCCACACCTTATAACACGAGAGTGCGTAGATTTTTCAGTACAAAAACTGATTGAAAGCAACATGTTATTTTTATTTCATTGAATAGAGAACCGCAATTACTCTCCGAAGAACAAACGCCACTAACACCATTGTTAACATTAAAACATGAATTTCAATATCCAACACAAACGCCAAGACGTTCAAGTAATTTTTTGAAAGGGTGTAAATGGTATTTTTCATTTTCTTGATATAATTAACATACGAACGAAATTTTTATGAATTTCAGGTCACCTGATGGTCTTTGTCTATTGACAAACAGTGACGATAATCAATTACGTGTGTTCGAAATTCCATGTGATAGATTACCTTCAATTGAAGATCTTGTAAGAATCTGATTTTTTTACCATACCAAAGAAAATTTATTTGGTGTATTTCGAAATCATAGTGATCTCTTAGCATCCATGAAATATTATCGGAAACAGATAAAAGGAGCGCAAGATCAATAATATTTAGAAATCATTAAGTAAACAAAAAAGCTGGTTTTCTTAAAATTGACAAAAATATTCTGATTCTCAACTTGAGTCAATCTCTGTGTATAAAACGAATTCATAATTTTTCACTATTTTATTTACAATAAATAGTTCAAAGTATAAAATAGTTCGAAACAATTTCTGATTAGTAGTTGAACATGCAATTTACAGTAAGAATAGTATCTTTGAATTGTTGCTGTTGTTTGTCTGAAAACTTTATTTTAATATCTGTAACCATTTTTTGATCAATAATCATCTTATCACACTTAATACAACCAAAATGTTCTTTCGATACCATTAGAATCAGAAAATAAGATCTTCGAAACATGACGCCATACCTTAGAAGGAATTGGTCGGCATCCGTAAATAATAGAAATCATATAATTGAAATACGCGGCGGTTCTTTGTTTACAAAGCACTCCTTATGTATGAAAGTGTTTTTTAGAATGCTGTCTTACATCTTCAAGAACCAGAATTAATCTACGATTTCGAATGGTATCCATATATGGATTCAAGTCAAAGTGATACTTGTTTGTAAGATTTCATCTTCATTTCGTATATAGTACAACAAATTTTTTCTGCTATTTTTCTTAATCTTTAGTATCTTTAGCAGTTGTCGTGATAATCCTGTACATTTATTTGATGCATTTACTGGTCATGTACGTGCATCTTACAGAGCACTGAATCACTTGGTAAGACAAGAAATAGTTTCTTTTAACAATGAAATCAAGAAAAAAGTTTTTTTTTGAGGAAGAACTTGTTGCAGCTCATTCCTTAGGATTTGAATTCCAATCATGTAGGCTCTATTGTGGATATGATAGAATTATTCGTGCTTTTGATATTCAAAGACCTGGCCTTTGTATTGGTCAATGGAATACATTTGGTACTATCCTTGATGAATGTTTAATGCCAAATAAAAATATGTCATTTTTTAGATCGTACAAGTAGTGTTTATCAATCGGGAATCATTTCATGTTTATCATTTAATCCACAAATACCTGGCATGTATGCTGCTGGTTCATATGCAAAATCAAGTAGAATCAATTTAAAATATAATAAAAACTAGTTTTATTTTATTTATTTTAGTTGGAATATATGGAGATATGAATGGAGAATTGGTTGCAGTTCTACATGGTCATATTGGTGGTATAACTCATGTTCGATTTTCTCCTGATGGACAGCGACTTTTCAGTGGAGCTAGAAAAGTCAGTTGTATGAATTAGTACAAACGAAAATTGAATTAAAAGTTCGTTTCTAGGATGGATCTATTCTTTGTTGGGATATTCGAAATTTAGGAGACGTTTTATGTACTTATCAACGGCATGTGAACACAAATCAACGTATTTATTTTGATTTTGATCCGTAAGATAATTTTATTCATCGCATTCTATCACTATTTCCTTTGATATAGTACTTTTACCGTGCTTGTTACTGGCAATTCAAATGGCCATGTAATAGGCTGGAATATAAATGATTCATCAACTCCGGTATTTGATTTTTTAGCTCATAATGATTGTACAAATGGTATTAGGTATAAGCAATTCTTTGTATACAATTATTTAGAAAAAAATTATCACGCTTTTTATTTTTTCTGTGATTTAGCATTCATTCAAAACAACCATTGCTTGCAACAGCATCGGGCCAACGATATTTTGCCGGTGACGTACGAGTCACTGCTAGCGAAGATGAAGATGAAGATAATCTCAATGCTGAATTTAATCTTAAAAAAATTCCGAAAGAAAATTCTGTAAAAATTTGGCCGTTTATGAAATAAAGGCAAAATACTTTTATGGTTTTTAAACAATATAGTAAACAAAGGATCATTCGTTTCATTTCACCACGCTGAAAGCAAGTGAAACTTGCGTATCGATGAAGATATCGTTCAAAACGGCTCTGTTTGATGAGAGCGTATAAATCTGGTGTCAAAAGTTGTTCTTTTGTAGGTGTTTCTGTATCAATCAGAAAGGATGCATCCATTTCTACGTCTGCACTAGACAAAGAACGATTTTGTTTTTGAGAAACATAAGTTTAAGTAAACATTCGAAGTTTCATTTTAACGATTTTCAATAAAGTAAATGAGAAAAACAATTTATGGTAATTTTATCTTGACTAAACCTACAGCCACATCTATATACAAATAGGCCGTGGTTTATTCTATCGTAACTAAATATTTACTATAGTGACTATGATGCATGAGAACTATCTGATGAAACTATGTCTGAGACATTTGTAATCGCGCTCATCTCCAATAGTTACAATGAGAAAAGGTCATGATTGTATATAAAATATCCCGTGTATACAGACAAAAGAACTCTTTCATTATAGAATAAATAGATACATGCAAAACAACTGTTTGATTATGTTGGCATTTGATTTATTAACGCTAGCCAACGGCTCTCAAATTGTCGGAGTGAATCGACTGATCCTATGATCGTGTCTGCTATTGACAATAGAATTAGTCTCTTTCAATAATGACTACTTATTGTTAAATTGAATTTTATTTTCATTGATTAATCATGCAACGTATTTTATTAAATAGCTTTTGAGTGAATAAAAGGAAACGAAAAAGAAAGTTGAAAAACGATATGAATAAGTAATATGGACCCGATCGTTTTACTTTTAACCCCTTAGCTTTTTGATCTCTTAAAGGTCGACGTCCAGATCATTTTACCCTGATTTGGAAAGTCTTCTTTTGTATTACTACCATTCATGTAGTTGTCCATCGCATCTACAACTGCCCTCGGCGGTCTGCCGATTGCCAATAAGCCACCAGGAACCCACCCATGGCCGATACCGATTCTTTTTCCGTTGAATTTCACCTCATAACCCAAATGCGGTCCTTGCGTGCTGTCTGGACCAGGTATGTCGGCATCGGCTCGAAAAACTAACTTCCATGAATCTCTACCACCACTCTTTCCTTCGAAAACTTCATCGATTTGAATGACTGCATATGTGCGAGCTGCGCTAGTTTGATGAAAGTTCTTCAAGGAATTGGACTTTTTAAGATTTTCAACAATCGTCTTGATCATTACACTTGGTATTTCTTTGGTAACGTCTGAATGTTCAGTGCAGTCTACCATACATTGAACAATGAATTTATTGGCTGACAGTAAACTTGAACAGTTTTCGTCTTTATTATACTTATCTACACGTGCCATTTGAAATCGAAATAAAGACTGGTTTGTTTCTGCAACACACGACAAGAAATGTATAATTATACTATTTTCTTAACATGTTTTTCGTTCATTTTTTTTATTAATCAATGAATTTATGTTGCTTTATTCTAATCCTTCTACTGATCGTTTGCTGAGTCATTTATACGTTGAATTTCACGTTAACAAAGTCGATTAAAAGTTGTCCAAAAAATAATCAGTTTCCTTCATTTGAAATGTGGAAATCTTTAACGATCTTTCTTCGATTTAGAGCGGCTAAAGGTGTATGATTTTAATCTGATTACTCATCTAAATATTTGTGCATTGGTACAATTGGATATCACCACCTCTCACTTGATGTTAAAACTATTTAGAAGTTTTACGTGTGAATAAAAATGAATTTTGATACAGATCTGTAGAAATGAAATACTTGATCTAATCAGCCAGGCAGAGATCACATTCACTACGGAGCAAATATAGTACGTTAAAACTAACATTATATTCCGCTATCGGTGGGTTTCTATCTTACGCGAATTCTGAGCAACGATACTCTATCTCGTGCTACGCTATATTTTTGTCTCATTTCGACTGATTTCATATGAATAGAATTATTGCATATCACTTTTGTGAAGCACAATTTGAAATTATGGTGTAGCTACATATTTGTATGACTGTTTGCCTACGGTGTGACATGTTTAATACTGATAAAGTGGAAAAAATACAAATGATATTAAATCCAGTCCATGTATTAGTGGCACCTCAAAAAGTTTCAGCCGTCCACCCTTAAGATGAAACCTACGGATATAACACTGGGTACTATTAGAATTCAAGCGTTCGCAACTTTTTTGTAACAACTCTAAAGAAATTCAAAATCAAGCAAAGTGAAAAATGTCGAGGAACAGCACAAGTATTTAGAGGTAGGCATCTTTTTTTTTTCGTCAATATTTGCAAACTGAAAAACGAACGAGAACAAAACTCAATTGGTTGAAATAGCCGATTAATATATGACCACACTAGAGGGGGCCGGTGACGAGTTGGATACATAGATACGGAGATCATGAAAGACAGAATATATTGCAGATGAACGAATGATTCTGTGTAGGGTGATAATGGGTGTCAGTAGGGATGCAAAATTGACCATAATCGCAGTGCTTTATCTAGGTTTCGTTTTTTGGGTGGGCAGTTGAAATTTTTGGAGGGGCTGCTGGCTAAAACATTTGTTGCCATATAGCTTTTTATCAAATCAGCTGTATATTTTCGGGTGGGCGCCGTCCACCTGGCCCACACAGTAGATAAATCACTGCATAATCCGTTACCAGTGAACGATCTAGCCGGTGCACCTACGAATACACTTAAAGCAAACTGTATCAGAGAGGTCTTGATATGTCCAGCCAGTTCGGATCAAAGAAAACTGATCGCTAGTTTGTCGGCATCTGATTCGGCTAAACCCATAAAGCTAATTGTTTAATTATATTGTATAAATGGCAATCCAAGAACGAAAAAGTATATATCTAGTTTCGAAGTGGTTCATATATAGACAAATGCTCGGGAATATATTTGACAGTTAAACTATAGTGGTGACTCCAATAGGCGACTGGTGTCGCTGCTAATAGAATGCTACATTTTTATTGCTTCTTGGTATAATTTGTTTTTACTATTTCGATAAGAACAGAGTTTTTGTTTTTCATCAGAGAAACACGAATTAGTTTTGTATATTTTATTAACAATTACTACGTATTATAAACAAATGAATGACGAATAACAAACTATATATTATAATTACAGTAAAGAAATAAAACAACAATAGTTTCAATACAACAGATCAAAAGAGCATGCAAGTTATGGATGCGTAAACATTACATATTGATTAAATATTTTTGTAGATTTTCTCAAAAACGCTAATGAGACAAAGAACATGCTGCACTCGATCACTGTATCTCTTGATAGCCACTCGTTTTTGACTTAAAGTCTGTTCAAGTAGGAATTCTGAACTTAACTACAGTATTCTATCAACAAAAAAACCATTCTAGATTACATAAAACTGCTGCATATGAGCATCAAGCACGTTTTACTCATTAATTTGTGTTCATAATGCAGACTTTGATCTTTTTTGAAAATATAGGAAATGAAATACTTTTTATGTATTTCTTTGGTTTACAGTTCACAAATAATGACTGTGTGAGATACAAAAAAATCCACAATTCCGACTTTCATTGACTAATGAGAGCTCCCGTAGAAAAAGAAAACAAGTTTCATACTACATTATATAGATACCCAAGTTTGAATCATTTCTCTTCAAAACTATCACCGATACAATCAAGCTGTGAAATTTGGCTCATATAAAACAATTTCTTTTACAAAACTAAGAGATCTACATAGAATGATAAAAGTTAACTATTTGCCTGATTATTGATTTCGAGTTTTTGTATTTATTAAAACTCATGAATGAATATAGAATTTCGTTACTTTTTGTTTTTTAAACTGGAAAAGTTTTATTTATACTGCTGTTTTTTTTTTCTTTGATTGGCGCTTTTGAATTCCAAAAAAGGGCACAAAAAAAATACCTTCTGTGATGATGAGTCATGACAATTTCTCATAGCCATATATGGTTACATTTTACCTGTATAAATATGAGTACAAAAACGGTGGATATTTTCATACAAAAATGGACGACGAAGAACAAGTGATAGATTCATTTTCGACAGCCGATGACATATCTGATGTTACTCTAATTGTTGAAGACAAAAAAATTTTTGCACACAAATCCATTCTTGGTAAAAATCTTATTCCTTCGTTTAATCAGAAGAAAAAGAATCTTTTTATTTTTAGCAAAAATTTCTCCCGTATTTAATCGAATGTTATATTCAAATGGGTTTCGTGAGTCGCAAACAAATGAAATTATTTTTCCAGGCAAACAGTACGCCCATATAATTGAATTATTAAAATGTATTTATCCAAATATATTAAAACCAATCGACAATTCAAATGCAATATATTTACTTCCATTGTCTGATGAATATTCGATATTCATACTTAAAAAAAATATTGAACGTTATTTTATTTCATCCATTAATTTAATGTCATATAAATATGGTGATAATTTAACACGTTTATTTGATTTATTATCATTAGCACAACTTTATCGACTAAGTAAACTTGAAGAACATATTTGTGAACAATTAACAGATCATTTCGATGTTGAACGATGGAATAAAATTGATCTTGCAATTGAGTTACGTTGTCATTTATTTGAATTATTTGCTAAGAAGCAACAAATAAAATTAAAAGAAAAACAAACTAAATTAAATCAATTAGAAGATACGTGTTTAAAACAAAAGTTTGAAATTCAACGTTTAAAAAGTCAACTAGAAGTTCAACAGCAGCAATGAACCCTGTTTGTCTTTTATTTTGTAAATTTTTTCTAAATAAATTAATAAATAAATAGAATACTATAAAAAAAAAACATAAAAATTTGAAATACAAGCCTCGTCTCTAAATATTATTTTATTTCATAAAGTACGGCAGTTTTTCATTACTAACCATTTTCTGAAGGAATCTATTCTCTTCGCTCACTAATTCATTTATTTGTTCCTGACAAAAGTTGAATCGTTCGTTTTTTTTTCATATATACGATTGTGCATTATACAAGATAGTCTGTTTACTTAAAGAATAAAAGCAATGCTACGAACAATTTTCTTTCAACAAATTATTGGCAAATGCCCTTATTTTTCGAGAAAATTCAAGCTACATATTATAAAACTGAAAAGAATCGATCTTGATAGAAGTAAAAAAAAATCCACTATATATGGAGACTTCTATTTTATGTTGACTTATTTCACTGTCCCATACAGTAGATTATGTTTTGAATTTCTGTATGTCTAGCATAGATATCAATAAAAATAAATATTATAACCTATATAACTAATAAGTTAGGGATATTTCATAAAATGAGTACAACAAATGTCACTCCATTTTTAAAATCTTGAAATCAAAAATAGTATCATCCTGAATGATTGTTTTGCCTTTTTTGGTTAATTACCTGGACAAAAAACAATGTTCTTTTTCATGTTATCGAAAACATTTGGAACATACTGTTTTCTTCCCACGATCAGAATATTTATTACCTTCGGTAAAAACAATTGGATTTTCATTCAATCGTCTATCAAGGAAAATAAAATGTGCAAGGCTCTTGTTCTGGTGGCTCTTCTTGTTGTTAGTAGTGTATCGGCTGGTACACGTACATTCAATATTCGATCAAAGCATATTGAACGTGCCCTATTACCATTGAAAACAAGTAATAATGGTATTGATTGGTGTCCACAATGTATTAATACGTACGGTGATTTGATTGAACTTGTTCTTGATGTTATTCTTCAATATGGTGTTATGAATACATGTGGTGATTTATGTGATCTTGTTGCTGAAAAGTCAGGATCAAGCCTTTTAGGATTTCTGTGTACATTTGGTTGTGATGTTCTGGGAATCGAAGAATTCGTTAAAATAGTTGACAAAGCTGATATTGATCCAATTTATTATTGTGAAAGAATAAAAATTTGTCCAAGTAAAATAAACTATTGTTTTACTTTTATGATTAAATTTAATGAAACTTTTTCTTTTTAGTCAACGATAATGGCGATGCGAAATTTAAGTCATTTGCTATTTTACCACCCCATGGTCCACAAGGTACGACATTTAGTATTGATTTTGCCTATGTATCAAATAACGGAACTGGTACTGGTGAACTAATTGTTGCAATCAAAACCGTTGATAAAATTCCATTATCCGCTAGTTTCTTAGTTGAAGCACAAAAACCAGGTACGTATGGGGATCGTATTAGTGTTGACGCTAGTCCCGACCCAGATTGTGATCCTACACAAGGTAAACGTTATTTATTATTTTCATATGAGAAACTGATTAGCTTTTGAATTATAGACGAGTGTGAATCATGGGTACCCGGTACATATACTGTCACAGTTCTTCTTTGCAATGGACAATGTGGTTCACATCATCCTCATACTCAACTGTATGATACAGCTACGGGTCCATTTGTAATATCTGAATAATAAACAATGCATTCATTTCTTTTTTGATGAAAATAAATAAATGTAGTAATATCACATCTAAGTTTTCTTATGTAATTATGACTAAGCATACTTTTATTTTTATGTGTTGACACATAAAAAAATACTATAAAATCTATTCTCTGTTGCAAATATAAGATATGTTTCATCAGTGTTTATCGTAAATATTTTTTCAATTGAATGAATACTGGAATGTATAGACAATTGATTTCCATTTTATTCCTATGCATGATATATGAATGTATGAAATCAAATTTCATGGTAAAACATATCTGTATTACTAAAGTTATGATTAAACTATATCTATAATGTTGGTAATATGTAGTTTGTTCTTACTGATTTCAATCTATTTTAATAGGCAACATGTATAGCTGAAACCCATTCAGATGTGATTATGGTTAAAAAGATATTGTCTATATTCTCAGATACGATGAATCTATCTTCAAATTTGATTTTGTATATTTATTAGTCTATTTTCAAAGTGTGCAGTACACCTTAGAACCATCATGCCTAATAATAGACTCAAAATAGAAAAAGTATGGTGTGAATATTTGACCATTTGTGTTAGATTAACTCTATATGTTGATGCTTAACTATTTTTAACAGATTTATTTCTTCTCACTACGAGGATATTTATTGGCAGAATCTTCCAATAAAAAGTGTTCTTTTAAATTTACTAATATAAAAAAAAACACACAGACACACAAAATGTATAAGATTCTTAGTATCATACTCCTTGTTGTTGTTGTTGCTGTTGGCTTTTCGAATGCTACTCGTTCATTTAATACGCCATCAAAAAACTTCGAACGTTTAACAACTGATGATCGCGAGAAAAATGTTGACCTTGATCTTTGTCCCATGTGTATAAATGAAGCCGTAGCAGCCATTAATGTTATACTCAATGCAATTCTCGATGAAGGTATTTTGGCAGACTGTAATAAATTATGCAGTATCGTTGCTAATAAAAGTTCATCGTTTATTGGTACTATGTGTGATCTAGCATGTGATGCTCTTGGTATTGATGAGTTTATTCATTTCATTATTGCTGCTGATCCAGATCCAATTTGGTATTGTGAAATAGCCCGTTTATGTCCAAGTAAGATTAAAATAAGAAAAAGATTTGATCCATGAAAATATTTTTCTCTTTTACTTAGTTAATGATAATGGTGATGCTAAATTTGTCAAATTTAGTGTTTTACCAAGTACTGGTCCACAAGGTACTACATTTGTTATTGATTGTTCATTTAAATCCTTGAATGGAACTGGCACAAGTATGCTACGATTGGATATCACTGACCCTACCAATGAAACAGATAGTAATGATTTCCTCATTGAAGCTAAAAAACCTGGTACATATAGCGAAAAAATTGGTCTTAAAACGTTAACAGCCTTGAATTGTGATCCAACAAAAAGTAAATTTAACTTCAACATGTATATGTAATTATAATTTCTTTTAATTTTCTTTTGAATAGGAATTTGTGATAGTTTCCTAGTAGGTACTTATAATGTGACGGCACAATTTTGTAACGGAGAATGTGATTCACATCATCCACATTCGGGAAATTATGATTTGGGAAAAGCTTCATTTACAGTTACGAAAAAGAAATAAAATAAATATGTTTATTATGAATTAATAAATTTCTATAGATCTCTTAGAGTTTTGCTGATATTTTAATTCAATGAAAATATACAGAATAAATCGTTACAAGAGAAAAAGCATAGTATTTATCACTCTACTAAATTTTACAGGGAATGCAAATGTCTCCACATCCATTACGTATATCTCAGGGAACTTCTAGCTATATGTTATGCATGAATTATATAACATCACTAGTCTGCTTTTATACCAATTTATGAAGCACTTCAAGCGTAGTCCTTTTTAACAGCTTTTCTATGCTCGTATTAGTGCTTTGCAGCCTTATCTATTTGAAACAGCTGTATTGCTCTTCTCACTAAACGAATATTTTCTGCAGTATCTATTGATACCAGTAATTGTCTCGTCGATAATAAAAAACAATGTGCAAGGTTTTCTCTTCTATTATCTTAACCGAAGAATGTGACGAAGAAAAAAGAATGAATTCCAAGGATATTGTCTAGAAATCTTTCAAAGTACATGTCATCTAATAATTTTCGACATGATCACTGATTTCTACAAATTGCGTCTGATGATATGAAATGTATCATGTCTATGTAGAATAAAATGCAAGAACAATGATGACATATTACTTAACAGTTATATATTTCCAAAAACTAAGCAACATCAGATATGAGAATTGCTAATCATAAAAATAAAATAAATGAGTTTTTTCGAAAAAAAAAGAAACTTTTATCGTCACAATCAATGGTTTTGAGATTGAAACTTGTTGCTAATTTTAATCATGTAGTTGAAGCAGACCCATCAAAATCAGCAGCAGAACACGCACACGAGAGCATGCTGAGATAGGAACATGCTCGAAATGAAAAAACGCCAATTTATTTTCGTGCTCAAATTTTTTGTTGACAATGTATGTTCTAATTTGAAACAACTTAAAATAACAATCATTTTTCGTAATTTTCCTTACTACATTGATAATATTTATTTCCAAAGTGTTTCCAATGTTGAACATTTAATAGTGTTATTAATCATAGGCATAAAAGACACAGATTGAATCACTTGACATTTTGAATTTAGTTTAAAGAAATATACAGTATCATTGATGTCAACTTATTTTTCATATTTGTTCAATATAAATATTGGCATCGGTCGTTGCATCTTTCGTGGGTTAATTCGACTATGTCAATTGTGCACTTGCTGATTTCAGTAACGAACTATTATAGGTAATGTTAAAGCTTTTTTACTTGCATGAATTTGTGTCTGTCTTAGATTTGTTTGGAATCGATTTCCACGCTTTAAGTATAAGAAGTATCGAATCAACCACAACAATCAAAGAAAAATCATTACGATTATGAGAATAGTTTTGAGCGGAGTCCTTTAACAAATTACACAAATTTGATATGACATTCACGTGAACAACTTCTTTGTCGAATCTGATTTTCTTGTGTCTAGTAATTCGCAACGATTTATAATAAATAAGAGTTGACCAGAATTAACAAAAGACAATAGAAATTTGTTTTTCATTTGATACTTTTTTACAAAGAATGTTGATCTGTTTCGTTTCTCATCCATATCATAGACAGTATCTAAACAAAACATTTACACTAGCGGTCAATCTATTATCATGTTGGTACGCCGTTCGTCTATGATATTTACTCGTAAGACTTTACCAGAAAATTCCTTTTAATAATTACGATGGCTTTTATTTCATCATATCAAAATTAAATAAAGATATTTTACAATAGAAAAAATAAACAAAAAAATAATAAATCTAACAAGATTTAACCAGGATGATGATGATGATTATTGTTGTCTTGGTTGTAGTTTCGGATAAGAATTTAATAAATGTAACATATGAATTTGTTGTAAAACTTTATTAGGTGATGTTGTTGTTCGAGAGTTTGACGATGAACCTTCAACAACAACATAAACAGTTGATGGAGAGAGATCATCATTTGCATCGGTTCTTGAAATTGTTGGTGTAGTTGTTGATGATGAAATAAGAGAATCATTTGTACTTTTTAGTAGTTGTCTTGAACGTTTATAAGACTACAAAACATATATATTTCTTCTTTGATGTTACAATAAAATGTCAAGCTTACCATTCGAAACCATGAAGGAAAAACAACATTGATTTTATCAATGAGCCCATTTGGATAAATGTGTTTTATATCAAATTCATTTGGAACATGATACCAAGGACTTAAGGAAATATCAGGAACAGAACCATAAGTAAAGAAAGCTTTTACTGCATTTTGTTTTCCACGTCGAACTCGACCATAGCGAAGGCTGTTAAGACGATCATTAATAGCCTTTTCGCTATGACCAATAATTAACATTTTCCCATCATTTTGTTCGAGACCAAGTGCGATTAAACTAGATTTTTACAAATCAAATCAAATTTTCTTTTCTTTTCGAAAAAAATGAACTCTATCAGACAAACCAGTCTTCACCGGATACAAAATTTCTTGATGTTTGTTCATTCAATAGTGTTGGAATATTGGAATTTGTGGACGATAATAAACAAGTTGGTAATAATGAATCATGTACAAAAGCCGAACTTTTACAAAATCTGTCCATTAAATAAAATGAAAGATGATTACCTAGTGAGAGTTTTTTAGAAAAACAAATGATGATGATTTTCAAAAAATGAGTAATTTATCATACCAAAAGCTTTTCTTCGAGTAGGTGGTGCTGAAGTTTCAATTAAATGTTGAGCTTCAGTCAATAAAGGTATATTCAAGATTGAATTCGATTGTTTATCACGAAAAAAAATAAGGTCTTTCTAAAATAAAACCACGAAACAATGATAATAGTTTTGTGTTAACAATAATTTTACAAATAATTGTTGAGCCGACTCATCATCGGATAATAATGAATTGGTTTCACGTTTCAATAGGATATATTGAGTTAATAATTGAATATACTACAAATAAAAATACAATAAAAGCCAATTGATTAAGAGCAAAATTTACAGCTGTTAATTGATATTGTAGAATATCACATTGTTCAGATGTGATTCGAAATTCAAGTGTTTTTGGTATCGTAGAAGAAGTTGTAGTCGATGAAACTGATTCAGGATTCATAAATTCATTACTACGAAACAGAAATGATAAAGAAATATAACTTTAAAAAATAAAATCACTGATAACAATCATGAAAATTTCGAATTAATTATTTCAACTCTGATCACTTGCATATCCATTCTTATTATCACTCGTGTTTCGCGCATTACATATACCATAGGGTCAATGAAAAATAAATTTTAGATCTGAGTGGTTTACAATGCAAAATAGAAATTAATTATTCTTGGCAATTAGTTTTACTGAATTGTTAAGCAGTAAACCTGAAAATATGCTGGTATTGTTTATTAGCAGTTGAATTAGTGTACATAGTGTAAGATAATAATAGTTTCCGCTTTAATATCAGAGTGTATCGTTGTAAATAGAGGACATCTTTTCATAGACTTCATGCCTTAATTTTGCAACGAATATAACTATCAGTGCTTGGTATTGATAAGCCTACTAGTACCCTTAGCGTTTTATTACAGTAAACTATCATGGAAAAAAACAAATATTCGCAGATCTCTAGAAAAAAAACTGTTCTTGGTAGAACCTTTATTTTTTACATTGATTCCTATTGAATACTTCACAGAATAAGTAGTTTATTCGCATAGAATCTAATGTAAAAGTTGTAGGCTGTATCATAATTAAAGCTGAATGAGTGTGACCTCAATGAGTCAATCTTTTTTATATTTATTTAGTATCAATACAAACTTAGTGAAAAAAGAAACGCTTTTAAAGAATCAACTCTAAATAAAATATTCTCATCTTGAACTTAACCATTGGTTTTTACATCCCGTTATAACAATTCTGTCATTTTCTCGATCTAAAATCTTGAAACTATTGAAATAACTGTTTTTTCGTGCATACCTATTTGGAAATTCTTCATTATTTAAGATCGAAGCATTATCTTCCAAAAGTAGCGCTAATTCACGTCCTACAGAAAAACAAAAACATCCATAAAGAATTACAAAAAGATGAAAATTTTACTTGAAACATATAACTCATCTTCATAATCATCCTCAATATCATTTTCAGTATCGGCAAGTTGAAATTCAGGATCATCATCATTATCATCTTCTTCTGTTGTTGTTATCAGAGATGTTTGTTGTTTATCTTGTTGTTGATCGTTTCCTGGTTGAAGAGAAGCTAAAAATTCTGTCCATAAAGATTCATATTGATCACCACGAAGAATTTCTTCGTCAGGAAAAGTATTTCTAAAAAAAATTATTTTTCTTTTTTAAAATTACTCTAAAATTGATTTTGAACTTACATATTATTATCTGGCGATGCTGTACTATCTTTTAATAGTAACGCTAATTCACGTCCTTAAAAAAAGGAAATAATATTACGTTTTTAATTTTTTTTTGACAATATAATCGTGATCCAACGTACTTGATACTCGTAGTTTTCGTTCATCGATAGTTTCAATATTATTTACATCATCAGGTCCAATGAATTCTTCATCATCATCATCTTCACTAAACAATGAATCGAAAGTAAAATTTGATTGTGTTGTATTTTGTTGTATATTGGAATTATTATCAACTGTATTAAATGATTGAAGAAACTCAAGCCAAAGTGGATCATACTCATCGACCATAGTTGTTGGTAACAAATTTTGTTGTTGATCTGAGGAAAGCATATTCGAAGAAGAATTGACTTGAGATGATACATCGAAATAATTCGAAGAAGGAAGAAGAGACTCATCAGATCCTGCTGTTGAGATTGCCTACAAGTGAAATATGAAATGATTACGATGAATATCAATATCATATATACGTTATTAACCAAAGATGATTCATTGTGAATTATTCGCGTTCGAAGATAGTCGATCACTGTCGATTCAGTTAAAAGATCCTACAATAAATGTTGATTATTAATTTTATTTTTATTTTTTGCTAGAAATAACCTCTGTGCCTTTCTACCTTTTCTCAAAGTATTTAGATGATTATTTTAAATTACAATGTATAAAACTATTTTAATGTTTTATCAAGTTTCCGCAAAATCATAGACACTGGTGATTCCTAATAAAAATCACTTTTTCAATCAAATTGAAAATTCGTAGCTTTCATCTTAAACCTTTCATAAGCATAAAAATTTAAAGCTCCACGAATAAAATCATCGTGGATTAATCCGAACTTTTCATTTAGACGTAGACTTGAAAAATAAAGAAATATATTTATAGAACCTACCGAGATAATACGTTTAACAGTATCACTCGGTACATGGTGTCTTTTCGCCACTTGTTCAATTTCATCATCGATCGGTGTTGTTAAATTATGATTTGGTGATCTAGATCGTCTTCTTGTTATTGGATATTCAGATACATCATCAGAACCTGATAGTAATCTTAATACCGAACAAATTGTTGTAAGAAAAAAGAACAAATCGAAGCATACCGTTTTGGTGTATTCATTATCTCTTAATCTACGAGAAATTCAAATGCATCGTCAAATTGTCCTTTTTTGTTTTTATATCATAACAAATACATTACAACATTTTTTAACACATCCAAAAAAACAAAACAAAATTAAATTAAAATAATTATATTAATATTACACGTTTCTATTTTGTTTTTCAAGCAAAAGATCAAATGCAAGAATGTTTCGATGGGGAAAAAGACAACACGATTAAATTTCAAACAGTTTCGATCATTCTAATATATACATACAAACAACACGAACGAGGAAAAATAAAAAATGTTTTCATATCCTAAAGTTGATTTCTCTTAAAATGAACCACCAACCTAAAATGATAGTAAGCAAGAAAAAATAAATAGAAGATAGGTTTAAATTTCTAGCATACTTGTTCTTGGTATACATCAATTGTATCGTTATCTTCCATTTCTAAAAGCTTTGGTGTTTCATCATCATTTATACGTTTACCATCAAAGAGAAATCTAAACATGAAAATTTTATAAATTTCACAAATGAAATAATTTTACCGCAAACTGCTAACTGTGACTCCTGAAGCAATTGAAAATAATTAAATAGATACATATGAGACTCATGTCTTACCTTGACGTTCAGCATAGGATTTTTTAAGTTTACCCATGGATGTTGTCATCTTAACTTTAAAATGAACTTCACCTTAAAATACAAGAGAAAACTACCACAATGATATATAAAGTATATACCAAAAACAAACTAACTGTTATCTTGACCAACCACCCTTAGTTTAATGTACTCGTCAGCGTTGCTTGCATTATTACTCGTGGCTCCCTCCGTAGATGACATCTTTTAATGAAGAATTCTTAATATTTTGTCAATAAGAGAGAGTTACACTTTTAAAGTTCAAACTTATTTATTTATGAGAAAGAGATACCGAATAGTCCAGAAAAGCTTAATGATTGGTCATTCTGGTGGAAACGTTTGCACATCACATCAATGCATCAGTTTGCTGAAATAGTGCTACAAACAATGGAAAATAACATAAAAGATGTCGCTCAGATAGCCACCCACCGAAAGAAGCTATACGTTCTTAAGCTAGCAGCTGTTTTGATAATAGACTGGTTAGGGCTCGTAGTCTAGGAGTGCAAACCAAAACCGAATGCCGCTGAGAAGGAACACAGCATCTGAATTTAATGGAATAATTAGACAAATAGATCTGTAGGATATCAAACGGTATATTCAGTTAGATATTTTAGACGTATCAATGATGACCTTGACGTAAAGCACGGCAATACGTGATATTGATGCTTTGAAAGCGGATTGAAAGACTTTCTCCAAGAGTTAAATTGATAGTAGATGTCACTCATGTCATCCGACTATTTACATTTGACCAGAAGAATTTAGCAATATCAATAACCTACAACAATAAGCATTATATTATTGCTGACTGTTGATATTAACTATACAGGAGAATCATTCCGACAGTAGGATCCTATCGGATTCCGACAAGTGTCAGACAGTGAATATACAGAATACCATATGTGTTTCGATAAAACCGACGAAATCTTATGGGATTCCTGGACATAGACCTACAGTCGGATCCTTGGTATTGGATTCAATTGGATCCGATATTGGATTTTAACGGGTCCAACTCTAACGAATCACCCTTGCTCTCTGATGGCTCAAAATGCTTATTTGATCGTGAATAAGAAAATGATTTTTTCCGTCGGGACTGACAATAGGCCCGTGTCCAGAAATCCTATCTTATTCTGTCGAGGAGTCGAATCCCATAGGATTCGATAAGATCCATTGTCGGATTCATTCACCTGGATATTTAGAACTGGTTTTATTTTGAGCACATGCATTGATTGTCATTTGAACATTGGTTTGATTTTTCCGACATACCTGACTACAGAGAATGGATAATGCTGTGAAAGGAGGATCAAAATCCTTTTTTTTTCTTCACTCAAAATCAATAAATATTTCCCTCTAGCGTTCGTCTCATTACGCCATTATGTGAAGCATTCAATACGTATGATAATCTATATCTTGGTTTTGTTTAAGGACTAAGAATATTTTTGATGATCTATCTTTTGTTTTTTTCAAATAAAATCAAGAAGTGCTCGTGGCCTATGCGTAATTATATAAACAACGTCGCCAATCATTTGTTTTAGAAATTTCAAGGAAACTCTTGTAATACTGATAAAGTCGATAAAAACGAGAAGTAAATCACGTTTATTAGAAGCAACGATATACAGCTAGATAATAATTTGATATATAATTATCGTCAGCTCTGCCAGAACTTGTTTCGTCTGATGTGAGAAATAGATGATGAAATGAAAACATTCGCGATGGATCTATTCTTTAAATGATCGTATGTATAGCAGATCTTTTTAAATGTTCCCTGTTAAAATTATGGTAGATAGTGTGAGTATACGAATTATTAGAGCCTTCCAGTTCGTGTACATCATTGGGTTAAAATCTTAATTATTTTTGAAGAGCGCTGAACATTTTTTTAAGCTTCATAGCATCATTTTAAAATTCTCTGTTTATTTAATCAACTGTAGAAATTATCATATTACATAAGCAAGGATTTTACATGTCAACTGACGAAAAATCTCATGTCTCGTTCTTTGAAAGTTTTTAGTCATATTTTTCTGATTACATGGCATCAAAATATTTTATTTAAATCCAAATAAACCATTAATAAGTAAATCGTCTCTATAGTAGCTAGTCAGATAAATCTGTATGTCATAGTTAAAAATACAATTTACGTAGAGTGCGCAATTGAAATCACATCTTGTCTAATATGTTCATGTCATTATTGATATCATAACAATTAGGCCATTTGAGTGTATCATAAATGCGATGTGCACGTTTCTACTCTTCCGATCTCAAAGATCTTTTGACTTTTTCATATATTAGAGAACTTTATTTAGTTTTAAATTGAACACAAAATAGAATTTAACAACTAAAAAGAGTTGAATTTTTATTTGTCTTCTAACAGAAAAAAATTGACTGATCAGTGAGGATGCCTCGAAGATTTCACATTCTTCATTAGAATTTGTAACAAAACAATTTGAAAAATAGAATTTCATTAAATTGTAATCATATAAGATTTAAATAGATTTTAGCACGAGTTCTAACTCTTTGCCATTAAATTTGAAGGAGAAACTCTTCAAGCATAATATCCTACATTATTACCGTTATTGCGATAGTATTTCTTGAAGAGCAGATAATTCTTTTGCCCTTCCAGCATTATTACTGTGCACTTGACATGCAGTATATTGATTTTCTGATATTGTCACCTGATTATTTCATCCTGTATAAAAATCTTTATTTTTTGAGTGAAGAAGACGTCTTATTAAAAATGTTGCCGAAATCTTATGAATCATTTACAATGCCAATTATTTTGTTGACTGCGTTACTTTTGTTTGGATTGCCGTAAAAATAAACGGAAAATAGCTGAATATTCATTTGCATGAAAATTTGATGTTTATAAAAATGAATCACTATAGTTTAGTTCTTTTTCCAACTAATTTAGAAGGTATCTTTCCTTTTTGTTTGGAAAGCCTTCAGTAAATTATATTAGAATAGTTACGCATTATTTATTTTTTATGTTTTGTTTTTGTTTTCAAATCTAGTTAATTCATAAGAAACATCTTCTATTGCCCTATTGAAAAGATTCTACTTAATTATATACATGTATAGAGACTTGATATATGATCATAGAAATACATATTATTATCATTATGATGTAACAATTTTAGTATTAGCTCACATAAATTTTCATGTTAATTAATTTTGTTATTCGCGAGTATCATATTTTTAAATGAACACATAATTTTTTTTATCATCTCTTCGATATGCTATTGCTCAAATTATGTTTTCTTTATTTTTTTTAGAAGAAACACATACGCCGACGTTGTTAGAACAATAAATTGTTCTGCAAAGAATGCATTCAATGCTCACTCTCTGTAAGTAAAAAAGACATCGTTTTTTCTTCATTGTTACTTTTGTATTTTTTCTTGTCTCTCTCATTTTTTTCGTTGCATCCAATTATTGTCTTGAACACTGGCAGTACTTATGCTAGAAGAATAGAGAAGAAAGATCTTATTGTTTGTCTATAGTCGTAGAGCACAAAAGCATACATATATATTAAATAGGATGCAGTTTATTTATTTCTGCCTTTTTAGGATGATTTGTAGCTGTGCATGGGTCATTTTAGCACCCATTGATCAAAGTAATACTAACTAAGTTATTTACATAATAAACATTATCAAAGTCTATAACTTTTCTAGATTCTCAAGAAACAAAACATCATCAAGCAGCTGCCATTGCAAGTCGTCTTTTGAAAGAATTAGCTGAAGAACAACTTATAAATAAATATCAACAAGAGAATGAATCAGAAATTGAAAAACTATCCGATGAAACTGACGAAGATTTTGAATACATATCAACAACCGATGGCTTATATCCGGCGCCACCTACCATAAATGGCGAAGATGTGATATCAGATGCAAATGACACTAAATATGATCTTCCCATAAATGACCTAGATTTAATGAATGATTTAGAAGAACAACAGCGTATGTTTTTTTATCTTTTTTCTTGTAAGTTTCGAATTCATTTTCTAAGCTTCTCATTTTAGTTGACGAAGATATAGTTTCAATCTTACACACACCAACTATTGATGATAGTACAATGAAAGTAGAAAATCATTCTTAATGATATTTTATTTTTAGGACAAAACAAAACAACAACCAAATGAATTGAGAAAATAAAAATGAACATTGAGACATTGTTTTTCAAACTACGTACACATATAAATATAGTCTCTAATTAGTGTACATATATCTATTCATGTTGTATATATACGTAACTACTTTTGTTAAAAACAAAAAAAATAAACTTAATAAGCATAAGAATACAGTTTTCATTTGCATTAATAATTTTTGTACGATTTATTCTCCATCACGACTACTTCGATAAACACGAAGAATATCATCAACAGGAGCTCGACATATAGGACATTTACAAGCATTTGCTGATGTAGCTTGTTGAAGTTGTAATCCACACATATAACAAACGCAAAGATGACCACAACGATATAGAACTGTATCAGCGATGGCACTTAAGCAAACGGTACAATGACCAGCCTGTACTGGTTGAGTTGGTGGATTTATAGCCGATGTAGAACTATTAGCTAAAGCACTGGCTACATCTTGACGCAATAATCTTTGCATATCCATTTGCATTGTAAACATAAGTTGAATCATTTGTTGCATTGAATCAAGTCGTGTTGATAATTCATCAATATTTGAAGCAGGCTATTTTATTTAAAATAGACATTTAAAAAACGAAAGGTTTCACAGAACAAGATACTTACTGCGCGAATATTAGCTCGTGGTAGTGGAGGACGAATGATTGGTACTGCAGCCGCGGGAGCTACGCGCTGTTGTTGTTGTTGCGGTTGTTGTTGAACAGGTGCTGCGCCTTCCAAGCGATTCTATATAATATACAAAAGAAAAATGCCGGTTTTGATCATTAGATTCAGAAAACTATCTTACTAAAACATTTCGTTCGAGATGCACACGAAAATCACTTTCCAAAGCACTTGTTACTAATTGTCGATGGACAAGATCGCTAATATCTAACACAATTCTTTCACGTTGTAACTGTGTTATAGCTTGCCATGCGTCGAATTCATTTTCTTGCCTATTGAAATTAATTAATTTTCATATATCAATAGATTATTTGAAAATTGGAATACCTGACAACGTTCAATACTTCACGTGGTGGCTGTTGCTGTTCGATTAACGGTTGAGGCATCGTTGGAGGTGTCTGTGGCTGCTGTTGTTGTGGTTCAACATTTACCGTAGCTAAAACTTGTGGCAAAGTTGGTGCTTGCGAAACTCGTTGCACTGGCTCTACTGGTCGGATTCCAATGGTTTGACGAATAGTATTTTCTAGATCTTGCCGAAAAGCAGCACTACTTAAAGCTGCAGATACACATCGACGATTAGTTAGTGAATTAATATCAGCTATATGAGCGCTCGGTACTACTGGTCGCGTCGATGGAACTCTTGGTACCTGTTGACGTTCGTGAATATTATTAAGAAATGTTGCGATTCGGTCTCGATTATCTTGTCCGGTTACTGGTCGTTCACCTAGACGTATACGGCGCAGTTCAAACATGACTTCAAGACGTTGTCGTTCGATAAATCTTGTAAATGCATCAGCTTCAATTTCAAGTGCCGAACAAGCTACATCGTGTTCACTTCTCGAACTTGAACTACATTCAGATTCATAACCATTTTCATCAACAGTTGATGTCTTATCTTCATCTGAATAGTTCAATATAAAGCATCATCAAAATACGATTTTCAATTCACTACCTTTACTGGCCACTCTCGTATCTGTATTGTCTACAGCAGTTGCCATGGGCAAACCAGTCGAAGTATTATATTCTTCTGCCATTTATTTACGTTTATTTTATTAAAAAGAACCTAATGCTATTTTTTTAATGTGAAAGCAGACTGCTAAAGAAAATCGAGAGAACAGACATTTATTTTTTACGTATTGCACAACTGTTAACTCACAAACTAGATGAATCACTCGCGAGATTGACGTGCTATATATTTCTTTTGTTTCGCTACGGATGAAAAAAGCGTGCAAATGTCGATATGAATCAGTTACTGACTTGTGACCATAAAAGGAAAAAAGTCAATAACATACAACGTCATAGTTTTTACCTATATTTATCATATGACTCAACATAGAAATTTCTTTTACAAAAATCATGCTTTAGTATAAATTTATGTGTACTGTATAAGAGAAAATTTATTTGAAACGACTTTTCGTGAAAGATTTCTTAAAGAAAGTAATGATTGGTAACGAATATTTTTTTGATTTGGCATAGATTTAACTTGAAGATGTATTTTATCAATGTAAAAAATGTAATAAAAAATTTATAAGATAAATAACAGCTTTCAGAAACTATTTTGTCATTGATTACTCATAATTTACAAAATGATCCAACGAAATAATATCTATATTTTGTTTTTGTGTATAAAAACAAAGATATACAACAAGAAATCGTAGTTAGATTTTTCTTTAATCTATTAAGAAAATATTTAAAATGAAGTGTAATACAGAGATTTGAAAAAAATGTCAGAAAATAAAATGTAAACACTAGTTAATAGGAGACATGATGAAATTTCTTAAAAAAAAAATCAATTGTATTAACGAAAAAAATTCATTAATAAAATGAATATGCTGTTAATTCGAATTGAATCTATCATTCGCATTGATATATCTTTTATAGAAATGAATTCTTTACTTATAATTATTCTTGAACTTTTTGTACAGGACACTAACAGAAATGTAGCTACCAATCACAAACTAATGAAAAAGTGTTTAATATTTAATTTTATTATATGGTGAAGAGAAATTCATTTCAATCAAATATCATAGAAAACAATCAAATATATCACAGAAAATTTCTAATCACTTTGAATATTATGTTGTAATAAAAATTAAACATATTTTATTCAATTCGACCAAAAAGACGCACTCGAGAAAGACCACCGTCAGGAATAATATTGACTCGTACATGAGTAATTGGGCCAAGATCATTGAATATTTCCTTATCGAAGGTATGAATAGCGTCCATGGTTAACTTTTGTTCAGGCAATAGTGTTTCCCAAAATAATGATTGATTCACTAAAGATTTACTATTATTTATGGTAACATCAGCTGCTTGAATTAAGCATCGATCAGGATAATTGCCTTTATAATGAGCCGTATCAAGAACAATACGAGATACTCGTCCACGTTTACCTAAAGCAAGTACACACCATTCATTGCCAGGTAGGCGTCGTCGTCGAGTTTCCCATCCATCACCCATATTAATACCTCGTCCAGGGCGTAACAATGACCAAGGATTACCATAATGTTCATCACTTGCTGCCATTGCACGACCACCATTCTCAATGGCTAATAAATCTATTTCTTCATCTAATTTATCTTCAGGTGCCTGAACAATACCATAAACACGAAGTCGAGCTATGCCTCCATCAGGATAAATATTCAAACGAACATGAGTCCAACTGTCATGAGCATTGATGGCATGAAAATGATGAGCACTTGAACTTAATGTAACTGCATATAAAATTTCTTGCCAATTGTCTGGTTTTTCTCCTTTACTAACATTACATGCATCAAGCGAAGCAGCAACTGGATAATTTCCTGTGAAATGACTAGTATCAATATCAACGCCAACAATTTTTCCTGGTAAACCTAATTGCACAATGCACCAATCATAACCGGCAACACGTTTTCGTCTAGTCTCCCATCCTTCCATATATTGACCATGATCATCAAAACGTCCAGGATGGAAAACAGGTGCTGCTGAATTAAGCATACGAGATGCTGGTGCAAAAAATTCGTCAGAACAAGATATTGCTTGAGCACCGAGTCGATCATCAGCAAGATTCACATAAGCTGTTGCAATTGCCTGATCAAATGAATGTAATACAGTAGACATTGTAATATGTTCACCAATGAAAATAAGTTTTAATTAAATCTAAACAAAAATGTTTTTTAGGCGATCTGCTATAAATTATAGAATAAAATCTCTCATAAATCAACATTTCTGCAGTACGTTTGACAACGGAAACAAACTGAATATTATCTGTAATAAATTTATAGGTATCAAAGATCTATAAAAATGGTTCAGTCTAAGAAAAAACGAGACATAAACTAAAAAGTACTATTCTGCTGTTTGCATGCATATGCATGATTAGTATCACTATGGTTGATGCATTAAGAGTTGTGCACGAGTTTGAAAAGCCAAAAGATATGATAGGGTAAAATATAAGATAAGAAATATACACACTAAAAAGTATATTTGATCTTTTCAATATAAATTTGAAATGGAATATTACAGTTGGAACAGCCCATTGTCTAACTTAACTACTTCAACGAATTAAGAACTATCATATTTAAAAATGGTAGCATTTTCTCTACTTATTTTAGTGAATAAAATTTTCTGATTTATAAAACTATTTAGAAAATATCGCATGAACCAAAAGCTTATTACTGAAAGAGCAAAAAAATAAAAACAAAACAAATGTTTCAAAACGAATACCGAATAACCTTACTCCTTTCTTTATAAAATATCTCTTGATGGTTCCGTGAAATAATTTAATAGTAATGCATTTCTTTTCCTTTGGGTATCTTTTGTATGCGTATGCTTATCTCGTTACAGGTAAAGTAATAATACTCCTATATGCTTTACTTATAAGACGTTATCTAGGTGTTTATTGAAAGTAAACAAAGCAGAGCTACGACTACACTCAAAGGACAGAGAGATAAGAAAAAAAGCTGAGTAAACTGAAACAGTGAAATCAAACAAATATAATTTGCGATCGAAACACTTTCAGTGGACATTTTTTTCCATATGTGGATGGAAATCGAAGAGTGACTTATTACAATACACGTTTTGCTAATTTTCTCATCTAAAGAATTTATGATAGTATGATTTTTCATACACTAAGGTCGAGTCTTTTTTTTGTACTTGAGAATGATTAAAAACGTCATATTTCACCTAGATTTTTGTACCTATTGCACAAGGACATTAGATAGTGCATTGCTTTACCTTTTCATTTGATATTAATGTATTTTCAAATACGATAGTACACCTAAGACGTCTTGCATTTACTGCCTCTGTGCTCTTTATTTCATTTTTCTTTTGCGTAGTATTATAAGTTAAGATCATGTGTAGAAAAATTATACTTATTCCTACATATCATGTCAATTAGATCAGCTTAGTTACAACTTTCAGTTTATCTGCTTGTTAAAAGAAGCGCTTCTAAGTGTGAGTGAGTCTTGAATATAATTTACTATGTCTACACCCACACTCACACCTCAAGATAGAACAGCTATCTATTTATTTGAATTCAGTTACAATTTATGTATGCTTGCTCATCGTTGACAACGTAGTATTATAATACACTGAATACTTTAATTTTCAATGGTATCAAGAAGTTTTAGTGTCAGTCTTGAAATTTTCCGTTTTCACTATTTCCAACTTCGTCGAATAAATTCGTACTTGAAAACAACTGAATCAATTATGATTTCTACTAGATATAAACTTTTTAGTCTAAATAATTAATTCACTAGCGAGTCGATTGATTAACATCTGAGCTGGTAACCATGCGAGTTAGTTCTTTTCCGATTGTTTTTGTGAGATGATTTAATTGTATTTCGATAGTTGTGATTCGGACTTGGTTCCTCATTCTCAGTTGATAAAAAAAAGTCTGTTTTGCTGTTTAATTTTATTTTCAAGTCCATTTAATTTTTACCTGACAAAACATGCGACATAAAAATACTGTATTCATTGCAGTGTATCTAACACACAGTAATACATCTTCGATTATTTTATTGTTCAAAGCAATTAGTATTTTACACTCACACCCTCAAGATAGAAATTAGTAAGATATCAATATAATCATGTTCATTTGTATAGATTTAGTTAATTTTATGAAAGTCAAATTCAAATTTCAAGAAAATGACAAGTATAAGATGTAAGGTGAGGTTTTTAGCAGCTCACCGCCTACCCCTCCCCATTTACAGACATCAGTTATTACAATTACTCAGTTCGCTCATTGGAGATCATTGTAATGAGGCAGGATTCTACTTCTTTCTTTCTCATGACGGAAAATTAGAAAAGGGAAGTCATACCTATTATAGACATTAGCAACTAGCATAATTAAATAGGTAATATCCTGAGTACAGATCTTAGCAGTAGGGTATATTTTTACTACAACTTTCCATTTGATTTATTTCCGATCTGTTTAGTGAGCCTAACGAATATATGTCAGTTCAACATATTAGCCGCAATGAGACTACGCACAATACACTTTGACGTCAACAGTATTTATTATAAAATTTAATGATAAATACTTTGAAAATGTAAAAACGATTGTCATAAACAAAATGTTTTATTGCACTTTTGGATTTTGCACATTTTTCTTTCAATCCAACCAACATTAAATATTTCAGAGCATCAGAGTAATCAATAGTTGCTAAGTTACATAATCAATGAACTTTTTACATTTATCTGTTACTAAGATATGGTTGGTATAAGTCACAATGATTTTCGATTCTTACTGATAGTCAAGTCTATTTTCACTTTCCAACATAAAACACGAGAAAAGACATGTTATCAGTTTAAAATAATATCAATGACGGTCGAACATGGTGTTCGTTTGTTGAAAATTGTGTAACAAGTAAATTTTAATTTGAGTTCGTTATGTTTTTTTTTGTACACCGTTAAAGTTGCAGCTTTGATTAATAGTCATATTTTCTTCAGACATAGATAAAAAGTAGACGCACCACAAAAGTAAAAGACGTTGAATCGTATTTCACATTTGAAAAAAAAATAGAAGAAGGATTATTATAAATTCTTAGTGTGATTATTATAACTGCTTGAATTTATAGAAAATAACAATGAACTATACGCCAACAATAAATAATTTATTTGAAATAAAAGAGAAATTAACTATATGAAAGCTGATTCGTGAAATCGTTATATTTTTAAAACATTGTTTTTTTTCCACATCTTTGTTGGATGATTGAAATTTGCATCAGAACAACCCGGTATATCATTTATATGTAATCTCTTTTCAATAAATTCAGTGCTATGTTCAATTTGCGTTTGCAGTACCTTCATTGATCTTATCTTCGATCTCAATATTGAATTGGATATTTGACTTGATGTTGGATTAAATTCTCAGAATTCGATCGACCATCCTGTATATAAGAAAAGTAAAACTAAGGGTCCTATAATAAAATGTGCACAGTTTCACCACCTAAAATATGTGTACCATAAAAAATTCAGCAAGATTTATTTCATTTCTAAATGAAGAGATCGTGTCGAGTGTAACGATACAGTAATTTGTATCTAAAATTCTTATTCATCATTTCGATGACTATTTTCATAAAATTTTTACTTTTGTTTCGATTTTTATCGACACATTTCTAGAAAAAATCTGGATGCAGAAAAATACATTTCACCCAGAAAAGAAAATGAATTATTTTAAAAATTAACCCAGAAATGAGTAGAATTATTTACAGATTTCAAAGTTTCTAGAGATTTATTCTGGAAAAATATTAACTTTCGATAGACCAGAATTTGAAGGATTCTTGTTATTTAACCCTTTCCGGCCCGGTGTTGCCATATGGCAACATTTTCCCCTAGGGGGGTACGGCAATTTTCAAACAGCGGGCCGGAAAGGGTTAATTATAAATCATTTTGATATTCAACAAATAAACACATGTTTTCAGACAAAAATTTTGAATATTCGGATGAAATAATATGCGGCCACACCCTCTACACACCCCTTCATAGTCTGTTTGTCAAAACTATGATTAATATAGATATTATGAAGAGACAAGCAAATGCACAAGAACAATCGATCAGAAATGCGCGTAAGTTTTAGGATGCTATCAAGTTCTTTCGTTGAAAAACAACTGATTTTTTATTACAAAAAAGAGAACATTAAGGAAACTCAAAGTAGCGTATAGAAATTTCACACAATTGAAATTACATGCATCGTCGTCATCATCATTTGTTATTTCACATATGTTACTCATTAACAACAGAATTTTGCATCAAAGAAAAAATGTAGCAATAGCATTTTGTTTTAATACTTACACACACCCAATTAGGTCAATGAATATTTTTAATTTGCTATTCAAATTATATTTCTGAAGGATTTGGTGATGTATTTTATGGTTTATTCGTTTTATTTTATTGTAAATTATCACATCACTATGACAGAAAAAAGGGTAAATTTCATGAGGATGGCGCCGACAATTCTTTGACCATGGCTTCTACTAATTTAAATTTTTGTATTTTGCCGGTTGGTGTTGTAAAGGGAAGAAATGATTCAATAATTTTAATATGTTTTGGTACTTTGAAGAATGCCCCTCTCGACGACAAAAATTCTCTCACTTCTTCGGTATCATCGACTTTTGTACCTGGCTTGGCTTTTATATATGCACAAAGCACTTCACCGTATCGTTGATCAGGCACGCCAAATACTTGGGCTTCAGCTATAGTTGGATGTTCCAAAAGAACATTCTCTACTTCAACTGGATATACATTAATGCCACCAACAATAACCATTTCTTTTTGACGTGATCGATAATATACGTATCCTTCTTCATCCATAACACCTAAATCACCTGTTTTCAACCATCCAGAAGCTGTCACAGTTTCACGTGTTTTTTCATCATCACCATAATAGCCTAAATATATTATAACGAATAAAGAAAAATAATATAAGTTCTTATGAAAGATAGCGTACCTGTCATAATATTAAAACCTCGTGCACAAACTTCACCCTCTTTGCCAATGGGTACAATATCTCCATTAGAATCTGCTATTTTCATTTCCATTCGAGGAACTACTTTTCCGATAGATGTATATCGTCGTTTTTTATCATCTTCAGCATAGACACTCATTGCCAGTACTGCTGCATTTTCTGTTTGACCGTATCCTTGTGCTATTGTTTTTATTGGAATTTCACGTTCAAGTTGTTCAACTAAGACAGGATTGACAGGAGCTGCACCAATTATAGCAAATAAAAGAGAACTCATATCGAATTCTTTTTTTTTCGGATGAGATAGTATATCACGAAAAATTATTGGTGCACCTACTAATGCTGTACATTTTTCTGTGTTGACAGTTCGCATTGTTTCCACAGTATCAGGTAAAATACTAGGAAACGTTGTAAAATATTTTGGTGCATTTATATTCATCGTACCAGCTATTTCACCGAATATATGAAATGTTGGTATAGGACAGCAAACACGGCTCATTAATTCTGGATAGAAATAGTAAACATGAAAAGCATTATTTAAACTAAAAATATTATAGAAAGAAGTTGTTTGAACAAGATCTTCAAAGTATATTTACATATTGTGATTTGTCAATGTAGCTGCTTTAGGCTGTCCTGTTGTGCCTGAAGTATAGAAAATTGCGAGAGGAGTATCACCATTTAATTTTGATTGACAACTACGTAGTGCGTCGTGTTTACTGTTTGCACCTTTGCGTATTAGATCAGAGTATGAATGCATACCTTTTGGTGTATTAAATGTTTTATTTTGATCACCCTTCGTCAATATAATATGTTTCAATGTTGGTACAGCTTTCGAATGAATTTCACCTTTCGTTTCATTGATTTCAGGTACTAACTTGTTTATTATTTTAATACAATCAATTATTTTTACATTTGGTCGCATCACTAGTCCTTTGCAACCAACTTTATTTAAACAATATTCTAGTTCACGACCCATATATGCTGGATTTATATTCACCTATAATAAAACTCTATAATATAATTTTACTAAAGAATATGATTCATTACTTTAATCACGCCAACTTTTGATGTTGCATATGAAAGTACACAATTTTCAGATGTATTTGGTAACCAAACACCAAGTCGATCGTTTTTTTCAAAGCCAAGTTCGAGTAGACTTGCAGCTAAACTATCAACTTCGTCAAGAAATGATTTATATGTATAACGTTTATCTCCTTCGGCTTTAAATGCATAGCATTCATGATTTGGATATAGTGCAGCTAAACCATCCAAATGTTGACCAACTGTATGATGTAATAATGGAATTTCAGATGCATGATGATAATAACTTTGCGTTAATTTTGGTGAAGGTATCACAACTTTTATGGATACTGAACGACAAGAAGAAATTCTTATTATTGCTGGACATAATGATCGATACGATGTCCATATACGTGATGATTGTGACAGCATGACAGCAAACTATGATTCACTAACAAATTTTATTTGTTGATAAAATACGTTATCGAAGTAAATACAAACAAAAAGACTATATAAACAAAGACGAACAAAATAAAGAAATAGCCGATTTGCTATTCAAAGATTGCAATGAAAACATTTCTCTTTCATAAAAAGAAAAGAAAAGAAAAAGGTTAGATGTGAACTTTGTACTTTGTTCATTTTATAATTTTTAAATCTTTCATAATAATAGTAACATAAAAATGGCTGAGATAAGCTACATACAATTCGTAAATACACGAGCGCTATCAACAACATGAATTACGTTGACACTGCCGCCAGTGTATGTAGAAATTGTATGTAACTTATCTCGACGCATAAAAATTCATCAATTTGCATACCTTAACGATAATTTTTCAAGTATTGATTAAAGACAAAATATATTTAATACAATCACCAATTGGTTGCTGTGGACTTTTCTCCTTCTTTTTCTACCAAATATTGGTTATACGGTTGTAAAAGAGAAGGCAAGTGAGCGAGAAAAGAGAGTAGACGGGAGTGATTGATACAGTAGCGCTTATTTTATGTTTTATAGAAGCAAGAAAAGAAAAAAATTGTTTGATGGCAGACCTTTGATGATTGTTGCCTTACGAATCATTTATGCACAGCAAAAAGAAACGCAATCACGAAGGCTGTCTCATGCGTGGTAGTAATAGTAATAGTTTTATACGTTATCGTGTAATAGCGTCAATGTAATCGTTTGTTTTTACAACGGCAATAGAAGAGAAAAAGAACAAATAAGTTAGACTATGTACTATTGGGTACATTTTTATTATCGAACAACATGATGTAAAAAGAACGTCGAGGACTTTGCTTTTGCTGTTCTTTTTGTTATAATACATAGAAAGTCAGTCTACTTTTAATATCAATAAGCGTCATACATGGAGGAAGTAGAAGAAGTAGGTCAATAATTATGACAGAGATGTCGGTCTGGAGAAAGAAAAAGAATCGCAGTAATAATATCAATAAGAAGAGTTTTTCACTTACATATCACGGAAAATTTTCGAGAATTTCTTTTTTAAATTAGTCAATGCATCGGTAGCCTTTAAGAAGTAAATTTATAGAAATATTTCGTCAAAATATAAAATAATCCTTTCAATTTTTTTTATCTTACATGAGTACAGTTCGATGTTTGTCGAATATTTTCATTTTGACTATGATAGCATTTATTAGTTTTTGGAAGTTTTGATAGCTCATCAACACTAGGTACTCTTCTTAAAAACCGTAGAGAAAAAAACATGTTATTATTAGAAGAAAAATTTCATTTACGTTAAAATCGATAGCTGTTGATCAGGTCGACAATAGATTTGCATTTTATGTATAACGAGATCAGCAATAGCTCGACAATCTTCTTCCTGCATTTCATTTAATAATTCCATTGTACAATCCTTAATTTGATAAATATATTCTTTTCCGTTTGTTGATTTTATAACTTCAATCACACATATGTCAAGTCCACCAAATAGTTGACTCACTTCATCAATCCATAAATGATATCTTTAGATAGGGAAACGAATTAGAAAAAAACATTAATAAATATTTAGTTACATATTACAGCAACCTTTCAGTCATATCAATTTGTTTTATACTAGATGAACCAATATTTGTTTTCCAATGATCAGTTGATGATTTTCGACTGAAAAATCAAATAATTCAACTGAAAACTGATATTTTTCTCTTGATAAAAAGAATATTCAAGTTTATAGATGTACTTAAAAGAAAACGTAATGCTAGTCTATGTGTACGTAAAACAACTAATAAAATATTTATATTTTACTTTTTGATACTTCAAATCTTTCTTATCTGACCATTTAAAAAATTAGTTTTTCATGAGATAACATCGTAGTCATTTTTAGATTTTATATCAGTAAGAAGCTATTCAAAACAATATATCAATTTAGAATTTTTATTTTTCTCTAAGATTTCATTTTAGATTTCTGTTGTTATTTTTATGCTTAAAATTGATTATGACCACAAAAAGTGAAGATCTTTGGATTGGCTTAGATTTGTCATAGAAAGAACTGTCTTATTTCAGCTAAATTACATGTTGTGCTTCTACTTTGTTCAGATCTGCATGACTCTTTCTCTTGTCTTAAATTTTTTGATTGAAAGAATACTACATTCATTATAATCCATTAGACCGACGTCAACTTCTTTCTAACCATTATTTTAAATAGTAAGCACTCAACAGATCCTATTCAATCATTTTCTCTTTGTTGAATAAATCACTAATTGCAGACTTCCCTGGTTGAACTTCAATTCTACATGTCTAAGCTTAGGAAGTGGCAGGACTGACTCCATTTATTGAACCATCTTTTTTATACAATCTTAGCTAAGACTCATCCCTTGTGGACTAACTTGTTGGCCTACGAGCATAACGTTGACAAAATTCAGAAATGGCAAGAGTTCTTGGTTATTTCGCTATTGACTAATTTTAAATTTATGAAGTTTTCGCGTACATTCACATCCGTAGTACTTAGAAAAGTAACAGTAAGTTTTTATATTTCGATTCAACTGTAACATTGTTCTAAGATTATCTGATAAAAATCTGCAATCTTATAAGTCCTTTTCTTCTACATAATTTCCGAATTCAATTGAAATATGAATTTGATGGCAAATATATGAAAATTTGAAAAATAATGCTTTTTCGAATTTCGTAATCCATCTGATAGCAAGATTCCAACGATGGCAAAAATATTATTTGTTGAGTACCATCAAATATAGTTGCCATCGTTTATTTTACGTGGTTCTTGTATACTTCTATTTACTTTTTGTCTACTTTAGACCTTTGGTTACAATCTATACTCGTCAATATTTCAAGTGAGACTAGGATGCAATATTAACTTACCTAAAAACTTTATAATTGTTTCCAATCTTTTGTATATAAACATCATATTGTCCATGAATATATGGTTCAATTGTTGAATAACATTTACTAATTGAAATAAGACTTGTTAAATCATGATAATCGTCTGAATCTTTAATTTTAATCTTAGGATAAAAAAATAATAATATTCATGTTAACTAGAGTATTTTATTTTCTTAAAATACTTTTCCTAAACCTTGATGAGTTCGACCAATTTTAAGAATTGATGGATATTGTGGTGAAATAAACTAAAATAGATAAAAACAAAGTAAGAATTTTATGAATAGATATTATAATTCATTCCATTGACCATTTTCCTATGATTTGGATAATAAACTTGACTTATCAATGGAAATTGCTCAACACCTAAACGTTGTTGAATTTTAAGTAATTCTGCAAACTGTAGTAAAGAAATTTTCTTGATTTAAAAGTAAAACAAAAATGAAAGTGTGAACATACAATCCAAGGTTTATCTCGAAAATTATATAAAGCTCTCATCGAATTAATACTTGGTACAGCTCCATATTGCATTCCAAGTATGATATTCATCCAATCAACATTATAGTCAATTACATATTGACGTACAAGTACGAAATCTGGACAAAATGATCTTTAAATTAAAAACATGAATTAATTATTTCAAACGAAAATAGATAACATTTCCTGTTTTTTTTTTCATACCGAACAATATGTTTTCCATTCTGAAGAACATTGGTATTTATCAAAATGCCACCGTGAGAATAAGCAGATAGATTTATTTCTTGAAATTGGGCCTAAAGTATTTTTCAATAATTTTCATCAACAAATAGAACTGTTGAAAACCGATACGAGACTCTATTCCGTTAAGACTTATACGTGTAAACAACATTTAGATATACATAAAAAAAACCTGTTCAACAAGAATATCGTAATCAGCAAAAATCTTTTTGTTTTTGAAATATTTACTCCTAAGATGGTGTAAATGTATATTAAAATAAAATCTGCAAAAATTTACCAATCGATTTGTTTATCATCGATAATCAATAATATTTTTGATTTTCCTTTCAATGTAGTTGGTGATGATATGAATCCTATTGCATTTTTTTGATTGAAATCTTTTATAGTATTCATAAATGAATCTGGGTATAAAATATTTTCAATCGGACGATTTGATCCATCAATATGTGATATTAATTTTGTTTGACAAGATACACTATTCGTATGGGAATCATCTAATATTGATCTAGTCATCGTAATATCATTTGATTCATTTTCAAGCTCCTTTACAGATAATTGCCGTTTTATGTAATTCATCATTGTTATTGAATAGCTTTTGTATCTAAACTTATAAAGACAAATATTGTCTAACATTCACAATTTGGATTATTTGATGTTTTTCGATCTTGACAACATTGTAATTTATTTGAATGCGATTCAATACGGAAACTAATCAAAATACGATTCATATTAAACCGTATTGCTTTCTGTGTGCAGGATAAAAATCAATTGCGAATAAATAATCCAGAGCAAAGAGACACAGATGAATAAAGCAAATGCCATGATTTATTCAATATGTAGATATTACGAGTAAGAAAACAAGAGAAAATAAGTTGCTCAGAATCAATCATCTCTTTATTGACAAGAAAAAAGTCAAGACTCGTGTGTTGATCTTGAAGGCACGTGTGACTGCTAGGGAGGTAATGAATTCTATGCAAATGACAATACTATATGAACTACATCAACCCATCTTTTCCTTTTCTCTTCTCTTTTGATGAACTCTTGAAATAAAGTAGGAATACAGGGGGGGGGGGGGGCAANCAGCACAACGCTTAAATGAGTTTCTCTCACTTTCTGAGTAGAATACATATTCACTATTAACAAAAAAAAGATGACAATTCTGTCTGACTACTATGTGGATTGTTCAACTGACGCTGCATTGGCAAGAGCCATATTCACTATGCTATGGTAATTAGTAAATATCGTATGTAAGGTCCTGACGCTTTTAAGAAACTTTTTTTTCAAATAAGTTTTGACTGTTTCAAGTAGAACAAGATGTGCTCTTGTCAACTATGCTGCTTGTTTTAGCTTTTGACTTAGCATGATGCCCATAATTTAGAGTTTTCTGTAGAATCCGTTACAAAACACAAGAGCTTACTTGATTTTTGAAGCGAAATTCTTTTGAAATTCGTTTCTTATGCTATGATTTCGATTCTCACGATGTTAGCTCGAGACGTTACTTCCAGTTCCTAAGTTTCCATTTCACAGAGATCGTGAAAAGATAATATCTTGACTGAATAAGACTAGGAAATGGCGAAAATAAACAAAATCAAATAGAACAGGAACGATAGGTTGCAATTGGTAGTGTGATACTATATCAAAGTTGAAGATTAGACGTGTTTTAAAAGAAGAAAATATGAATTTTTCGTTAGGGGTGTGACGGCATAAGCGTCACTGATGTTATCTTAGTGCCTGCTTGTTTCTTTTTCTAGCTTCCCTCTCTTTTTCTCTTCTGTTTGTTTTTGCGCCTAATATTGTTAATTAATTTATTCTATTCTTCTCTTTTTTCTTCAAGCTTCTTCATATATTTCTCTTCCCTGAGACATACCTATACTCATTCTTTCAATACCTTTCGCTCATCATTCGAACGTATCTTCTCTGACTACTATTTTTCTTCTCTATCAAAAAGAACCATTTTTTTTGATTAATTACATATTACCTTTCTTTCAACTTGATTGTTCCTTACCATCAATCTAACTCAATTGTCCCTTACAATCGTTCCAACTCGTGTCAGCTACTTGCTTGTGGAATTCTTCTTATTCTCAATTATTTCTGTTCATTGAAGAAACTATTGGATCTTCATTCAATAGTCAAGACTATTTAATTTACATTGCTGTCATTCTGCCATAACCAATATTGTAGCACCTGTCATTTTTTATTAGTTGTGTCTCTGATCTTCATCAAGGAGTCTATAATTATGTCACAGCATCTTATTCTTCCTATCCATTTCTACACGTTTGTATCAGAGAAGAGCAAAAGCAGTAATCACATCGTAATCCATCACATATATCGATCTATTGAATGATTATCTCAAATCAATAAATAGGCTCACATGTAAAACAAAAAGTTAATTTTTTGTGTGGGATATGGGGAGGGGGTCTATAATTTACCACCTCTTGTATAAGACGCCGCAAGATTATGAAGAAGAAGGTGCGGATAAATAGCTACATGCAGAATGTGAAAAATCTTTATTAGTTGACACTCTAATCCACCAAGAGATATGAACAGATATCGGCGATAACTTCATTTTGTGCAATTAAAAGCAATTTATCAAGCTCTTCTATTTCAAGATTGAACATTACATCTTTTCTTAGATGACATACGATACATTTAACTGATGTATGTTGATGAGGAAGTGATATTTCTGCCTGCTTTAAAGGTTACAGGAACGTTTTCTTTTGCCACTTCATGATGATAGATAATAATTATCAAAAGGATGACAAACCGAGAAAAACTATATAAAAAAAGGTTGTTAATGTGTAAACCTTTAACAAATAAAATTGCAAAAAAAAACCAAGGCTAAATATATATATATTTATTTATATATGTATATATAAGTATGTGAACGAGTTCAATGATGCATGACCAACAGTAACCTACATAGAGAGGAGACCTATAAGAGTTTTAATTGACAAAACGACTTTCGATCACCTTGAATAGTGCGAACAGAGAATATTTCTTTCTCTTTTTCATGTTGATATATACGAGTAATATTGATTTTAGTATGTCATATACGTAGAAAGTTAAGTTTCAAATCATTTATTTAGACTGGCGACAGCGAAATCACTACCTCTTCTCATTCTCAAGGAAATCCATTCATTGCTCATTTATACGTGACGGTAAGAGATTACATCAAAGTTTCATGATATTAATGATCATAGAGCACAAGATATCTATTTTATTTTTTTTATACAACGATTGAGGTTTTCTTTTTTTGTAGCATTCAATAAAACTTGAGATTAAGTGTATTTAAGATAAAAACACACTAAAATAGAAATCAAATTTTAGTTCATCGATTTATTTAGTTTAAAATTATGAATTATCAATTTCAAACATCTTCGCCTTACGTGCAAGCAGCTATGTCCCAAGCTGTACAATCAATGTTAAATGGAGGATCATTACCTCCGAATTGTGTGGTTATGTCAGTGCCATTTCAACAAGTTCAACAAATGTTACCACCATTTATGATGAATTCTCCATTCGGTGGTAACGATCCGAAAGTCTTTCCGCAGAAAATACCTTATTATAATCTTTCACCATATTCAAATAATTCTCAAGCACGTGCTATTATGCATCAACAGAATTATAACTATCCAGCAGCTACGCATAAAAATAATACTAATATTAATAATAAGAAATCAAAGAAATCAAATCATCAACAACCTCATGCAAATGTTTACAATTCCGCGTCTTTTGATTCATATATGCGTCATTTAAGTTGGAGTCGTTTATTTGATCATTCTTCTCGAAAAAACTCTAAACAACAAAATCAAGATGAAGCACCAATAAATTACGAAAAGGGATCGAATGCATCAAAAAACCAACGATCAAATTCTTCATCATCATCGTCATCATCAACAACAAGTGATGAAACAATTCGACAAGTTAATGTTATTAATAAACAATCATCGAATATCGATCCAAAACAACAAACAACAGGTACTTTACCATTTAAATATTCATCTGAATTTGTACCAGGTTTTGGCAAACAACAACAATCACAAAACGTCAAATCAAATGATGTTTTCATTCTTAAGAAACCTTAATTAATATCTCCTATGAGAACAATTTTCTTTTTTTTATGTACAAAAAACAAACAAAAACATTAGTTTCATTTTTTTTTCACTTTTTTATATAAATTAAAATAGATAAGCCACCAGAAAGTTAAAATAATAATCATCTGACATATTCAAAAGAAGAAGAAAGAACGAAAGCTTCAAATAAATTCTCCTGTCTGTTCCAAAAATATAATTTAACGAAAAAATTCGTCCGGAATAGTTATATTTGCTTGTAGTGTTTGACGATCTATCACTCGATGAAGACGAAAACGTTGATTTATTTGATTGAAATTATTTTTCTTTTGAGGAAATTGAAGAAGACGAGCATTCGAACTTTGACTTCCACCATCAATATCAAAAACCATACGGGTGTGTTTTATAAATATAATTGAATCATTGGATTGTTCATTGGATCGTTCAAAATTAACTATTTGATATGGAGTACGAGGTCCCATATAACGGCAAAGAACAATGGGAGCACAAGGTGATGGTGAACCACTAATATTTAAAATAAAAAAAAACACAGCAAAGAAATATTTAAATAAAATTTACTTATGAACCGTAAGTACAAGACCAGTGAAACGATGTCGAATAATATAATCACGATATCCTATATGTTGAACTTCAAAAACTTGTGATTCACCTTCATTCTATAGGATATAATTAATTAATTAAATCAATTAAAATTCAAAACTAACTTCAACATTTCGATCTTGTTGTACTAATGTTGAACGTTCAGTTGTATATGTAATAAATTTACCTGAATGTAAAACTTCAATTAAATAAAAGCCTTCGGGTATTTGTTCACTCTATAAGATCAATAATAGTAATAGTAATGCATACGTTGAAAGTAAAATTCAATTAATCATACCGTGAGATACCATTGATCGTGCATGGTAAACAGGTATGAATAAATCTCAATTAAGCTCTTATAGTTAAGTGTTTGTTTTTTTGTTTTCGTTAGTCCTACTATTCCTACTTGTTTGTCGATTAAGTGCAGCGAAGAAGAATGAATCGTTATCGTGGTCGTCGTTACAAACACAATATTGTAAACAAGTTCACATTATCGAGAATGATGGTCGGAAAAGAAAGAATGATGAGAACGAGAGAATGACGAAGAAATATATGTTTTTATAAATTACGAAAACAAGCGAGTTAAATCCTGTGATGACGCATGAATGTATATGTATTCGATTTTATATGCTATGCGATTGAAATAGAATAACAAGAACGGGTAAATTATTAATTTTTTAGTTTCTAGAAACTAAATGATATTCTGTAAATCAGTATTATGTATCGTTTTTATTCTTCTCTTATTTATTTTAAAAGTGGATTAATTTATATTTATGTATTTCAGCTTGGTGGTTTTTCTCAACTAGAAATAGTTCACCACTTGATGATGATGATAAAGTTTATTGTTGTTGTTGTTGTTGCTTTTTTTACATGACACCACTATGAATATAGACACGAATGAAGTAGATTCACCTTGAAACCTATGTATTTTTACAGTATTTTAATCAGTGTAAAACTTCATCTGATATGATATTCTTAATCATTCTGACTTGGTTTAACCAGTACGAAAAATATTTTTTGCGTAGGCCATAATATATAAAAACATAAAACGAAATATGCCATTTGGTGATTCAATTTTATTATAAAAGTAAAATATCTAAAAACTTTGTTCAAGAAATCAAAAACTAGATTTTAAATTTATTTTAATCAATAAAAAGTCAGGATGAATATTTCAATAATCAAGTTGGATTAAAAAAGCCATTAATCTTCTAACAAATTAATTAATCATCGTCGAATATTATCGAAACTGAGTGTTATTCACACTAATGACACCTGTATATATTAATTTGTTCGAGCATGAATGAGGTAATTAGTTATGAAAGTGTTTGTTTTTATGTTTTCAATATGAAGCTTGCCATGCGATGCAAAAGTATAGCATTCATCTAGTACTATTGTTTTACTGGCTGAGCTTATCGATACATAGGGGACATTTCTCGATGTTAATTAACAAACCACATGATAACTGAGAAGTGTGTCTCGTCTCTCTCCATCAAGGTTCTTTTAACTTTTCTGATTTGCAAATCCTTGTTGAAACATTCAAATCTATATTAACAAGTAAACTGAATAAGGAAGTTAGTTTGTGCCTACTATTTTCGTTGTTTATTCCCTCAGAGCTCAATAATATATGAGGAAAAAAATAGTATCGAAAATAATTGTTTTTTAAAACAAGCAGTTAACCATGTCAGTGCTCATTTTGTAACAGATTCTAAAAAAATAATTGTATTTTTCTGCATGAAAAATGGTATTCTGATAGTCACAGAATCTAATTCGTGTAGTGAGTCTTATCAAATATCTTGTAGAAATTCGCTTATATTCTTAAACAAAAACACCGCAATGGAGACACATGTAGTAGTACATGTTTTGTAAAGCACGATTATATACCTGAGGGCGCTATTGTTTCAAAACAACACTATACAAAGTTTTGTATTTTTCGATATTATTTGAAGTAGTAAAGAAAGGTCTCGTAGTTGACTTATTAAGGGTGATATTTAAACTAAACAACGTTCAGTGCAACCAGTTGATTCTAGTACAAATGACTATAAAAAAATTATTTCTTTTAACTAATTCTATGCAATAATATAGCTCCTCAGTGATCGTTCTTAGTCTTCATAGAATGAGTAGTTCTATTATGAATCATGCGAAGTTTAAAACATCTGATTAGCTCTATTCATCCAAAAAATGTTTTTTGGCGAATAAAGTTTTTTTCTTCTTGTTGTCGTAGTATCGTTCTATATGTTTTCTTTCTGCTCGACAACAACCATATGATGAAAAACATAATTCACTAGCAATGCATCGGGCAAAACAAAAATATTAGAACTAGAAACTGTATACTGCTGAGAATACGAAAAGTAATTCTTTCTCATAAGAACCTACTAGTTAACCTCAAGTCTTATAAATTGTTCAAAGCTTCAGACAACAATCAAGTCTGTGAGTATTCAATATTTGCCAGTGTGCAATACATTATAAGCGTGTCTGCTGCATTTGCACACAAGCGTATAATACAACGATATAAATTTAGTTTAATCGATATCGATAACAACAACGCACATTATCTGCCTGAACAAGGCATTTAATGTGCGGCATCTGTGACTATAGTAAACGACAAAGAGAGAATCAACTAATCAGAAGATAGTATTCGTTGAAGGCATGTTGATAATTGTTTTCAGTTATTAATTTTCAGTTTTGCATTGAAATATAATTTCACTAAATAAAGGGAAAAGAAAAAAAGCTGATTTTAGGAAGCTGTAAATGTGCTTTGAAGGAGAGTATTTCGTACTTCATTGCACAAATAGTCATTCTTTTTTTGTTTTGACGTATCCGTGCATCACTAATGACTACTCAAAGTTTTGCAGTGAATTTCAAGGTCGAGCATAATTCAAATAGCATCTAGTTGTTTTTCTTTATTTTCATTATTTACGTTATTGTTTTTTTTCTTCAAATAGCTATTGATAGCTATGTCTTAAACAAAAAAAAACAATCAATTACATTTATTAGCAACTTTCTGACATCAAATGAAATTAATCAATTATGAAGAGATTTAGTAGAAAGAAAAAGTAATTCAAACGATGACTTGCGATAGACTCAACTGTGTTTTTCCGAATATTTCATTTGTACGAATACTGGCATTCAACCGAAGCAGTGATAAAATCTATTTTGAATAATCACTATTTTCTATCGTGTATGATGCCAAGTAAACACAGACGAAGGCTAACAAATAAATCTCGAAGAATAGCTGCCGTTATGAATAATATTGATACTTTACACAATTATAATCGATAGGAATCAATTGAAACAAAGTAGTATAATAAATTGATTCTTCTTTATTTGTGTGGACATTGCGTCAATATTCGATTTTAAGAAATATTCTTTTTCTTTCTACTGTAGAAGAATTTTAGATTGTAAGCTTTCTATTTTCAAGGTTATTGCATGTTCTCTTTTGAAAACATTGCTTTATTTCTCTAAAACAACAGAATCTTACTAAAACAAAATAATCATTTCAGATCTCTGTTCTTTTTCAATACAAACAAGATTTAAATGATAATCTACATCATATTGAATAGGATATATGTTTAAGGAAATTTTGATGAGAAGATACTCACAACATTAAATCAACAATTAGTTTTTCGTATCGCTCTAATCAAAAGATATAGCCAAATAAAACACTCAAGTCCAATATTTTATCCTTGTCAACAACATTGATTCAACTTTAAAATATTTATTCATAATTTTTTTCTCCTGCGTTTTAACTTATCGAATGATAGTCAAATTTTATCAAAAATAACATCAATAAAAATGGTTATTAGAAAAAACTCCACTAGAAAATAAGCTCTATATCTTGCAAAGTCAAATTCATTTTTGTACAGTTTCTGCATCAAAAGAAATACTTATAGCTCTTTTGAATATTGTATTGCTGAAACGTTTGCGTAATCAAAAAATAGCAATAAAGTAGTTAGGCATATTTTTGATCACTGAAATTAATGAAGACATTAGTTGATCGAAGTGTCAGCGTGATTGCTGATATCATCATAGATGACAATAGGTGAATAAATCAGATTAAAATAGATTATTTTATTTCAAATTTCTAAAATTGGAGTAATAATTACGATGGACTCGAAGCATTTGGGAATCAAAATACAAAAGAAAAAAACGAAGCTAAATCGGATTGAAACAAAAACATTTTATTCTGTTTTTGATAAAACAAACAGTGATTTTATTCTAATTTTTTCATTTTCTTCACGTAAAATCCAACTTATCTTCATCAAGAAACACCCTCACCTACGCTGTCATTCTCAACTCCACGTTAACTCTTCACTGTAGTTGACATGTACCTTCGAAAATTTTAGCTGATCGATCGAATGTATATTTTGCCAATAAAATCTAATCAATCATCGAATTGAGTCTATAAAAATAGAATTGATTAATAATAATTGAAGAGAATACTTGTTTTAACTTTTATACCGATTAAATAATCGTATAACGAAAAAAACAATCAATAAACATTTCCTATACATACATCTTATGTAGAAGCATAAACAAAAAACGAAATTAAATAGTTTCTGTATGATGTTTTTTGTTTGTTTTAATTGGATTTGGTTAAAATTTCATTGCGGTATCGTTTGATTATAATTGAATCCTTTTATTTTTGAAGTTAATGAATCAAGCAACATCTTACTATTTTCGTGTAGAGTTTTTATATAAAATAAAAAGAACTAAGTTGTTTAGTTTTTTTCATCCACAAACAAAAGAAAAGAAAATATTGTATTCATGAGATGAACATAATTTAATGTCATTGGAAGATTTTTGATCAAAAAGAAAAGAAAAGAAAGCAAAATATTCTTGTAGACACCCATAAATTTCTCAATGTTGGTTATTATTCATGTTTGTTCTCTTTTTTTCTTTAGTTAGAGGATCGAGCATGCAAATTGATGTTTCTGATGACAACATTAAGAAAACAAATTTTCTCTGTTTTATTTTGATACAATTGACAACGCGGTGAATTCATTTGTTAAGGAAAGCAATGATTGAGTTGATCAGAGCAAGTAGAAATATTTTTGCTACTATGACTGCTGCTGTGGCTTGGTTTCCATGTATTTCAATCAACATGATTGAATCAACAACAACAACAGCAATTTAGTTTTGTTTCATTTAAGATCATTTAGTTTCTGTTTTAGCTAATGGAAAATATACTAAGTGAGTATTGTTTTGAAAAATAAACAATAAGAATATTTTTAAATCAATATTTTTCTTGTGATCAAAATATCTCATGTGAAATTAATTGATTATTGATTATGTAAGAGAATCATTAGAATTTCGATTAAAATGAGTGAAGTACTTCAATCTACATCGTTTATTTCTTTATTGTTAATTAAACAAAAGTATGCAATTAAATACTCACGTGTGAAGTAAATGTTTTCTTTCAGCACAATCTCTATACTCTATCATGGGCGTAATGTCTGATAATCCATGACGAGTTCGATAATAAAGAAAAATCATAGACACAATCAAGTACAGTACGAAGAAGAGTACCAATAAATTTAACGGCTTTATTAAAAGAAACCGAATCTATCTTATTTCTTGGATAGAATTTGTAAATTCCAATTACTACTTTAGTCAATAGAATAAAGTAAAAAAACGTATGTTGCAATCCTCGAAATTTTCGGAACGGTTTCACTTCATGCTTTTGTGTGTTCGTTACTGTCGTGAATGCAAATCAGTAGTTAAATAATCATTCGAAAAATCGTTTTGATTTTCAAAAACATTTTCTATTATATAAATGATCACACAGTATTCACATGTAGAGTTTCTGAAAGCTTAAACACTAAGTTTTTTAGCCGTTTGAATGGCATATTAAAATTCTGTTTAAAATAATAAAAAATAGCAGAACAATAGGTTTTTGTGTCTTTCCCAAGGTTACTGCATCTTGGCGAAATGGCAGCTGGAAGACAATGTTTTACGTGGAAAACTATTTATTCAGTTATTTTAAGTAACATAAATAGAATTCCATCGGTGAATTTTGGAAACTAGAAAACTTAATTTTTAATTCTTCAAAAATCGTATTCTTGTGGAATAGGCAAGTATTTTCATGTTTTGAAATATTTTTCAGAAGTCAAATTGTCTACTCAGAACACTGTCTATATTTTAATCAGCATTGATGACTAGAAAAAAAGAAAAATTACAACTAAACCCGGTTAGATAATTTCAAGAGCTCTGTTCATATATATATATATATATGTATTGCAAGTGATTCAAAGATTTTTCAATTAATAATATCCGACATGTTCCTATTTCTATTTCTATTTCTATTTTAATTTTCGTTTTATTGTATACATTACAACAAGAAAAATAACATGATTGAAATTGAATTATAGTAGTCGTCGTTGTCAACATTGTTACAGAAGTTTTTTTCTCGCTTTCTACTCCTACGCAATCTTTTTTGTTGGTCTTTCTTTTGTAAATAGATGCATATTGGGTGCATTTAAGTAAGTTCACCATTGCGTTTTTTATTTAGACAAGTACTATTGCCAAGCAATTAAGACTATTTTGACAATAAAGTAAAGGCAACTGAAAAAACTTTGATGTTGATTTCTTTGTTTATTATAGTAATAATAAAATATTTGTATGTATGAATTGACTTTAGATGTTTTTGTCCGGTAGACATTGATTATGCATAAGAAACGAAAAATATAAACACAAATGGATAAGTATTTTCTCGTGATCGGCATTCAATTTTTACTATGGCATGTAAGTATAGTTCATTTTTGTGTTCTTTTTTTGTCGTTGTTATCTGTAGTAAAATTTGTTTAGACATGTTTGTCTTTACAAGAATGCAATGCTACACAAAAAGGAAGCCAGCTGACTATTACCTGCCCATCGACTATCGTTAGTCAAGAACTTCCATTGTATAGTTTCAGTGTTGCTGAATTGGATAGTATCGTTTCATTGACAGTCAAAGGCGGTGAAGGTACTCTGGTAGGCCCTTTCACACGCATTCCTGCTAATATATGCTTATTAAGAAATCTACAAGTTAGTTAATTGAGTATTATTTTCTTATTATGATTTCTATTCTTAAATTCTTTCAGATAATCGACTTTTCATATAATCAAATTGTAGACATAGATCCAACAGGATCATTAATTACATGTGTATCAAAAGTGACTACGCTGAATGTTAGTTTTAATAGAATTTCCCAATTTCCATCGGTCACGATATATAATATGCCAAATCTAGCCAATCTTTATTTTCAACAAAATCAACTGACTGATATACCTGTGACTGCTTTTAATAACATATCAACACTAGAAATAATCGATTTTTCGTACAATCAATTAACAACATTCGAACTTTGGGCTTTAGATGTGAAGACAAAAGCAGATTTCAGAAATAATCAAATATCTACTATAACAAACAAATATTTCTATACTTCATTTTTGCAGAGATTTATGCAACAAGGCGTTTTTCTAAGTAACAATAGTGCACAAATTAATTTTACCGACGCAGTTTATGAAATGTATGATCAATGTAACGAAGTGTACATGTGGCTATTTAGTAATGGTAATATTACCCAGCTCCAGTGGTTCACAGTGAAAATGGCTAGTCTTAACTTTGGGACAACAACAGTTAAATGCAGCTGTGATCAAGCCTATTTTCTAAGTTTACTGAGCGCTAGTACATATCTAGATATTCGAAACTTTTCGATAGAAAATGCCATGTGTGCAAATGATTCACTCAGTGTTAATGACACAACTCTCATCGGTTCTAGTTGTGATACACCTCTGCATCCAGTTAATTCAACTGTCAATTTTACACAGGTTTATCCTAGGCTATGTAAAATAGTTGAAGTTGATGATGGTCACCTAACACCTATACCAAACACAGTTTTACCATCATTAAATGTGGTAGGATATATTTTTATGAAATACAAGCTAACAGGCGACTAGATATATACACATAGGAATATCAGTACCAAATACGTATTGCTGTTCTCCTCCCAGACATACGCCCAAGATCTTAACAACATCATCTTTCATTCATCCATCATACACCTTAATAGATACTCTATTAGTTTTGCTCATTTGCTATAATGAATCATTTCAGATGATGATTGAAAGATTGCAGTGTTCTTAAGCATTTATTTTGAAATACGGCTCTATATAATTAATACAATTATTCTGATAGCTACTACATACAAAACAAAATAAAAGATTATAGAAGAGTCTCACCATTCTGATGATATCTACAAAGAGAGATTGGATTTATTTTTTATGTAGAAATTGACTTTCGATTAAGATTGCGCTCTATCGCTAGCTCCAATTTAATTTTTCGTCAATATTTTGAACTCCTCTCATATTGACTAGGGTAACTAACATGACCAAAGTTGGTTAACGGTAGATTGGAATTCATTAACGAACGCATATATTGAAGATCCTATCAAAGATTCCTATTATTGATTTGTCAATTAATTTGAAACAAATATATAAATACTCAGAATAGATTTCAGTGATAAACATTAATTTTTACAATAGCTATGCATTGTTTGCATGTGTTGTTTTAAAAGAAATCCTAACAACTATTGAAATTGAAATTCGAATGTTTTTCCTTTTAGTCCGACTATCCATATTATGCAACAGCTTTTATGAATCCAGGAGCATGTTTTTTTTCTTTTTCAAACAAAACTAAAATGTCTATTCAATGTACTAATGATACATCAGATTCATCATCAAAAATTCCAACGAGTTTATTATCAAGTTCCTACATGGCCAATATAACTCGTATTATATTTCCTTCTCTTATTTCATCGTTGCCTTTCTATTTATGTTCATTACCATCTCGCCAAATTGATTTGAGCTCGGAAACATTTACTACACTAACAGATGCAACTTTTCCATGTCTCGATTCATTTAATACAGTAGATTTAGCCTTTAATCAAATAACATCAGTAGCTATGTCAAATGGTAATTTTAAAAGCTTAACTTCCCTTGATCTATCATCAAATAGACTCACAGCATTACCATATTCTATACTAACTCCTTCACCTACATCATTGCGTTATCTCGATTTACGAAATAATTCTTTGACTTCTATTGATCTGTTTATTTATACACTAAAAAACATTACAATTAATCTTGATAATAATCCTATTAATAGCTCGTCTGTTATTAATCCTCAAAACGTGACTATATCAAGTATATTAAATTCAACAGCAAATATTACTTTTCCTTCAACTGTATCAAACATAACACTTATCATTCAAGACAGCATCGCATTAACAAATGCAACTTGTGACAATTTTCAAGCCCTAAAAGCCTATCTTAGTAGTCTGCAATCAACATTTAGTGCTGTTTTACTTGCATGTACTTGTGCATCAATAAATTTAAAACAAATATATGCACAAAATGGACGCAACATCACTGACGATTATAAATGTTCAAATTCAAAAGATACAAATAACTTTTACGCATTAAATGTGTCTTCTTGTTTGAATTCACCTGATTATCAAGCAGGATTATGTGCTAACCAAAGTGGGGTATGTTTTATTATCTTTACGATTGTCTCCTATGACATAATGAAAGCATTTCTAAAAATAAAGAGCAGAACTAAATATTTGATGAGAATTATTATAGCGTTAAAGTGGCATCTAACTAATTATTTATCTATGTGAATTGATTAGCTTCAATATAAATCTTTCGTAATTCTAATTTTCAGGGTATATTTCCATTTCTTAGGCTAAATAAGTCGTACGATTATTTATGTTTTCCTTTCATTTTTTCATTCAACTGTACAACTATAGAGGTGTGACTAAATATGACAAAAATCTTTTTTTGAAAGATTTCCATACAACTGAAGCAAAGCTATCCTTGTAACAAAAGTTATTATTAGAAAAATATGAAACTTCTTAGAGAGTTGGAAAGATACTTCATTTGACTCCATTATTAGATGTTAAGTCAATAGTTGATATAATTCAAATATTGTATTTATTATCGTCGATAAAAATAAAAAGGAACAGGTGATATTTTAATAAAATACTCTATGATGAAAACTTTTACAGCACAGATAACAAGTAAAAATATAAATAGTATTTTTCTAATGGATGCACGACTAATGATCTATCTTCTCTTAACGTTCTTCTTCTGACTGTAATTGATAAAATCTCATATCATTAGTCTAAATAACAATCTTAATCCGATCTTCCTTATTTTCTAAACAACTAATTGCTTTACTCCTCTTAATTGTTTCTCATTACGTAGTTTTTGTTTACTTTGACGTCTATATCAATAACTCCGTTGTTTCAAAGATAGAATGATTAAAATATTTCGATTGCATTCACGCTGATTCGCATCATTTTACTTTTATTTATTTTTCTTCTAGTTTCAGCCATCTTCAAATTCAAGTACAAGTGCATTAGGAGCGTCTAATGAAGGCTCAACTCCTGTCGGGCTAATTGTTGGTCTTTGTGTTGGATTAGGTGCTCCTCTTGTATTAGGTGGCATTTTAGGTGCATTTTATCTGTTCAATACTAGAGCGTCAGAGTCCCTCCCGCGAAAACCAGTCAGTCGCATTGCTGCTGTTGGTCAAGCACCGGGAGACTCTCTAGCATCCCATGTAAAACCAAGAAGTTTACGATCAGTAAGATTAGCACCCATTATTACTCAATCACAGAAATTACCAACAACCCCTGTGGCATCTGTTATACCAATCCCAAATTCGACTGCATTATCGCATAGTAGCACTAATTTGCCTCGTGGAACAAAAGGTATGCCGGTTCGAGTTGATCTGGTCAGGTATTGATTGAGTTTTCTTTTTCCATTGAACAAAATACGTCTATTGAAAATCTATTTTAACAGATCACCAACTAATGTCAATCCACAATATCTACCAAATTCAAATGCTTTGAATAATACTACAAGTTTTCGTCCAATAAATAATTTATCATTAAATCAAGCCTCAATTCCTAAAGAACAAAGTCAAGTACCAAAGTTACCAAAACCACCAGCATATCAGACGCTTAATGCTGGAGGAGATCCTCGTTATCAATAATGCACAAACGAACGAGATAAAATAAATAACTTCTGTTTTCTAACAATTTGACTGCATGTAGTTTTTTTAATACTAGGATGTAAAATGAATTTTTGCTTTTGTGCGTTTCAAATAGATAAGACACCTTAGTAATATGTTTTAGTCTGATTGCTAACCAATACGTAGCATATTATACTTGAAAGAAACCGTATTGGCTTCTTTTTTAAAGACTTCATTGGAGATTTTTTGATGATTTTAATTTGATTATAGAATCTCCAACTATCTGATACAATAGAGAAACTATTAGATATTTATAATACTGTATAAAGCAAAAATGGAAACTACCGATTATAGTGATATACTTACTCATGGAATCATTCTTTTGTTCATTATTAAATTGTTGACGAAATGGGGATTAACACTCTGGTTTTTCAATGTTTCGCTTAATCATTCAAAATGAGACAATGTTCAACGCATGAATACTAATTGTTATTCACATTGTTAGGAATTATCATTCCGAACAAAACGAGGAAATCACATGCACGTACTGGTACTAGTAAAGAGTATGCCACAAATCGATATTTTATGGTTGAAACAAAGACATGTGACTTAGTGATATCATCTATCGTAGGTTGCATCAAGAAATCTTATTACAATGTGATACATTAAAGTACATCTCTATCTGTTAACCTGTCAAACGAAAAAAATAAAATATGCACATGTAAACAGTGAAGTTTATGATGCCAATCATACAGCAAATCAAAGTTTATCATCAATGATAAACTCTTATATAAACCTTATGAACATCCCAATGTTTCTAGTGTTGAAAAAAAAAGACAAATTTTTTGTTGTTTTCTCTAACCAATTAAAACTTCTATATGAATTTAGTAAAAATGCATCGGTTAAAGCGCACACTGAAAGATACTCGTTTATCTTCTGCTCATTGTGCTTTGTTAATCGACTTGTCAGTACGAAAACAGAGCAACTTATAGGCCACTCAGTTTGATATGTTAACTGTGTATATCATAAAAATTTTTGATAAATTATAAAGCATATTTTCAGGGATGAGATACTCAAAAGATGTCATGATTTCCGTTGTTCTTTACCTGAAAATATTGTAAAAATATTGAGGTATTTCTAGTGAATGATTGCATAGCCTCCAAGAAAACAACAGTTAGTGTGCATAGTTGAGAGGTAAGAAATAAAATTTATCATTACGTGAATTCATTCATAGCTTTATTTCTTGATTGTGCACGCAACGGAATTTCAGTTTCTTAGATTTAATTCAAGAAATCAATCGTTTTGATGATGCCAAAGCATTCGAAACATCATAAATATACTTTGCTAACCTATGAATGATTTCTTGTGGGGAAAACTCATATGTGAATGAAAGAAAAAATTTTATACTTCGTTTTTTTTCGTCGTCAATTAGTACCTCGTGAGACTTTCTTCAACTCATCTTTATACAAAATATTTTCAAAATCATATGTTTCATACTTCCTGTACTTTATACGCATCATTGTATTTATTTTAATTGAACAACATTAGTATGCCTATCAATTTGCGATCTGTGACAATTTTTACTGAATTGTTCGGAAGCAGCATAGTAATAAGAGATCTGCTGTCTGTTCACTGAAAGAAGTATCCTTGTTGTCAGATCCCATCTTTCTATCTTAAAACGTGCCTAACGCTGATCTAGAGATTGTACCATTTCATGTAAATAAGATACAGTCTCAAAGTAGAAGTATAACGCGCAATCATGATAATTTATTTGATAACAGTATTTTTTGGCAATTCGAAGATCACATATTAGATATTTCTCATTATGAACGCAATATATGCGTAATAGTGACTAATGAGAATTACCCATAATAGATATAACCAAAACTAGCGAAATCTAATTGGCAGATGTGCCAAAATTTATACGATACGACAACTTTTCGTTGCGATCAAATATGGTGCACGGAAGAAATCTCATAATGATTTTTATTGGGTTGCGATCAACACTATGCATAGTTGGTTATGCATACTTACTGACACGTTTATGTAGAGAAATTGGCATTAAATATGGGTATGCCAGTGGTTTCATTGAGAATGAAAAACTTTTGTAACTAAATTTAGCAATAGTCAACATTAATCATGCATGAAACAGTTGAAATCTATTAGAGCCAACACGGTCACCTAGATTTGAGATGAAAAATCGAACATAATTTGTACGTCGTCGTGTACTATTTTCTTTTTCGTCCTAATGAATTTATCTATAGCCTTACTATCAAAGAATTCTAAATGATATTAGTTTAAAAAAAAGACAATAGGCATGTTTCATTATACTCACATGCCCAATAGCTACTCAGGCGTATAACGCTGCAAATTTGCATCTGATCGAAATGGAAAATTTGAAGTTCATATTGTAGCAACAACAAACCTGACGTTTAAATGCTTTTCTTTTCAATTTACGATTGCCGTCAGAACCTTTTCTATTGTTGAAACATTATTCAAGCAGATAATACAATTCGGCTAGAAATAATTGATTTCTTTTGTAGTATTTGATCATGATTACGATGCACTCGTTCGCAATCTTGTCATTTAAGTAACCCTGTTCAATTAATATACGCTATATATTTTATGATATTCGTAAAATAAATATATTTGCCAAACTATCGTCTATTTAAGAGCAATATAAACGTAAAAGTTCATCGTGAGTAAGTTTCAAATTAACAAAGAGATAATCTATATATCCACATTCCAAGTCATAGTCATATTCTAGCTCAAACCTCAAAGCAATGATTTAACTGAGAAAAAATGACCAACTAGTGTCCATAAATTAGCATTCTTTTTTCGTTTTTATCTTTTTGAGACAATGGATATCATAAATATATCCTACAAAATTAGTTAGAAAGCCTGCTGACAAGTTTTTATTAGATGGAATAATTGTTATTATGTTATTTGATGAATAACAAAAGCCAACTTTAATTCTATTTGAATACAGATGTTTTCAGAATACATAAGCTATTGTTCAGGAATGTAGAAAACATAATCAATGATGAAAAGCTTTCACCTACTGCTATTTGTAATATTAGTATAGATCTGTCAACGATCATTTTTACGCTTTATATTTCTCAAATCCCCTCTTTGACTCAGTGTTGATTGTTAATTTCTGACTTTTTACTAGTTAATTCTCATCATTAATACTAAATTTTTGTAAAAGCATTCAACTCTGACTTCAGAACTACCAGTCTAGTATTTAGTTTTGTTCGATATTGTCAGAGAACTTGCTTTTACATACACTAGGTTATTGTTTTGATATCCTTGAATTGGGTAATATCGATATAAATGACCAAGCAAAATGGGTAGAATAGTTTTAATGATCACATCTAAACTATTTCGTAAATATGACTTGATTTTACAAGTTTTATCTTATCATTTCATTTGTTTGTGACCAATATCAACAATCAAAAAATATAGCATAGATTGAGCAAATGAAAAGAATTGCTTGAAAGCGAACCACTCGATTGAAATAATTTCTCCCCTACTTTCTCTCATGCAAGAGATTTTCTTGAAGATTTTTCATATAAATTTTAGATCAGATGATCGGTATCCAACGTTAATGTTTAAATATTTTCCTTCCAAAGCATAGTATTCATTAGGATTTTTTTGATTGAACTTTGTTCTTAAATTCCATTGCCTTTCATAGAAATTAAAATAAATTATTTTTGATCTATTAAAATGAGATCGTATGAAAATAAAGAGCACAATAATTGTCTGTTTCTAAAGCACGAGCATCGAGCTCATTCGTTTCTCCCTGTTACTGAATTACAATAAGTAACTAACGAATAAGATGACTTAACAAATTTAGCTTTTCGAAAAGATGAAGATTCTAAAACGGAATGAATGCAAACGGTTTCGAATACTGCCAAACATAGTCGTATCAATCAAATAGAACTCGGAAACGGTTCTGCATAAATAGCCAATATTTTACTTTATAAGCATCATCCTAGATGAATTAACGGAAAAATTATCCACACAGAAGTCATCACACTGGTAGTGTCAGACACTCTAAAATCAACATACAAACATAACGAAACGAATTTACTACCTCGGTATATCGATGAATAGTCGATAAAATACTAGAATGATGAACATAAGTAAAAGAAAATTTGACAATAAATTGCAGAAATATTGCTGATTTCAAATAGTCGTTCCTATTTTCTTTCTCATCAACAGTTGTTTTGTTTACATTATAAAATATTTGTCAAGAACATGTTAAAAGTAGATAATTGTAAAGAATGCATTCTTGTTGACTTGTTCGAAAACTTTGGAGACATTCTATATATTTAAATCGATCTTATATTCAATGATTTGCAGTATCTTATGGCTGGAAATGTTATTCTACGTGGACTTCTTGAAATAAATGATAGTGAGTGATTGTTATGCACTCATCAAAATAGTTGGAATAGTAAATTTGCTGGCTATTCACAACACTGACTAGGCGGTTAATACAAATAGATGTAACTTTTATTTATTTTTCCTCTACTAGGAATGGAAAAAGATATCAGTCAATTACAACATAGATATCACAGGTATCTTTTTTACTGAAGAATGAATACAAAAAATGATTAATCTTTTATCAGTTCTGTTGACATAGAGTGTTATACACATATATAGATGCGGCATATAAATATTTTGTTATATTATTTCTACAATCGTAATTATGTTAAATATTTTCGAATCTACATTGAATACCACTTTATTTAATGCTTCAAGAACTTCACATGGGATAATGAAAGTTTTAACATCATGGTATTTATTTGAATTTATTCGTATTTCAGCTCATATTTTGTTAGCATTCGCTCTCTTTCCTCAAATAATTCATCTATTTAAGTATCGAACAAGATATATAGCTGGTATTAGTTATATATGGGTTATAATTCGAATATTAGCTCTGATATTATTAGCAGTCGGAAATACTTTAGGATGGGCATCGATATTTCAATTTGTTACATTCTTATTGAGCATGATCATTTTTTTTCAAATAATTGCCTTTTCAAATAATCTTCATCGAGAAAATAAAAAAATTTTAATAGTGACTAGTTTATTTTTCTGGATTATTGGTTTAATTCTAATCTTTTTCTTTGGAAAACAACACTGCTTGATGAAAAATATTGGCTATATTTTAATGGCGATTCAAATGTTACCACAAGTAAGAAATTAATTAATTAATTTTTTAATTATAATTTTATTTTACTAGATTTTACTTAATTCATTATTGCAAACAACTAAGGCTATATCAAAGTTTTCACTAGTTTTATTAGCAATGAGCGACTGTTTCCTATTTCTAACTATGAAAATAAATCATTGTCAAATTATTCAATATATTTCACTTTATTATTCTTTTTCGTTTGTCTTATTTATTTGTATACAAAGTACAATTTATACCGATGAAAATATACATTTGATATCTCGCTCATCTCATACTGTTCTTACACCAGGCATCGATATGTTTACAGGACTTGATATAAATCGAGTAGACAGCATAGGACAAGATCCACAAATGTTCGCCATTGACGATCTCGAATTAGTAGACGGATCAAGTATTATTTATCAACCAATTACAACAAACAAATCATCAACACAAAAAAAGAAACAAACAAGACAAAAATGTGTTTGGTATGCTCAACTTGGTTTCATTATTTTGATGGAAGTTGCTGTTACAGTAATACTCATTGATTATGTTTGGTCATCATGGATAATATTTATTCCTATTTCTATTCCTGTTATCTTCGTTTTTCTTTTACTACGTACTAAATTAAGACTTTTCCCAACGAAAAACTTCAAAACAATTTTATAGTCTCTTATTCAAGATTGACTCGAACTGAAATTTCTATTTTTCTTTATTATAAATATGTAAAATGGAAAATTGACTTTGAATATAATAAAATGAAATTTAAAATGAGTTACTATTTGTTTTTTTTTTGTACTACACGGCGAGAGTACCAAGTTTGAAAAAGTCTTTGTTTTGTATATATTACGATGTATAAAAAAATATGAGTCTTAAGTCAATTTCAAAAGTAGCACCTGCAAATCAATACGAATAAAATTTGAAAGTTTTCTTTTCTATCTATTGATCAATAAATATCATAGTTGTTAGTATCGAAGCAGTTCGACCCTAATTAGGTCGAGCTATAGAGCCAAGTTTCCTTACGAATAGATCTCAACACTTGTTGTTTGGTTCATGTAATTATTATCTTTTATTTTGCTTGAGAAAACTCAAGTCTGAAAGTGTCACCGAAGAGTTTTTATTTAATAAAGTTTTGTTAACTTTTAATCAGAAGAAAACTTCAAAAGTTTGCTGAACTATATTTCATAATGTACAATTTGAATGCATAAAAACACAACTATATTAATTAAGAAAATAAAATAATATGAAAAGTGAATCTGACGTATAAAAAAAAGAATTGAAGCCTGTGTTTAGTTTCTAATCACTCTCGTTTTGCTTTTTTAATAATTGGCATCAAGTTATTTGATACGATTAATCGTATACAATGATCATATTCATTCAATTTAGCATGCCAACCTCGACTATACCAAAATTTAGTATTAAATTTTTCACATATTTCAGATGGTTTTGAAAACGTCAATAGTTGTTGAGTTACAAATGGTTTCATCAACGCTATTGTTAAATCCAATTGATCGACTTTTGATAAAGATGATTGAAAAATGTTTTTCCATTTTTCAACATTCATACATTCATGATGATTAAGCAATAGCCAAAGAGATCGCAATTGAGTTAATTCAGTAAGAAATAATAAAAGATAATCGAATGAAATTGACTCCACAACTAACTTAAGAGAATTTAAATGAAGGCAATACTTTCCAGTGAAATTCCCACAAATCTTTTCTTTCCATTCGTCTACATCCTCCAATCCACAAATTGTTGCCTTCAGAGTATATAAATTAGGTGTATACTGAAGTAAACATGTCAGTTCTTGCAATTGACACCATACAATTGATAATTGTGTAATATTAGATATTTTATCTAGATTATTAAATGTTGTTCGAGAACACATATTCATTTTAACATGTTTTAATCGAGGACTAGCGAAAAGACTGTTACCAACATGAACGCATGACAAATTTCCAATATCATTACTATCGACTGATAAACGTATGTTAACAAGATGAATAAGATTAGTAAGTGCTAATTGAACAGTAGATATATCAGATATTTCAATATTATTAATAACTAATGTACGAAGGTGTTTAAAACAACTTAAATCAATAGAATATTTATGTAAAAATAAAGTAACTTGTTGATACTAAAATTAAATAGAGGATAGTAATTAAATAGATATTATTTAATTGAAATAAATCTCGAACCTCATCAGTATCATATGTTCCGAATGTAAATGAAACAAGACGATCGATAATTTTTGGAAGAATATTTTCAATATACGAATGAAATTCGTCTAAATTCAAACATGAAATATTATCACGAAAATGCATACGATGGTCATTTAATATTGCAGTGAAACGATTATTAAGTCCATCAAAGGCTTTGTATAAATCCATGGATGATAGACGATCGAAGACATCAAAAAATACATCATCGGAAAATGTTTCAATTAAAGATGGGACACATGTTACACTCTCCATGAGATTTATCGAAGAGGATTAACTGCAAATAATTAACTAAATAAAAAAGTACCGACGACACGTTGCCGTCGTAGACCAGGACGAATAAGTATTGGCCTTGTCGATTGTCGAATAGATGGTGGGATTTTCCAGAAACACAAATCTGACTATTTTCAAAACAATTTTAACGGTTTTCAAAAAAAAGCGATACGCGAGTAATAGAATTCCTGCAGAAAAACGATATCATACAAAGACAAATTTAAAAACTACACGAACTGAAAGCGATAAAAGCAGCAACAATACACAGCGTCCTCTGTTCTCGCATGTTGTTTACCTTTTTTTTCTTACAGTTACGATCAATCAATAACTCTAAATAGAATTTAATTTTCAATAGTGGATTAATAGAGGTGTCGATGTGCGAGATAACACCATCTTCTTTTACGATTTTTGTAGTTTTTTTTCAAAGATTCTTATTTTTATTACCCTGCGATTATGCTGCATTAGTCATTTTAACTAATCTATTATTGATGTATATGAAGCAAGATATGAAAATAGAAGCAGCACATAAAGTATAGAATATCATAGAGAATATAACTACTTGGTAGACCACTCAACTTTTGGTATTAAGTGATTTTAATTAGCTATATAAAACTGCCGATAAATATTCGGTCATCTTTTCGATCAAATGTACACTAAACAAACAGTAGTGTCATATTTAAAGATGTGGCTATGATTTTGTCGTCATTCTGTGTCATTTCATATCAGTAGCTATTCTTTACTGGTCAATCTAACGAAAGCACAAGCGAAAGGTTATCGTTATAGTGCACTTAAAAAGTAAACAATGGAAGAAGAAAGAGGTAAGAGTATCGTTGAATAACATAAAGAAAAGTGCATCGTCGACATTTCCCTCAAAACTTAATAACAGATTTTATATTAAATTGGATTTGATACATGGATGATTCTAGTTATTAATCGTATTCTATTCATGTGAAAGAAACAGAAACAAACAAGGCAAAGATACAGAAAATAAGGACACCAGTATCGATACATCTACAAAGTTCAGCCATTTTAGTATATGGACAATCAGTAAATATCGTCGTCAATGATGAACAATACGATATAGAAGTTTTTATTTTGTATAGTACAGCTTTAATGAATAATGTTTGAAAAGTGTTTGAAGAACAAGTTCTATTGACCTGCTCTTCCATCTTGGTATGGGAATGCTATCTGAATTTCTCGTAATTTGTCTCATAGTTTCGAAAAAAAATTACAACGCTGCTATTTCGAGGACCCTGGAAGTATCACCCTGCTCTGCCCTGTACAAGACAGAGCATTTTATAAAAATCATAAGTGTAATACGTTTTTTCATTGTTTTTTGGGTACCCTACACTGACAGATTATAGAACAACCAATAGGTGGTGACATTGAAATGAGGACAGAAATTTTAAGAGAATACAACGCCAAGAGGATATTAAGATATCATAATCAAAATGGACACAAAATTACCTAATGATAGCGTTGAGAACAAAAAAAGTGAGGACAATACAGTAATAGCAATAGCATGATAATACGGCAATAACCATAGCCAGTGGCGGATTTACGGGGGGTGGCAGTCGCCACCCCCTTCGAAATTTTTGTTAACTATATTTCATATCTTCTTGTTTCCACCAACTGTATCATTTTCGATGTATTCAAACAGTGGTGAGTCTACTAGTTAGGGTACCCGGCGATCGCCACTCCCCTTAAGAATTTTTTTCGGTTACCAGCAGAAATGAAACAGAAAATAGTAGTTCTGCCTGAAAAATTTGAAAAGCCGTTTTTTTGGCCAGGAGCGCCACTCCCTAACATATTTTCTGGATCCGCCACTGACCATAGCCGATTCCTGAAATAGAAGAAGGTAGTAGCTGTAACGAACAACTTGATTAGATTAGCTTGTGCCACTCTCGGCAAAGATGTTTATTAGGCTACTTCAAGTTATCCAGAATGTAACGACAAAACTAGAGAGTGTCGCCTATGCCCGTCGGCATGATGGCGTATTGTGTCATCTGACATCTCCAGAGTGTCCCAACTTCATACATAACGCACGTATATATAGGAGAGAGATAGAAGAGAGATACATTAGAACAATGGAAAGAGAACAGAAAGAGAAGGAAGGAGACTCATCGAAGCGTGCCATCAATATCGGCACACCCTCCAACTCAGATCAGACGCGCTCCTGAGCGTCTTTACAATATTTAAAAAAAGCACCGCAATAAAACAATATCGTAACAGAAAACATCAAAAATCGATAATTTTGAAGATTATCACGCAATACAAAGTCGGATAGAAACGACATCAATTATTGACACTATTACAATCGCTTGAACTGTTGTTTTTTCTTTTTTTTTAGAAACTTAGAAACACAAATAACAGCTACAGATAGATACTTAAGCATAGTACATACATAATGCTGAAAAGAGTTTCTTTTTTTTTATTCCTTATTCAGAGTATCTTAGCACGCCACATTAAAAAAAATATTAATAACAAACAACTGAATATCACAGCGATAATCAAGGAACACATTAAAGAGTTATATAAATCAACATAATATCATAAAATTCAATTTTTTTTTGACATTTCTCACAAAAAATTATCCCATTTCTTATTTAACCTAATCAACTGTAGCGCATCAACTCGGTACGAAAGAATAGAAAAATTAATGCACCTTCTAGGCAATGAATAAAAAAAATAAACTTTTTCACACATTTCATCACTTTTATCAGTTCAAAGATAATCTTTTCTTTTACCGTTTGTTTTTGTTTATCTATAANCAAAACTAGAGAGTGTCGCCTATGCCCGTCGGCATGATGGTGTATTGTGTCATCTGACATCTCCAGAGTGTAACAACTTCATACATAACGCACGTATATATAGGAGAGAGATAGAAGAGAGATACATTAGAACAATGGAAAGAGAACAGAAAGAGAAGGAAGGAGAATCATCGAAGCGTGCCATCAATATCGGCACAGTAGCTACTAGACTATATGTTATGTCAATTAGTTTGTCATACGATAGATCTTTCGAAACTAATAGATGCCGCTAAAAGTCAATAGTTGAACTATAAAATTCGTTTCACGATCCACTATTGAGACAATCGATAAGCGATTTAAAAAACACGAGGGAAAACCGTTCGTTTTATTCAATAGAATACGATGTCTTCTTCATGCAGATCTTTTTCTTCGTATTCGGTGCAATACGTACGTAATTGTATTCCATAATTAGATATCTTTTCAAATTATTCTCATCAATCAGGAACTATGTAATATAACTTGTGGTCAATAGATTGCATCGAAACTATATGTATTGAAACATTTGGAATTGTCGCACATACAGAACCTGAATCAAAATGGGTGATTATAAAGTAAATCTTTTGATGATTTATTTTTCTATTAAATTAGTTTTCGCAATATTTAGCAATAACAAACTACAATAATGTTTGAAACAACTATAATAAACTATTTATTAGATTTTTATATTTAACTAATAAAACTATTAATAAACATCGATATTAACACAAAAACCTTCCATTTTAATTTGCATGCAGTTTTCTTTTCTTTCACTATGAACCGATACGAGAAAACTTTTCCTTAATGACCACGTGGCTATATCAAAGAATGAAAGAGAGCTAAATATATATACTAGCACGCGTTCTTCTATTATATTATATTTCTTTTCGTGTTCATGTCTCTTATTTTGTTTATCCGTAGATGTCACATTTAAATATTTATTTATTTCAAGTGAAAATGTAAATTTCATTTTGATTTTATAGATATGCTTTTTGATCGTGAATCAACAATAGTTGTAACAAAATTCAATAATTTATCTGAATCAGTACTAACTGCTTATTGTCAAAAATTTGGTTCAGTTATTCGATGTTTGATCAAAACTTCTACTAAATCTCAAAATAAAGATCCTTGTAAGTCATTTGTTATCTCAAAAATATCATTACTACATTCTTTCTCTCGTTCTAAAAAATTGATCATAAAGATTAACTATTGAATTTATAGTTTTGCCAACTATGAATATATTTCAACAATATAAGAAAGAACAAGTTTTTGCCAGCGTCTAATTGAGATGTTTTATCCATGGTAAATTCTATCTAGATTATTCAAAAGAAATCGATGGTGCTCTTTTAAAAACCTTTAATTATTCGATATGGTAGCATTTTCGTAGAGTACCTACATAGGTCTTGTTTTATATACTTGCTAAGAATATAGTTCTATTCTATAGATACGCTATATCTTTAAAATCAACACTATTTCCATAGTCCAATTCAAAGAATTGAAAAATTAGCTGTCTTGTTGTAGTTTGTATATATTTATTTATCAATATTGTTTACAGAGAAATAAATCAACTTAAATGTTCTGCATCTATATCTATTATATAAAAATATTGTTACCACCAGTATTCGAAGTTATCTGTCATGTATTGGAGAGTTTATCCTATTATAGAGCTTGGTAGCAATGCTGATTGAATTTTTTGGTATTTCCTCTCGTATGTATATAACTATAAGATTTCAAATGAAAGAGTTGAACTATGATGATCTTTTACTGTTAAACTAATACTAAATGATTCCTATCAAATTAAATTCTAATTTATTGTTCAAACTAGAAACTATTCGAGATTTTTTTATAAGAATTGATAATATACCTATTAAGCTGAGAATAATCTGAAATTATAATCGTTTTTCTCATAAATTAAAGAAGTAATTGTCCTCATTTTAGATGCCTTGATCAAATTCGCTGAAATATCAAGTGCTACCTCTATACTTAGTAATCGCAATCATATTATTAATGGTATACATGTTGTAATACGAACTTTTCATCAAGATAAAAGTAATAATAATAATGCCAGTTTAACACAAACACTACCAAGTCTAATGTCATTAACCCAAACAAATTCACTTGTATCTAATACTACTACTACTACTAATAATAATAATAATAATAATAATAATAGCAATAATAATAATAGTAATGGGCAGAAACCAATGGATTATGATCAAATATTTCAAGAAAATCAAGTACTTAAATATGAGATAGCTAACCTTCAAAAATCATTAATGGAAGCACAAACATATTCAAAAACTGCATATGATGCATTTCAAGTTTTACGAGAGAAATTCGGTAATCAATCTGAGTTTTTGAAATTTCTCAAATGAATAATTATTGCTTTCTCTTATAAAGAAGCCGAACAAATTCTTAACAATAAACTGAAATTAGAATATACAGCTATGGTTGAATCATATGAAGCTCGATTTAAAGAAACACCACCACCACCACCACCACCATTGTCAACGTCATCATCAGTACAATCATACAACAAAGCTATTAACAAAGATAAAGTAAAAGAAGAACCCATCGATAATCATTCTCAAGTAAATCTTTCAATTGAAATGCAAATAATAAAAGATCATCTAGAACAAGCACAAATTGATTTAGGTTTACTTCAAAATGATAGCATTATTTTTTTCTAAATAAGAATTTATTATAGGTAAATGCCAAACTGAGAATACTTTACTGAATGTTAAATTAATTTCACGTGAACAACAATTTGATATTCGTTTTAAAGAATTAAATAATCAATATATACGTATGAAGAAACAATATGAACATGTATCATCATGTATTAAAGATTTTCATACAAGATTATATCCAAAAAAACGATTAAAAACAGAAACAAAAGACGAGAATATAAATAAATCTGGTCGAGTCAATGAGAATAAATCTAATGATGCCAATGACGATATTGTCGAAATAGTTATGCGAGTAGAACCATTGATGTCATAGATTCAAAAAGTATTATGTATATTTCTAATTTATGACATATTTCTATTTGACGTGTTTTTTTTCTTCTTTTCTTTATTCGTACATTTGTTGTTGTTGAATATACATGAATACTGCATAGCATAGATATATTTCATTATGTTTATTTGTTGATTTTTTGTTCAATTTGTATTTCTTGTGAATATTTTAAAAAAGACGAAGATATTTCTGAAATGAAGTTAGTATACAATATAGTGTTGTTTATAATATCAAATATCAAATGGAACCATTTTTATTAGCTATCAAATAAAGAAACAATTGTTTTAAGTTACGACTTAATCGTCAATAGACTTGATCCAGAGATGAATATTTAACGATAATATTAGAAAATTCGGTAGATAGAATAAATTTTAGTTGTTTATTTTGTCCTGATAAAATTAACAATTCTTGAACTGGTAATTTACTTTCAAAATGTAACTTTGACATTTAATATGCGTAGAGGAACATGTTTTGTTTTTAGTGAACATCTGTTTAGATAAGATAGAAACAAATTTGTTTTTTATTCATAGAAAATGAATCAAAATAAAGAAATAAATAAAACTGTTTATTCTATGCTCTATAATCAAAATTAAAGAAAATGAAAACCTATGCATAATTTACTTTCTTCTGAACATATCTTTCAAGCTCGATGGGTTTCACTCCAACCTGTTCACCTTAATCCAAACAGCAATATATGAAAACTATAAAAAAAACTTATTCCTAATGCAGGATAAGTTAGCAACAACAACAACAGCAGCAGCAGCAAGGAAAAATTTTAAAAATGAAAAAACAAACAAACAGAATTTCATTGTTACAGATAATTAGATATATTTATATGTATGTACGTATATATATTTATGTAAATGAAATTTTGTATTTGGCAGCTTTTTTCCCTTATAATAACGATTCCGACAGTGAAGATAAAGATGAACTGGAAAGTTGAGATTGAGCTAAGGATAAATCATTTGATGTCAGTAATGAAGGAATATTTTTCAAAGAAAAAAACAATAAACGTTTAGCACGATTTTGTGTTTCACTCAATGTAACTAATGTCCACATACTTCGATCAAGTATAACAGACCATGGTCTTTCTACATTTACAATTTTATTAGCTTTTAAATATTCATTTCGTCGTATTTGCCATATACATGATGCATTGTAATCAGCAATTAACCAACCGCCAAAATGATCTGTACTTACTTTAAATCCAGTTACTTCAATTTGTCGTAATAAATTTAATTGATAATCAAATATAAGTAAAGCAACATCACATAAAACAGCTAAATGTTCAGTGAGATCATCCGCTTCAATGTCCCATATTGTCGATGATTCGAGAATGTGTTTACATAGAGAATTTAATTTATAATCATAACGTTCAAGTAAAAATTGAGGACGATCCTTATAAGATAAACGAACATAGGAAGAAGTGTAGGGAGATGCTATGGAAGCTTGAGGAAGTTTATATGTATGGAAAACCGACGATCGACACGATGTAATACGTTTGGGCCAATCACCATTGATATCAATTGATTGCAAAACTTTGCTAAATGAATGATTGCAAATAATCTAATAAATAAATAAGTATCTATATTTGGTTATCTATAAAAAAAATTAATTTACAATTTGTGTTTGTGTAGCTACTGCCCATGCATTTGTTGCCTTTGACCATGATATATCAACAATGCCATCATATGGCCATGGAAAAGATAAAAGTGAGACATCAGGTTTATACATAATAAATTGTTTATTAAGTTGATGATAAAGACATAAATGTTGATTTCCATTAATTTCAAGAAAACGCCAAAATTCATTTCCTAAATCGACTGTACTCGTATAAGCAAAATCGAGATTTTCAAATAATGAAACATATTCATTTCGTGATATTTGTTCATAAAAATCAACTATTTTATTTTCTTTGTTCTCGTCTGTATGTTTAAAAGATTCAGAATCATCTGATAAATGAAAAAATCAGCAAAGAAAATTATTTATTTTAAAAATGAAAATTTATTTTTTACCTGGATCATCAAACGAAACAACATTAACACCAGGTGTGCCTTCCATTGGTCTCCAACCGTTTTCCAATAAGTTAGTCCAATGTTCTCTTTCAATTTCAAACCATGTTTCATTTATATTATGATTTGAAGAATTCAAGTGTCTTCGTAGGTGTAATTTTTTATCTTGAAAGTCTTCACTCGAACGACGAAATGATAAACGATGATTACGGTCTTTACGTGATCCAGATCGGCACTGTACTTGTTGTTTTGTTTTTGATGATGAACATCCATACATTTGATTATCAACAGCACGTATCTGCTGTCCTTCAAGTGTTTTCGAACGATATTTTCGATCACGACTTTTGACACTTTTCGCAGCTTGATCATATAGTTGAACTATATCGGGATTTTTTGTTTGTGACGGATCACTTTTCTTATTGGAACTATCCTTTGAATGTTGATTTTCCGCGTCTTTAGTTTCGGTTGAAGTGCTATCATCATATTTTGTTCTTAAATTTTTTCTGATTTCACGTAATCGTTGAAAACGTCTGATCGAATCATCAAATGATTCGAATGCAAATAGCTTATGACTTTTCTTTACTGGCAATTCCTCAGGAATACTTTCTTGTTTTTGTTTTTGTTGCTCTTTTTCTGGTTGCTCGTGTTGCTCTTGTTCATCAGTAATATTTGTTATTAAACGTGCATGACGTCGGTTTGTACTGTTAGCATTGTTTGTATTGTTTGTATTGTTTGTATTGTTTGTATTGTTTGTATTGTTTGTATTGTTTGTATTGTTTATATTGTTTGTATTATTATTTGTTTGATTTGTTCGTTTTTGTTGACTTGTTTTACTGGTTTTCGGTGTTGTTTGTTTAGATTTTGCATCATGAGAATATTCAGTATGATTAATAGATTGCAAACGTGATTGCTGAAAGGAAAAAAATCGCCTTTTGTATTGTGAAAAAGAATTTTCAAAAAAAAAAAAAAAAAATTGAATATTAACCAGAAAGCTGAAAAACCATCCAATCTAATCTTATGAGAATGAATACAGATGTAGAATACAACTACAGAAGCCGAAATTAGTGATGAGACATACGATATGAGCTGTCAGGCACAATTGCTCTATGACGTCAGATTGTTGTTGTAGAACAGTTCAAAAATGGTTAGACTTTCGTCGTAAATTTAAGCGGAACTTTTTCTTTCTTCAAACAAAAGCAATTTTTTTCGATTTTGAAGTTTTTATTTCTAAGGATGTATTGAAGTGTCTCCTACAAATAGCCGCAAACATCTTTACTGTACCAAGCCATATAAGCTCGGAGCAAGCTTTTTTTCAAGGACCCTGGCTCGAGAAAAAAAGCCGTTGTGTTTTAGACGACAATATTGTGACTCTATCATGTTTACAAGTCATTGAAGAATGTGTCTTAGTAGCAACTCTCTCTCTCTCTCTCTCTCTCTTTCTATTCATATTTGATGAGTGATAAATCTCAATCTGTAATCATTTAAATTGAAAAATAATATATATAGATGTCCGAATAAAAATAAAAATTTTAGTATGTATGGTGATTTTTTTCAAAAACGATTTTTAAATAACAGAAAAGAAGTTCTTCGTTTTATTTCATCATAAAGTATGTCGATTGAACTCTAATGTTTTTAAAGAGCACTTCAGTCAAAGGACGCGTGTCTCGTGTTTTTTTTGCTTCAAAATTTTGTTTCGAACAGATTCCATAGAGCTTAAACAATTAGTCCAATCGAAAAATAAAAACGCTTGCATTGCCGGTACTTTCAATATTTTGTTTCTCTTCAGTTCTGGTAAAGATGTGGTTTTAAAAAAGAAGAGAAACACGCACTCCAATTCAAGTTGTCGTAAAAGAAAAATTACGACGCAAATAGATTAAGTATAGTGTTTTGCCGACTGAAAACTTGTGGTCATATTTAGCTTTACATGATTTCGAATCGTCCTGAAGACGACATCTGTCAATTTTAAGTCAATGAATCATTTTTCTCCACTCATCAAGGTGTATCTGTTTTGAAAGATACATCATTTTTCGTCACACTATTCTATAAAAAAGAAACTTCTTAAACTTTTTTCTATGACGAATATATATATATATATATATATATATATATATATGAATCTGATAAGGAAAAACAAATCTTTTATAATTTACTTACTTCATCGGCTGATAAAGTTGATGATAAAGATTGTGGGCTCGTACAAATTTCTAGTACACGTTTTAATTCAAAACCAAAATCACTCGTTGTTGATGATGTATCATAATTTTTATAGATAGCTGTTTTCGATGATGAAGTATCTCCGTAGCGTGATGCTTCTGTTAATGTATCTTGCGAATGAACATCAGATATGATTTCACCAATATTTTCATTTACAGGATTACCAGCTAAAATTAGTTTTGATTGTTCTAATTCTTCTCGAATCGATCTTAGATTTGTTGATATACGATCGATTTCATTTTTATTAAGAAAATCTAATGGTTCACTTTGCCAACGTCGTTGTTGTTGAGCTTTTTTACGTTCAGTTTTTTCCACGAACAATTGTGTGTCAGATTCAAGCCGTTCAAATTTATCTAGCAGAGTCTTTTCCAATTCGCGTTGTCGAGCTAGGAGACGTTTTATGGCTGCTTCTCGCCAATGCTCTAGTTTTTTAATCGCTCGTGTACGAAGTGTTGGCAAATCATTAAGCATTGATCGAAGTTTATGAACAAGCTCTTCATTAGCATACTGTTGACGAATAGCCATTCTTTTTAAATTTTAGCAATCTTCTTTTCCTTTTTTTGTAATAGTTCACGTATCTAATTTTTCATGTTGAAAATCGATTATTTAAATGATATGACCAATAATGACTAGAAAATAATACGTATAGCTTTTACAAAATCATCTATTAAGATAATCGATATTATATGAGTGATTAGTATGAATATGAATAAATGCTTCGTTTTCGTTAAGGTAAAGATCGATGAACTTAACTAACCTAGTACTTACTCGAAAAGGAAAAACGTTTGTCAATAATGAAATTTGATCTCACTTTTGTTCTCAGATGTTTGCCGTCAGCTACAAAACTAGTCACTTTGACTATTTGTCTGTTTTATTATTTTTTTGGAAGAAGAAAAAAGAGGGAGAACAAGAAAACAAATCTCGTCTTTCCCTGCTTCTTTTTCTTAAGTATGAAGGGTGTACTTTAATGCTGCATCTCATAGTCGAAGACGAACAACAACAAATACCACTGCCGAAAGTGGTCGTCACTGTTAGCGTTTTCTCTTCCATTTCTTGTGACGAGCTGGAAAGAGCACACTTTTTGATAAAAAGAAAAAGAAACATATGAGTAGATGCGAAATCAAATGAGAGTTTTTTTTATTATTTTGCTTGCATTGAAAGAGCATCCAGGGACCTCATCTTTTTCTTTTCTCCATATTCAGATAAGAAATATATTCACGTACGTAAGGTAAACTTCACCCATGTTTACAACCTTTAGTGATACTCAAAAATGAAAATTAGCATGACGAATGGTTTTAAACGTATTATGTGGTGCTTTTTCTTTCATACTTTTATAGGCATGTATTGACAAGAATCAATAGTTGCTTTCAGAAGTACTCTCATATGCATAAACTCACTTTTTATACTGTCGAGTTGAGAAAACAGAGCGACTAGTTTTGAAAGCAAAAACAAGTGTAAGTGCGTCGTATCAAAAAAAAAAAGAACGACGTATAATACAAAGGGTTTCTTACCACAAGAACACAGAGAACCGCAAAGCAAAATATCAACTTGATGATAACTACAGATGTGCTTTTTGATTTTTCAAAAGACTCATTCCACAATTTTGGAAATTTTTAGAAAAAAATGATCAAAATCAAATGTTAACTACTAGAATGATTAAATAATTTTATTGTCAATCTTTTTCATATTGCTTTTTTGTAAGGTGGTCTGTGACCTCCTCTTTCTCGATGTTCGATTTTAGAAAGAAAAACAACACACCATGCTGTGTTATGCCGTTCTATTTCATCGTTCGATAGCTAAAGAACAGAATGCACCGTAAAAACAAAAATTGGATATCAACTCGATGTAATCGGCTGCTGGCCATGTGTTTTTTTGGAAAAGAAAAAAATATAACAGTTGACACATAAATCATAATTTTATTCCGTATAAATGCAAACGAACTTTTCGCTTCGCTTTTTTATCGGTCGAGTTTTGATTGCTTCGGATTTTTGTTATATTGATAATCAGATAAGAATAAAGAGAAAAAAAAATACTGATAATAACATGTCCATAGACGAAAATCAAGTGTTAACTTCAAAATGAAACTAAAAACTTAGGGACCTTTAAAAAAACTGAATACATTTAATATAACTCTCAAAAAGGCAGAATAATTGTACTAAACTATCCTTATTTTTGTTTTGATACTAGTGAAATATATAATGGCAACACCTTGAAGTAATAAAATACACAGTACAACATTGAAAAACATACATAAATCAATCGTATTATTGTCTATTTTTATTTTCTTTTCAAATGTACGAAAGAAAAACAAGAATACTAATAATTACTGCAGTCGCTTAAAAAAAACAAGAAAAAAAATGCAATCTATCACTATTGATGGAATGTATTCTAAACGTAAAACAAATATATAACAATAAAGATCTAGGGAATAAAATTGGAAATGTAGTTAGGCTAAATTTTTTTTATGATCTACATTACTTTTGCTTTTTTGTAAAGCTGCTCTGAGATTATTATCTACTTAGAAAAAAACAACAACGTGTAACATCCAAAAAAAAACTATTGAAGTGAGATTGGAAGCATAATTAATTATAATTTACTATCATTAATATCACATTTTTGCAAATCTTTCTTGATTATATTTCCTTCATAGAGTTCTGATATTGTTTGAACTTCAGGAATTTTAATTTGAGCTACTCGACGTCGAAAACTAAATATATATATATATTATATAAATAAATATTTCTATAATATTCTACTTATTTATTTACCCGGCGAACCCCATTTCTTCAACATCGGCAACAGATTGTGGCAAAGGTTTATTTAAGGTTTCAGGAAACATCAATGATAGTAGTCCAGCCACAAGAGAAACAATGCCAAAGATAATTACTGGTAAATTAATCCAAATTCGTCCCTAAATGCAATGATGAAATGAAAACATAAGTGGATAAAATCTAATATGTTAAATAAATACTCACTAAATAGTCATTACAGAAGTTGCTCAGCATAGCACCGATACGTGCAACCATAGAACAAATGCCCATGCCTGTATTTCTAACATTAGTTGGAAATAGTTCATTAGCATAAATATAAATGATAGCATAAGATGCTGATGCAAGAAATTTCAATGAAATATTAATGGTAGTTAATATTATACGCTGAACTAAAATAAATATTAAAAAAAAGTCACTTCGAAGATTTTATATTTATTCATAGATCTACTTTGGCTATTTTTCGTTGTGAATTTCTGTGTCGGTATAATAAGAAATGCAATAATAGCAAATAGAATAGCAAATATAAAATAAGGTTTTTTACGACCAACACGATCGAGTATTAAATGAACGAGTATGTAAGCTAATAATTCAACAAAAGCACTGATCGTAAACGATAAATATGGATCTAAATCCCATGATCCTATTTGTACGCAAAAAAATGAAATGCTGTTTTAATATTCCATAGAAATGTTACCTGTACTTTGTGAAACACCATAAAATACAAGATTTTGTGCAAACCTTAAAAGGTAAAAATGAATCGAATTAAATCATCTTGAATCGCTTTTCAAACACAACTTACCATTGAAAGAAAAGATTCATACTAATGATCAACATAATTTTGGATGTGAATAAACTACTAATACCTTCCTGATATTCTTGTTTGGACATATTCTAATAAAGACAAGATTATTCATAGAAGAAAAAATTTAATACAACAAGACAAACTTTTTCTTGTTCGTCTTTCATCTGTTGGAAAGCATCTTCATTGAAATCTCGTTTATTTTTAGTTGCAATTTGACGTAAAACTGTTTTAGCTTCATCAAAACGTCCTTTACTAACCAGCCATCGAGGACTTTCAGGTAATATACTTGAATAATTTTCGTAGTTAATTTTTAGTTTTCTTTTTGTCTTATCAAATTTCTCTACTTACAAATAAAAGAATATATACGGAACAGTAAATATTGAAATAGACCAAATCAAAGCTCTCCATGTTCGAATGAAATAAGCAAAAGTAACTAGAATAAATTGACCAAATGCAAAAAAATATTCAATAACAATCCCAGCATATAAACGTTTACGAGGTCCAACTAGAAGAAAAAGAAAACATTTGAATAGATCAGTTTCAATCAGTACAATTTTCACCTATTTCTGAACCAAGTACAAATCCAGATACAGAAATTCCTCGTGTTGAGCATGCAAGTAAAAAACGAGCTAATACAAAAATAATGTACGATGGCCAAAATCCAAATATATCTTGAGGACCAAATGCACATAAAAATCCTGAAAAACTCATTAGAATAAAACTAACGCTCATTATAGGACGGCGACCATATCTATTCAATAAAAAATAAATAAAAATAGAAGAATATGATGTCTTTACAACGTTTACTTGTCAGCTAATATGCCAAAAAACATAGAACCAACCATATAACCAAAAAAAAATATCGTTTGTGCAGCCATACGATAATATAAACGGTCGCAAACTATGTTCCACTAAAGTTATAATAGAAAAATCAAAATAAATTCGTTTTCTAATTTGCCGTTCTTAAATATTCGTTTACTTCTTCAATCAATGTTTTTTTATAATAAATTTTTTCAAAAACATATTTATCACATTGTTCTAATTTTTCATTTGTTTGACTATTATTTTTATTAGCTGCTAACATTGGTTTTAAATAACAACTCTGACATTGATCATCTGATAATTTCCTTCCTAGATTGCGACATTGTGTTAGTGTTGGCTTATATTCCAAATCAAATTTATCGTTCAATGTTTTATTATAATTATCAATCGATTCTAATTGAGGATTTCTACATCGAAATTTGGGTATAGCTGCTGTGAATGTAAAAGTATATACCATTATTGATGGTAGCATATACGTCAAACAAATAATCATATATTTTACTTTTTGAAATCTACCCCAATTACCAACTGTTTCAAGGAATGTATCGAATTTCATGGTTGGTTCTTATCTACAAGCAAAGCAAACAAATAAGTCTAACACATATTTTGGACAAGAGAACAATTTCGGTTTGGAATGACTAGAATGAATATAATGACTAGTGCACACACTGACAAACAAAAATAAATAATTATTCGCTAAAAATGAAAAGGGCGTTGTGCTATGAGAATTTACAAAAAAAAAAAAGAACAAAAGCTCAATTCGATATGCATAAAGATCTGATTAATAAAATGTAAAGTGAAAGTGACACGAAGGAGTACTCTAACATATATCACAGGAGGAACACAACGACAAATAATAAATATTTTCTGATTTTACGGAGAGAAAAAAAGAGGAAATATTAATTAAGCATATGGATCAAATTGTAGACTTTCTAATGATGGACCTTCATCGTTCCAATCAAGTAGATCAGAGGCTACTTCATTTTTCTGTTTACTTGGATTTACAGTTAGATTTTTTAGTGTTAATAGTGGTTGAGTAGTATTAGCAGCAGGTGTTGGTGTTAATACTCGAGTAGAGATGTGTTGTGGTTGAGATAGAGCAATGAAATTATTATTATTTGTTAAATTTGAAGAAAAAATGTTTACAGATGAATTTGTTTCTTGACTTAAGTGTCTATTCAGATCAAATGGATCACTATGAAAACTAGAATTTGTCACGGGTGGATAGTGACCTAATGAGAAAAAATCATTATTTTTATCTAAGATAAAAATGAAACAATAGAACAAGTTCAGACAGATGAAGAAATCAAATTTACCTGCTCCACTCTCAGTCGATGTTGACGTGCTATATAAATTGAATGGATCAAATATATTATCATTGACTAATGTCTAAAATATGAATAACGAATATTATCTTTTTCTTTTTTATTTGTGATTACTTACATTTGCTTTTTGATCATCTACATACGTATCAGCTGGAATATCAAACGATGCAAATGAGATCAATTCACCAACATTATAATCCTGTCGATTGCCATCTGTTAGTATCGATTCGTCATCAGGAACTAGAATGAAATAGATTTCATATGAAAAAAAATATATATAATCATTCAAAACGAATAGTATTATTTTGTGAAAGGTACACAACACCACGTTTTATTATTATACGATTAACGTATGTGCAAGTATTTATAAATAATAAAAATAAAATTTTTGCGATGCCAGGTTAATATAGGAAAAAAACCAAAACAAAAAAGACATTCTATCAAAACCATCCGATGCATGCTATAGGGTTCAGATTTTATTCAATGATTGAGTCGATTTATAGCGTTCATCACTGTCACTAATACGACTAGCTGTATCACTATTATTTGCCATCTGTTCATCGTCAACATCGAGACGAGTGGATGTTTTTCGTTTTCGTCTCAACGAATTTCTAATCTTGGTTTTCATCATTTTGAAAGGCGAGCTTAATTTTGAATCCGTTTGTTCATTATCTGCTGCATTCATTAATGAGGATGCTAATGATGCCGCATCGAATTCAGCTGGTGCAATAGAAAATTCAGGATCCAATGAAACAAATGACATATTTCTTGCCAAAGTTCCGATAGCATTGATAAAATTAATTGAAGGAGGCTTTTCTTTTTGTCTTTCGCGTGTTTCTTCTTTTAATGATTCTTTAATTTCTTTTGTGTGAACTTCCCCATAATTAATTTCTATACCTTGCTTTTTCAAATGATGCATTTTACGTTTTTCATAACGATCTTTAGGCCAAAAACCAATTTTTTCTTGCAAATATAATTTTAGTGGGCCTTTATGAGATCTATGAACTTTTTTTTTCTGAATTTTTCTTTCTGCATGATATTCATCATAGGATGAGCTAGATTCTGAATCTGATCCGTACGGAGAATCAGTATCAGTTGATGTTGGTGCATCATTATCACTATTCACGAGTGTTTTTGAACGCACGTTTGTTCTATCATTGTTTTCGTTCTCATAATCGGAATCTGTGTCTTGAGTAAAAATATCACCAAAATGACGGCGACGTTGCTCATATATTCGTTTACATTCGTCAATCGATTCTAAGGTATCATTATCATATTTGTCTGTTTCATTTTCATTATTTGATTTTAATGTTGTTATCATATCGTTTTCGTCAACAACTAGAAGAGTAGAATAAACTATGATAAATATAGTTGTTTATTGATTTATTTATTTCATGTATCTGTTCACATTAGCCATTTCCAGATGAAAAAAGCAGCAATTCAGCGTATTTTTTTCTCTAAATCGGATCATCTATTACCGCCAAACAATTGTAATCGTGTAAAATTTTGTATTAAATTACGTAGATATGCTTTCTCTGCTTTTGATAAAGAATACATATCCACCATCAATCAGTTGATTATGACAGGTAGAGGTCGTACAACAAGGTTTATAATAAAGCTAAAGAAAACGAATCTTCTTGTTCTTACCCATGTTAACTGCTGTTAGATCTTGCAAAGTTGAAAGTGATTCACGAGCAGGCTGTTGATAACAACCAAGATCGCTAGAAAATTTAAAAACAAATAATTCAACGGCGGTTAAGTAAATGATGGAGAAAATATATTCACTAAGCAATCGATTTTGGATACATTGTTTCGTCAACATTCGAAAAGAGTGTATTTAATTTTTGATTTAAAGCAATCTCTTCATTTAATTTTATCAGACGCTTATTAAACCCAAGGCCATTTGGAAGCTATAAAATCAAAAAAAAACATAATCATCCATCATAAAAGTGTATCTATTTAAAAAAAGCCAATACAAAAATATCGGACTGGTTAAATTCGATCAATAAGATAATGAATGCGACAAGGTTTTTTTTACCTGCTGCTATTTACTAATATTTTCATTCTTGCTTTAGTCATTATCTTTCTTGAAGTATTTTTGTACAATGCATGGAAATCACTGTTCTCAATTGATTAGATTGATCGTTTAAAACGATTGACTTTTCGTGAGGACAATATTGGGGGTAACAAAGAGCATGGGGATCAGCGAGCGTATTAACGAATAAAATGTTGATTTACAGAGAAGAAAAAAAAATTCGTTCACTCTCTTCTCGTATACAAACTCCGTTTTGCTCCGCTTCTCTCCATATATAGTCGTATCGATTCGTATAAGGCCAAAGATAAATGACTGTACTCCTGAGTCATGTAATACGATAAACTACAGAACGTATATCATCGTTGACAGATGTATATGAACTCTATTCATTGATCTGGTTAGAGTTAATACGTTTGCAATTTATCTCTTTCATACAATTGCTGTCTCTTCTACACTTAAACAACTTAATCGAAAAGTTAAAAACAAAATTTGTATTCGAGGCTTCAACATAAAATTTGAAAGACTTCTGATTCAATGATTAGCTCTAGTTTTCAAAAAAAATCATTGTGTTCTTTCTATTTCTTTTTCTACCACGATAGTATGTATCACGGAATCTCGAATGAGCCATTAATATTCTAAACAGAGCTTAAACTCATAGCAAATCACCATAGAAATCCTACAGTTTTTGCGATGTTGTTATAGGTTAATCTTGTGATCATCTTCATTAACACCAGCTTTTCAAGTGCACATGCAGAGCATAATAGCATTAAATGGGAATCGATCGGAGTATTGATAGTTCTTTAAAGTACAGTGGATGTATATAAATCTGATACGTGATTTTCCTTTTACGATCGACTCTCAACTATCCTATTTAACTTTTGCGAAAATCTTCATTCTAACATTTTATAATGGGAGCTAAAACTGTTATTGAAAACGATCAAAAAAATATGAGATACAAGTTAAGTGAGAACTAAAAGCTTTTTTTCGTTATTGAGTATTGATCTCTCTCTTTGTCGGAACAAGCAAGCCGTGCGAAAAAGAAGAATAGTTTCTAGAGGTAACTATTCTAAAAAAAATAGTTGATAGCCTACATAGTGTTGGTCAGTTTATCGTATTTCATCTAACTCTATACGAGAAAAAAACACTTCTACTTTATCCAAGGTTTTATTTTAAATTACTTGATCTTGTGTTGGTTCCATAACTTTTTGTGCATGTTCACCATTTTCAAAAGACATGTTCAATGAAACATAAGTACCATTAGTTGTAAAACTAAATAAATAGATAAATAGAAAATAAAATGTGACAATTTATTTAAAACTTTGCTTACAATCGATCAATAATATTTATATTATATCCATATTTTCTCTTCACATACTTATCGAATTCTTCAATTAATTGAGTTTTATTTATATTGACATCACTTTTCATATCAAAAGCAATTTGAGCATTCGAAGGAGAAAAACGTTCATATATATTAATATATTTTTTATGCATTTTTGTTTCATCACAAATTTCTACATCGATATCGAACATTGCACTTATAGGACGATGATCTGATGTTTTAACTTCAGCACGACCATAGTATAATTGTTTGGTTTGAACATTGGGAAATATACTTCGCCAAAGTATTCGATCAGTATAGGAAGGTGTACGTGCTTTTTCACTTGTATCATATTCATCAGATCCAACATCATATTTATATGTTGGAGGAAATTTTATTGGACCTTCAATAAATTCTCTGAAGACCTTAAAGTAAGAAAAAATAATTAACTTAACAGTGATCTATGGTGAACTTCGAATGAAATGAGGGACGGAAAGACGAATACACCTTGATGAACAAATGTTTCTGGCAAAGTTTTTTTTTAACCTTTTTTTCCTTAATTATCGAGGATATGTAACATTTAGTGAATCACGAAAGCATTCTATACAGGCATTTTATGTAATTTGATTTACAGATCAGTGATATATTTAAATATATGTTCTACTGTTTTACATGATACATACACTGGATGAATGATTCCAATATTGAATTCAAAACAGCTAGTAAAATCTAGCAAGATACTTAAAACGAGTCACGTTTTACAAGATCTTAGGTGGTTGAGAATGTTGCAACGTTATTTTCATATATTTTGCTAAAAAATCTTGGTTCAATCAGTAAAAAAAGACAGCCCACATAACTTAGTGAATTTCTTCTCGAAATAAAATACTTTTAATACTTGGTGTCTTAACGAACAGAAAATATCAATCGAAATCTGATTTAGAGACGGAAAAATTCAAAACTAAAAACTAGAATAAAATTTAGCATACCCGTCCTTCTGAATGTTCTTTTTTCAATTGATCATATTCAAGTAATTGACTATACGCTTCATTTTTTATAAATTGTTCAACTTGCGCACGAGGAATTGTTAAACGATAATTAAAGTCGCCGAGAAAAAAGATGTGATCGTGCCATAATGCTCGAGATGGTGGTTGAAATGAAAGTTTTTCCATAATAGACTTGTAATCTTTATTTCTCTCATTAAATTCATTTTGTCCTGCTGTAAAATGTGCACATAGAAAACATATTGATGTATTGTACAAAACAAGACGAATAGCAACCTAAATTAAAATTATTATACAGTACTATTAAAATCAATCTATTCTTACACATCCTTTGTTGCCAATTTTCCCACCCATTCCTGTTTTAACGGAATCGACAATAACATTTCTATAACATAAATACCATAATTATTAAAAAGCACGAAAAACTATTTTTTTCCGATATACTTGACAAAGGGTGCATGATCACGTCGAATAAATATTGCTAGACATACACCAACAAGTTGATCATTGCCCAACAGAATATATTCATCATTTGGATATGACTTTTTAAAATGAGCTTGAACATTATCAACCCAACGAGTGGCATTGACAGAACTAGTTAAGTAGGAAAAAAAATATATGTTTTGTAATTGTCTTCGGTGAAGACTCTTCACTGTAATAATAAGAATTTCGAAAAATAACTATAGGACTTCATACAGCATTTATTTTTAATGACAGCAATTATTGGATAATATCAAATATCACGCTCTTTCATAGTAACTCAACTAAATTGTAAATATCGTGATATAACGAATGATTCTAATTATATTCTATTGTCGGTCAGATGCTGGATTTAATCTTAAGATAAAACAATTCTGTTCTGGGAAATTAGTTTGCAAGAAAGAAAGTAGAGAAGAAAAGTAGAATTTTTATTCTATTGGCTTGCTGTTCGATAAACCAAAATGAATACAAAAAGAATTTTAATTAAAGAAATTCGACATTGAAACTAAAATAAAGAAGAATCGAGAACAGAAAGGAAAGTAGGGCAAAACTTTAAATGTAGAGGAAAAAAGCATGTAGTAACTCGATTTATACTCGTCTGTAGAAAATTATTAAAATGAAACTAGGCAGTGTTACGTAAAAATATAAATGAATAGAATCTCTCGTGTTTTTTCTTGCAGAAATAAACTAATTCACATGCGTTGATATGTACTGATATCAACAATTGAAAGAAAACTAGCTCGCGAGGTAACACATACATAAATAACAATTTTCAATACACTATGATCAACAATGACTAAGGAAATTTTCTGTTCGAGTCATTTTTGGACGACTTATTATTTAATAAGATATATTCATATTATTGGGGGGAACACAGTGAAATGAATCGATTAGGTCATGACCGACAATTCAATATCGGCTTTGCCTGGTAGAAAAAAATAATAATAGCAGATGCATTTTTCGTACTCAATACTTCACCCTGTCTAATACGATCAGAAAGAATCGTAAGTGATTTTTATCCTATAGTCACCTTTGATAGACCTAAAGTGTTTTGGATGTATGCTCTATTATTTGTATAGTACGATTGAACACATTTTCTCTCACCGAATATAAACATCGTTTGTTACTCAGAATAATTGCTCACTTAGAGAATAGAAAGGTTCAATTGAAAACTATAAAAAGCTTCTTGTTTATTCAGAAGAAAACATAAGATATGAATGAAACAAAATTCTATGGCCTATCGATCGAAGAAGTTAAAATTTGCTCGGCAAAAATTTCCTAACTGTGACTTTCGAAAACAAAATGACGAGTGATTAAAACTATTTCATAATAGTTTAATAAAAATTGAAATTTGCCTAAAAATACTCTTGAAACTATAAAATATGAGAGGAATAATAAAATTTGAAGAATTCATTCATTGTTTGTGCTTTGTCGTTCGATGACTGACATATTTCTATTGACAATGAATGTAACTCGGTTATAGTTCAAAAGTCATTTCAATTAGACTACTCATCAGTACCTTTGCCAAACCATGTTTGTTGCTGTTAAGTCACAGATTTCTTGAAAACCAATAGCTAATATATCCGGCATTAATTTTACATAGTCGTCGCTGACAAATCCTAAAAGTAAAATATTTAAAAAATCTCTCTTTTTTATTAGTTATTATTCTTTACCATTTGTTGAAATAGAATTAGTTTTTCGAGTTTTTGCCGAAAGATTCTCTGGTCCATCCAATATCCAAGCATCAAGAATAGATGGATATTCATTTTCTAAAGCTGGATTTTTGTCACCATTTATATTCCATGTACCTATTGATACGCGAAATTTTTCTTTTCTAACAAACTCTGGACGCATTCGGAACAATTCAGTTAATATGATACCATCAGCTAGGAAGACAAAAGAAAAAAATGTTCTTATTTTTAAAATAAACAAATCGATATTTACATATGACATAAGGCGTTTGAAGAGCAGCAACAGAACGTTCATGTAAATATGAGTCTTTAGCATAGGAATAGATTAATGTTTGAATTGATTGTTGTTTTTCATCATCACGTAAATTATTTTGTATAACTCGGCCAAGACTTCGTTGGATATCTTTTGCCTAAAAAGTAAAATTAATTATTTTCTACGGTCACTAAGTGATTATTTTTAAATGTTTCATATTGTTGATAGAAGCATACTATTGGTTCACATACGTATGCTCATTATATAAAATATATATATTTACTTTGTTCCTTTGTCCTAATGCTCCAGTGCCAGTGTAAATTCTACTAATATGATCACCATTATTAATCCACATATCTTTTAAACGATCGACTAAATTATTAACATTAACTTTTTTCTTCAGACTCGCTATTTGCATGGTTAAAGCAATCATTCCAATAGTTAATTGTACATTGTTTGTTCGATCGAGACAATCAATACAATTAATACGAAAAACGCCTTGTTGTAAACTAGAAATTGTTTCGTCCATAAAAGTAAATATATTTTGACGCTCGAGTTCTGGTCCAATCGAATATTGCTTATTTTGTATAAGCATTTGATCAACAAATTGTTCGGGTGTTAAACCTTTTGCCTCACGTGCCTGTTCATGATAACCAAACCAAATAAAATCTTTTTCAGTTAAATAGCCAAGTAATGGTTTCTCTTTTTTCTGTTTCGATTGATATGTTTTAACAAGTAATTCAAATAAATTCTGATATTCTTCTCCAATACGTTTTTCATCTTCACGTTTATCAACTAGATTTATTATTAATACACGACCATAATGACGATAGAGATATTTAAAATGTCTATGAAATAAAAACTTTTAGTATTTCATTAAAGCTTTTTTAATTGATTCAACCTACTCAAAAAATGCTTTGAAACTAAGTGCTTCACTACGTAACACTGTAATTCGATGAGTGCCCACCTATATAACAAGGAAATAAAAAAGTATTGCTAATTATATATATATATATATATCACTTGGAAGCCTGGTTGATGCCAAAATAATGGAATAGAACCACGTATGATAACAAATGATGAATAATGATTTTGTCGAGGAACAAAAACAATCTGGAAAACATTTTTTCATGATTTATTCTAAGAATCATATGTTTCGAGTTAATCATCGTATTGCATTCAGTTTATCAAAAGCAAAAAGCGTTATTTAGGTTAGACACACTATATTATTTAATTATATCTAAACCAAAACAAAGTAGATCTGAGTATAAACTACTTCAATAAAAAGAAAGAATAGTTGCTAATCAATGTATATTGTGCTTAGGAATTTTCTGAAAATAAAATAAAACAAACGAAAAGAGAAACAAACAAGTTTTAATGCAATCATCGATTGATATAGTTAGTCATCCAAGTATTCATTTTGTTAATACTCTAGAGACTAAATTTCTACACATGTATACTTACATGTTTCATACAGAATGAAGAGTAACATTCGACAGATCCATTGAAAACTACAGAATTTTCGGTATGCATAGAAAACGTCGAAAAAAACAACGTTGATATAGAAAATGTCGAAAGAAAAAAGATGAGAAGGTCGAATAATAATTTGTTCATCCGATATTTTTTCTTTCGACCTTTTTTCGATATCTTTTCTTTCGGCATTTTCTATTTCAACATTTTCTATTTCAACATTCTCTATTTCGACATTTTTGCTTCGATATTTTTTAGTTTCGACCTTTTCTATGCCATTCGAATTTTCTCTCGGGATGTTAATATAATAGAAGAATTAATCTTCTTATTTTTATTTTTTTCAGTCATGCTATTCAGTTCATTAAACTAAGCCATTACGTTTAGGATAAGTTCTAAATAATAAGTTCCTTGTATTATAGCAATTTAGATTTCGTCATCGTACTCAAACGATAATCAGTATGCTATCTCTTGACATGTAACTAATTATTACTCACTTGTTCTGTTTCAACGAAATTTGCCACAGCTCCATCATCATTAACACCACGGACATTGAATCTTGTGCCAGCTCTCTCACAGCTCAGTCTAAATTACAGATAAAATGATCTATTTTCGAAGTAAAAATTTAATCTACCTTGATATTAACCACAATTCGATGTCTTCATTTGGATTTCTATATGTTTCAAATCCACCGCACATTATTTTAGGTATCCAATATCGAATATCAATATTAAATTTAAGTAAAGGTAAACATAAACCTCGATTCCTATGATTGAAAGATGAAAGTTTTTTGATTAATTATTTTTTGTAGATTTATTTAACGAGAAACAAACCAAAAAAATCGTATATCTGAATCATGTCCATGAACCATTCGTTGAGCACATAATGTTATATCATATGGTTTAGTAAAGTAGCGTTTGTTGTTATTCAATTCTGGATTGAAAAATGATGCATAGTAAAATGAACGCCCTTGAAATAGTTTTCTAAATGTTTAAAAAGACAAAATAATCGATTATGTTAAGTGAACTTTTTTCATTTTATTATTATCTTACTTTATTCCAGAAACAAACACTTCATCTTCTGGATTATCGCGCATAGATATAGTTGCCACTTGTGAAATACCTTTCAAAAAAAGAACAGAAAAAGATAATATAAAATTTTTGTTCTTCTAGTCTTTTTATCATCATACGAAAGATATATGCATCAAACAATTGTCCAATAAATACTTCTTCAGTTACAAATATCATAAATGGTCGAATAATACCAACAGCTAGAACAAATTCATGTTTGATTGTTTGTTATTTTTGAAAACGAAAATTTTAATACGAACTATTTGCAGTGATACTGTTCGGTGAACTGTTCAATATCAAAACACCAAGAAACGCTTTTGCACGAAGAAGTAATGTTGGTGGGTTATCAGATGAATCATTGAAACCTTTAAAATAGATTTATTGTGTATACTATTTTTCGAGATGAAGTATTTCTGAGAGAATTCCTAATAGTATCCCACGGTTAAATATGATTTGAAGTCGAGGAAATCATTAAGATAAGAACACAACATTTTTTTCTGCGCAGGAAGAACGGAAACATTTTTCGATGAAAATGCTTCAGCTAATAAGTAATCTTTTAGAATGATTTTAACTCTTAAAGCACAATAGAGACGCCGTGGTTCTTTTAGATTATTACGACCTCTTCTTCCTGATTAGACTATACCAAAATTATGAGATCATAAAAATACTCACCCTTAAAAATTTGTTACAAGTTAGTCAATTTAATAGCGGAACTTTTACCGAATGTCGAACAAGATCCTGATCAATTTCATACGAAATACGATATCAAAAGTATAGTAAAAAATTGATATGTTTTCAAATATGTATCTAATTAGATATTAGATCGTCCTTTTGCTTTGCTGTTGCCTATCATTAATGCAATATTTTTCTAGTTCATCAAAAATCATAAACTAACAAAACAAGTAATTGCAACATTTGAAATTGACTCGAACAGCAACACCAAGGCTTTCGATTGGAAAGATCTATCTTTTTTTTAATATAGTTTTGATTTCTTTCGGTTTCTACTGTTATTTTGACTACCAGTGACATTTGGAGTCAGTAAACGATAGAAAATGAATTACAGTAATACCTACTCTTAATAGTACGCAATACAAAAGTAAATAGATATTGTTGCACTATATTGAAGCTAACAGCACCAAAATTAAGGAACTTATTATGATACGTAAGAGTTTTTCTTTAGCTGAGACCGTAAAATAATAGCCATTGCGTGGGTTTTATCATCAGAATAACATTAATGAGAAGTATACCTCATCAAACGATCATTATGGGATACACTCTGAATTATGTTGACCAAAAATAAGATGTTATGTGACATTATAGAATTATTATTGTATAATTAATAGTTATTACTCTACCATTATGAAAAATGAATAGGTGATGTATGTTTTATTTTAATAAAAGCAAGAGTTTATTGAATCCTATTGTATTCTGAACTATACAAACGAAAGAGAAATAGATGCCAATAGAAGCGCTCTTCTGTTGTATTCAATTCTCGATTGTTAACAGTAGCACAATTAATGTTAACAAGTAGTGATACAGAATGTAAGATTGACTGAACCAAATCGATTGAAGATTTATCGCTATCTGTTTTACTGAGAAGACTGATGAGCTTGTAATCATTTCTCTGCAATGAAAATAATTCCACCATATTTCATGTAACAATAGCTGAGCATCAATAGATTATGATACACTGGTGAATGTGAGATTTCGTTGATGTGTTTTACCAGTTGAATGCGATGAACTGTTCTCCTAATTTCACTTGAAGACAACTGGTAGCAGTCAAAGATAGTTAATTAGAATGAGAACTTTTTATGTTTACTGATTATTATATGCTCATAGTATCATTCTAGACCACGCATCGAACACCTACTAGACAATGGCTACAAAAAGTGGCTGTGTAGAAGATTGTTTCGCTCAATTTTGAAGTGCAATTCGTAAATATCAAATTCATCAAGTTCACTTTGCAAAAATTTCTATTTAAGATTGTTGTTTAGCTTAAATGATAGATCAGTAAAATCTTCAAGCTTTATATGTAATATTTCAAACAATGGCTTTTTTGTGCAAATCAGATTTTCTTATAGGTAACTTCTTTGATGAAAACCTTAACTACATATGAAATAAAGGCTGCTCGAAAAGTTGCCTGTTCTATTTTCTGGCGATAATTTGCTTTTAGACTTCGCTACCGTATTGTCTAATGTATGTTTAGCTTAAACCAGTAAAATAAATAATCTTAAAAATATATTACAAAAAAAGAGAAGGGAGTGGAGAAGAATTTCCGACTAAAACCCATTGTTGATAATAGCTAGAAAAGGAAGACATTTTTTTGTGTTGAGTTCGTTCAGTCACAAGTGATATGATATGACAATAAAGGTGACATCATCATGTTACTAATCACAATGATCAACATTCGTTGACTATGATTCAAAAATAGAAGAAAAAAAAATTGTTCCTGACTTTCAAGAATACGACTGTGTTGACGATGATAGCACTACACACTAGAATGGATTGCTCATGTTGTTTCCGAATTATCTCCAATATAACTCTTGCAAGTGATTGACATATAAATATTGTTCTGCTACTGCTTTCTCTCAAAAGATAATATTCATTCTTATCGCTTGGGAAAATAATTTATCACAAAAAGCTATATTATTTGCATTGAATTATCATATACGCCTCTCACCTGATTGTTGTTCAGTACTAGTATACCGAGAAGATGATGTTGATGTAATCGGTGCTATATCGGGTGATAAACTCATGTTATTCAACTGACTTATAGTGAATGGCAGCGCATAGGAATCTGCACTATTCTTTTGTTGCTGCGCCTGATATCGGAAATAAAGTACATCTGAACAGCTTGGAGACGATGCAGCAGCTTGTTGTTGAAGCTGAACATAAAATGAACCATTTGTCTGTTGTGGAGTGGATGTCTGAGATACGTCTAAAGGATTTAATGGTAGAATAGGCTCTGCTTTTCTATATAAAGCTACGCTCCAGTTGGAAACTGGAGCTGCTGGTGGAATATTTGATCGAGTTGGTGCAGTTGGAGCTGTTTTAGGAAACATTTGACTTGCTTCTGAAGGAAAGAAAAAATGTTAATACTTTGAAAGAAAAAGAAGACGAGACAAGAAGAGAAACGAACGAGCGAAGAAAATAGAACTCAATACAGATTGGCTCTATTTACAGCAAATCAAAAAATTCGAATAACTAATTGATAAAAAATTTCATATAAAATATAATAAAACTTACAACAATAATTAAAAGATTGATTTTTACGTAAATCTAATAGAAAATCTAAAATTTCGTTCAATTGAGGTCACTGTAATCGTTATTTATAAAATCTTACCATCCATTTAATTCATCATTTTCTATCCTTGTGATTCTTAGCCTATATTCACAAAAAAGCACATCATGTCGAATACTGTTACGGAGAATCAATTGTCTAACAATCAAAATGCACCATTACACGAAAGTTCAAAACAACAACCAAGTTCCAATGATGTTTTAACAGCAAGACAATTACAAAGTGCATTTCAACCATCAGCAGTAACCTTTCTATTAGATTCGTTTTTTTTTCCTATTTTCATGATAATCTTTATTTATTAGAATGTGGAACAAGTAACAGATCAATTTGATGCATTAAATGTAACACCAAAAGTAACTATGCGAGTAGGTTAAATAGAAAAATAGAAAAGGATATAATTTGTTTATTTATTTATTTATTTTTTAATAGTCTGATGCTCCGGAATTTACGCCAGCATCGGACGTAACAAAAGCAACAACAACAACCGATAATGCAGAGAAAAAAATCAAAACAGAATTTATTTATGATTTAAAAAAATTTAAACATGATTATTTCGTATCGGATCTTTCATGTAGTTTTGATCGTGAAAATGCAAAATTCGGTGCACCGACTGGTATATGTGCTTTACCGGATGATCGTTTATTAGTGGCAAATTTCGATCGCGACTCTGTTTTACTCGTGGATATTAAAGGCGTTGTTCATCACATTTTTAAAGATTTACCAACGCCAAAAGCTGTTATTTTTAATGCAGCGGCATCACCAACACAAGCTGTTGTGGCAACAAGAAAAGAAGCAGTTATTTTGGATTTAAATACAAATAAAGTTGTTACAAGAAGTAAAATGCGCGGATTTTATCCATGGAATATTCAATATGTAGAAGAACGACAGGTTTATGCAGGTATATAGAGAAAATGTTAATGTTTAATGATGATATCTTGGTCAAATATTTAATCAGCCCAAGAAGTCATAAAAAAATGTCACAGCTGTCGATTCATATTATAAGTCAATGAATCAATACTGATCTGGTTGATTATAGATTATCAGCTAATCATTTTCAAAATTATAATCGTAAAATTCACCAGTTTCCATAATTATCTGACTAACTATTTCTTTCTCGTCGATATTTCTTCGGCGACATTTCTAGATGACTGTAAAGTGCTATATTGAAGAGCTACTCGAATATTAACTAGATTAAAATTGTTTCGAGCTTCTGTTCTTTTTGTAGCTTGAATCAATTTATTTTAATTCGGTAGATATTGAAAAAATAGTTTATCAACAAGAAGAAAATGTTAGACTACTAAAAGAACTACGATAATGATCCTTGGCAAACTGAGATCGATGCTTCTAAATTCTTTTTGAATGGGTTAGTCTTATGGAATTGTATTTAAACTAATGGTTTTACCAGAAGCATTTCATACTGGAATAGAAGTGTAAGATCCGACGCCTTTTTCCTGTTTCCGCTATTCGTACGCAAAATAATATCTGCTCTTGAAGTTTTCTTTTAATTATAATAAATAAGTAAAAGATACATTTCCATTAACATCGTCCTACTTGTTCTCGTGTGGTCGTATATCCTATATTAGCACTTAACCGCTTTCAAGTCGGTTATTGTTTTTCAAAAAAAAAGTAATTTTATGAATACAAATATAATCAATAAATAAAATGAGTTGTAGCTTATATTAAAATTTTCTGCTCTATAGAAAAAATTCTTGTCAACAAAAGGATTAGTGAGAACGTTGATGATAGATAATTGTCCGGAAAAAGAAATCTTTTATTTTTGACTCATTGGCCGCTTTCTTATCATATCGAATTGTATTAATATATTTTAGTCTTCATCAGTTTATCTTTCAAAACTAAATTTTTTCTTCTATAAAAAAATATCTTTGTTATTTAGCATGTGATCCGTCCGGTGAACGTATTGTTTTTCTTGATAATAATCTTGCTGAAATAGGTGTATGGTCCTTTCATGATTCAACTCAAGATCATTTACTTCAAAGTCAACCTCAACTTTATCAAAAAGTTTATCCATATGCTGCGTACTTTTTACCAAATGATACATCTTTTGTTTTAACTCATCGTCAAGATAAATGTCATCTTGATGAATATGATAATACAAGTGCGGCAGTAAAATCAACATATAATATTCCATCATTACAATCTTATTCAATTTATGTTGATGACGCTAAAAAATGTTTAATACCTGATAAATTAAATCATCGTTTGGTTTCAATTGACAAAGATTCAAAATTTGAAGAATATAGATGTAAATCAATTCAAGAACCATATTCATTGACATTTTTATCGACTGGTACATTATGTGTCACTGATTGGAATAAATCACATGGAACCAGTGGTGGAATTTCAGTTATTAGTGAAGTTAATCTGAAAGAAAAACAGTAAAACTAGCGGATGATTTTTTTAAAATGATGACATCTTTTTTTTGTCTTTGTCGTGGTTCTTTTTTTCTACTCTCACATCATCTATTCATAGTATGTAGTCATTTGATTGTTTTAAGCAAAACCTGAAGAAAAAATATCTTCACATAAAATCTGATGGTCAATAGAAAACTTGCATTGAAGTGACGATAATTTTTTTTCACTCATTTATTAACGTCTTTAGTCAGTTTTCTTCTCGGTTCTTATTCTTCTTCTTATTATTGTTGCTGTTGTTGTTGTTGTTGTTGTTGTAGTTGTTGTTATTTTTTTTTGTTATCTATGTCTTTTTGGATTATATTATCAACGGAAAAAAAGAAATAAACTAAACTAAAAATGATTAGCTACTAGTTCTTTTCGATTTTCGACAGATGATAGGATTGGTAAAGTAGATGTCTATGAACAAGTTAGATACCAGTTTCCATTGCACTACTATCTAGACGATCAATTATTATTTAGGAATTTCAGATGTACGGAAAATTTTTTCAAAAATTCAAAAGAAGAAATAAACATCAATTACTATTCAATCGCTAAAGAAATTTATAAAAGCTTGTAAAAGTTTATTAGAAACTGTTGCAAAAGTTGTTTCTTTTTTTTATAATTTTAGTTTCGGACGCGCCACAAAATGAGCTATAAAGAGGCTGAAATATGAACTACACGATTAAAATATGTTTTTATGTTGTTTATTTATTATAATTATCAAATTCAATTTTATGAAGAGTAAGCATCTTGAAAATATTAGTTTTCATAGTTTGCCACAGGATACTTCGAGTTACACTAGATTCTGTTAACGAAGATTTCATCGAATTCGATTAGATTTTGGAATTCATATGTTAAGAAAAAGTCTTATCTGGAGACTATTCTAGTTCATTTTGTTTGTATTCAAAGTTCATTTGCTCAAGTACACATTTGTTATTATTGTAGAATTTCATATGACTTGTTGGATCTTATACAATATCAAAATTGAAAAAATAAACATCTACATCATAAGTTTATTACAATCTTCATTCCAGAGTTTCTTTCGAAATTCAATTGAAAACTTTCATTGTTCAATTATAAGTAAACTCACATATAATGATTTGCACCCTATTCTAAAACTGATATAGATTGCTCACATTCCAATGAAAAATTGATCGGCTTGTCCACGTAACTCGCTACTTCGCTGATCAAGTTTTTAAAAAATTTATTTTCGATATGGACATATCTAAGCGTATTATCTGGTGCACTTTTTTACGTTGATTATGAATTTGAACTTTTTTTCTTAATAAAAATTGAGTTTTGGCATCGAAAACCGCGTTTTAAAGTTTTCAGAAATCGTATTTTCAATTCTCTAACCAAGAAATTTAAAACAAAAATGCAGACTGATATACCATTCGACGCAGAATTTGATTCTCTACAAAATGGTCTATTTAGTTTTTACTCTCATTCCTCAGGACAACTTCTAAGCTCTTATACAGTTTCTAACTTGCTGTACAAATATTGGGCTCCTATTTCAACGTAGCAACTTGATTTTTTTACAGAAGGATATATGTATGGCAGTGATCAATATATATAAATATTAAATATTTTAAAGCATGTTAAGTGCTTCGAATTCGGTCGACAAAAAAACGTGTCACAGCGTTACGAAAAGTGTCACAGCGTTACGTTTGTTTTTTGCATTTTTTATCTGAGCGAAAATAGTTTAGAAAAAATATTTTTTACTGATTGAAAGCCCATTCAATTCTCTACAAAACTGGTATCATAAGCATTCAATTTGAAGAACTAATTTGTCAAAAATGTAGAGCATTATAAGCAGCCCTAGAAAAAAAGGTCCTTTTTTTGTCACAGTGTTACGCGATGATAAAACCTTTCTAGAAATGCGAGAGTTCAGTCAAACTAGGTCATTCTTTCAGCATAAATAGATTATGATAAGCTGCGTCGAATGACGTTTGAACGAACTTATTAGCTCTTATGCCTTTCGAGATAATTGAAAAATGATTTGTCAAAATGTCACAGCGTTACGTTTGGACAAGCCGTGATACCATTCAACATGCATAAATAAGAAAAGGTAATATCTAGAACATTGATACATATGAATTTTATTTGCGCTTAAAAATCTAGAAGTATAGCATCATATAAGAAAAATACGCTTACAAAAATCTATGCTAACAAATGTCCAATTTTGTTTTTAAAGAATTTAATATATATATATAGTGTACGATAAAATTTTAAATAAAAAAAATGGCTAAACACACGCAAACATGCTCTGTAATTTATATATTGTTCATATTATAAATTGAAAAATGATTTATTTAATGTGAACAAAAGGTCTTCAAGGAATCCACATCGCCTGAAAATTAAAGTTAAAAATTAACGTACATGATCTGTAATACATAAGTATGTATCTTACCTTTGTCAAGACCAAGACATAAACCCCACTCATCAGCTGAAATTTTATTATCATTACTTGTATCGCAATGATTCAAAAATGGTTGAATACAATGTTCAAGAACTTTAAGGGATCGAACAAAACGAGATAATTCTTCCTTGTTTACCGAACTTTAAGTAAAAAAAATAAAGAAGAAGAAAAAAAACGATATACTTCTTTTTTCTTAACAATCAGGTTTTACTACTGACTTATCATGTGTTCGATCAAGTTCACAAAATTCCCATAGTACAGCATTTCGCCACCATTTTTCTGTATTTGATAATTTCATTTTACGTGCTTCATTCACTAATGTTTCGTATTTAGAATCAAGACCTTTGCGAACAAACTAAAAGAAAGCTGATTAAATAAACAATGATTTAATTCAAACAAACCAATGCATCAAGGATTTCACCAAGCCAAATTGTCATTCGTTTAGGAAAAACTTCTAATTCAAATTCCGTACAAACACCAAGATCTAATTAGAATTAATTTAGAAAACGAAATTTATTGATGTGAAAAAGACAGCTCTAGAGTTACTTTGACATTGTCCGAAATAATCAATAATATCTGTTAAAGCTTCTTTTCTTGTACAACGTTGATCATTTTTTCGACACCAACATTGCATTTGATAGAATTCACAATCAGATGTATATGTATGATTAGCTGTTGTGCAAACCTATGAAAACCAATTAGATATGAAGATTAATAACGATTTCACGATAAAAAGATCTTTACTTAACCATTAAACGCTCATCTTTTGGATCTTCACATTCTGCAATACAAGCACATTCAGCATCACCATCTTGATTTAAAACGCATGTTTCATCTTCACGGCATTTTCTGCTTGAACATCGATCTGTATACAAACAAATTAACTCAAGTACACTCGTAGTAATATAAACATACCTTGAAAATCATTGATTGCTTTTTTATCATCGATACTTGATGCTACATTTTCTGCATTAATTGTAACCGCTGACTCTGCCTAAAATAAATCCAAAATAGAATAAACTTTTAATAGATCAGTAGAATATTCATCAACATATCAATTTTCCTACATTTCATTCTTTGAATATGTTGGTAAAAATAAACTACTAATTCTATACTCGAAAAGGAAGTATCATATTTTCTCATATCGACTTTTTTATTTTGTTATTCCATATATATACTGAAACCTGATGTGGAACATAAAGTCTTCGAGAATGTATTATAAACAAAAACCATCCGTAGTAAATTAACTAAGAAATTTTCTTGTTTTCTTTCTTTCATGAATATGCGAGACACGGGTTTCATTGTTCGAAAGTTCTTACAAAATATTTAATAGTAGATAATCTATATTTAGTTAACATTTTAGCTTGAAAGAACCAGTTGATCTAAGTTTTTAAAGGCACATCTATAAAGTACCACATCTATTTCTAGTAAAGTCATATGTACATTTGTACGCCTCAAAGTATGATTGGTATTTGATTTGTGTTATTGCAGTCTTGGACTGAGACATTTATCATTTAATTATACTAAATTGGAGAGAGAAAACAGCAGACAGATGGAACCGATCTTTATACAGTCGAAAGTCAGCCCGGGGGGTTTACTGATAAACAACAACATATTTACGCTCAAAATATATGAGAACAAGAATTCTACTATATGATTAGATTCATATTCAATGAAAAAACAAAATCTTTTGACGATATCATATCATATTGTTTTCGTTTTCGTTTTATATTAACTTACTCGAATGGTCCATAATTGATGACAAGAAATAATAGTAAAAAGAAGGACAAACAATTTTGATGCCATCTAGATGTGTATTCTGTAATCGAATGCTAAGGTTTTAGATTAGTTATGCGTCTAAATATTATTGGTGCGCTAGCAAGAATGATAGAGCAGAAACAACTAGATCCCAAGAATTATTTTCTCTCTCTCTGCGTCTTTTTTCTCTCATCATTAACTTGAGTAGGAGTGTGAAAAATAAGGATAATACTGATTAGAATTCCTTCAACTACAATATCTTGTTGTTTTTACTTCTTTTTTTGGTAGATGCGTGATAAATGCTCTTATAAACTGTCTTTATATATATATATATATATATAGTATATAAGTTAACGTCGAATCAAGACAGTCGGATATATAATTGGAGAAATGAGTTCTACAATAATTTACACACGCGTCTATTTTTGTGTACTCTACTGTGTCATTATCTTTGTATGCCAAAAACTCATGCGATAACCAACTAGTTTGTTTGTATGAATTGACGGCTTTTGGCAACCATTTAGAGATAAGAGTACTATTAGGTAAAAATGCTCCAGCCTTGCAACTGAAGTTGTTGACACACATAGATAATAATTTTACATAAGAACTATTCATAGTTTGCTGCAAAACATCTAAATGATCTATACATCATATTGTTAATCATTTATTCAGACATGTTATATGACTAGAAACTAGCTGACAAGTGTTTATGAAAGATGGAAAGTAAGTCACGAAACTAGATAGACACTATTTCGAAAATGTTTAACTTTATTGGTTAATCGAATTTTAGTTCATCATATGAGATCATATTATACATATAGTTGAATAGTTTTGAGATTAAAAAAAGAACTATACAACCATTCATGTCGATAGTTTACTCTGGAAGCTTTTTGAGGTATTAGAATTCTAACATATAATAGCCGTATGACATGCGACAATGCAATCAATCAGTCAACTCCCGACGAAATTGAATATCTCGATATAAATGTGTTGATTTTTGAAAACAAAATTCAAGACTATCGAATAATAACTAAAATAAGTTATAGATTAAATTTCAGCTCATGACTTTTTGTTTTAGATATTTTTCAGCAGCGTCTCATTCATAGTAAGATTGCCAGTACATCAGTAGTAAGTTTCTATAAGTAAACCATAGAAAGAAATGATTAATGGCATTTCTCTGTCCTTCACTAATCTATTCGGATCCAGAGTACTAGACCAAACAATGTCAAATAGTAACATGCGTCTTCTGATAAGTTTCATATCACCATCAGCTAGTCTTTCAAAAACAAGAAAATACGACTTGTCGATTGATTTAATTGTAAAAGATAACCTAAATCTAAATAGAAAGATGAAAACAAGCGATACCCTAAAAAACGAGCTGGCTTCTTTTAGCATCGATTCCTTGATGATATTTTACATCATCAATAATCTGCATAAAAACATTAACTGATTATGTTGCATGTAGAAAAGTCAAGGCGACGCTTGTTAGCCGTTTAAAGTTTTGATCATTGTCACAGAGTCAATATACTTCGACAGACTCTCTGAGCAACAATCAAAACGTAGTGACGACTCTGCTTATTTAATTATCATATTTTAAAAAGTCTAAAAGAATCAAATGATAAATACTTTTGAGAATACGAGACAAAACGAAAAAATCCATTATTGAATTCGCTTACTGTCGGTTGTATGCACATCCTAACACTCAAAATGATGAATAAAGAAAAAAGTATAACTATGCGCTCTCTTCTCTTTTTTCTTAAAATAAAAACGATGACGATCATCATTACTGGTGATAGGTGGTCACAGATGTAGCCTTCTGTATTGTTCTAACAAGAAAAAGACAAAAAGAATATTTGCACTGCTGTTGCACAGAGTGATTATAATTATTTTTACAAGTGATTCGATATGCATTCGTTTCAATTGTCTCTCAACTGTTAGTATTATGTAAATCAGCGCTAGAATATGGTATTAGTACGAAAAAGTCATATCTATTGATTTTATCTTTCTTTCTTTTATGTGCCCTGTTATTGTTTGATTTCTATTCGCTTTGCTGTTTAGATGAGAAATAACTAGAACATTGTTTTTCATCATTTCGAACAAGCTAAGTTTTAAATCGTTTAGTTTTTTTCTGAGCTTTTGTTAACATATCATATGAAAACAACTTTAGTTTCATCGTCTTGATTCATTAACATTTTACGTGTATGTCCATAGACTTAAAATAAGATTCCTATTATACAGCTTTACATGTTTGCACAAGATAAAATGAGATTATTATTTGATCTAGTTTCTTGCTTATGATATAGTTTTAAGAATGTCTATTTATTTTTCTGCCATTAATAGACAAAACAACGTTGAAAACAATCGTTATGTTTTCTTCTATATAAATCTAATCGATCTGAAAGGCAAGCTGCATTATTGTTTATTTACCATATATGATAATTTGTTACAAATTACTACTCATGAATTCCAACCTATATAGACTAATATATATTTAGCAAGCATTGCATTATGATTACACTAATACATTTTTATTTGATTGTTTTCGTACAGCTCGATTTTTCATGGAATTCTATAGATTTATTTTCTACTAAATGTTATACCTTAGAAGTGGAGAGATTTCCATAAGCAAATAAAGCAAACCATTATAGAATATCATATATATATTTCTTGATTTTCGTATGTATAACATGAAGAAAAAAATGATTTTTTCATTGAAAATATTAAAGTTTATTTTTGAATGAAAATGCTTTGAAAGAAAAAAGATAGATTTTCTCCGCTCTACAATTGTATTAGAAAGTTGGAATCAATTTTTGTTAATACTACACAATACAATGTCATGTGAATCATTAAAATCCTTGCAATAAGTAATTGTATTCTCACCAAAATATTGTGATAATAAATAAGCAATAGGTATATTGTTATTTATTTGATTAACATTTTTATGTTGAATGCGATTATGTGAACTTATATACATACTACTAATACTCGCCTAAAAACTTATTATTCTTTAAAATTATCTTCAGCGTAATAGTCGATGGCTTTATTAATTGATACGTATTCAACTATGTACATATTCGCCTTGAGAGTTGCTTTCATTCAATAGGATCCCTATTCTAATTACAATGAATGATAGCTCTTTTTTTTGCATTTAAAACTATTTCAACAAGAATTTTGGGGTATAGGATTATAAACTTGAGCATTAATTACAGACATGATATATCACAGACAGCTAAGATATATTTAGCGATGCCACAAATCATGACTGACACTGCCGACATGCGATCACCTATCAATAACGTGTAATTATAACATATGTAATATATAGTTCTTTATTGCATGTCGAGATGATTAGGCAAAAGGATGGCAAAGAAATGTGTCTCGAAATAGATAAAATAAAACGATCTTCTTGTCCTTGCCAAGAGCAACTACATCATGTTCCAGATTTTAGTCACATCTAGTTTTCTCATTTATTTTGATTTTATCGTACGCAGCGAATTCACTCATTCTGCACAATCAATCATTTTGTGATTTTGTCCAAGTCTAATTCAATTCTACGAAGTTTTGTTCAATTTATGATAGTGAATTTATATGTGAGAAATAATTATCAAACATGAGAATATAAATACACGGGAAAGAGAGTATTAACACTTGAAAACTGTTCAGCAAACTATGAAGAACGGTGACCTCCATAACAGTCCCATTAGCTTTGTTGAATTTAATATTCATACGCGTTGTTTCTTTCCTATTAGAATTCCAGAATTATATTAGATTACTGAAAAAGTAAAAATATAAATGAAAAATTCGATAAAAATCTATTGAAATTTACACCATTTATTCATTTCTAAAAAATATCCTTATCAAGGAAATCAAAGTAAAATTCTCATATCCTTATGTCGGCCACTAGTTCATACAAGTAAAACAATATGAGAGCAAATATTTTTCTATAATTCTGAAAAGAAATGATTTTAACTATATCGTTGCTAGCCTTTTATTTTGTGAGAGTTAATTAACGTGTTATACCAATCACACGAGAGTCAATGTCGATTCAACGAACAAATAGTCAGTCACGTGTACAAAATAGACATAGTGATAATGCTAGAACACATGAATCTGATGAATCTACTTTCAAAAATAATAAACCGACTCCAACAATGTCATCAAATACACAAATACGTACAAGTAATGAAATTCTTCTTAAAAAATCACAAAAACTGTTACAATCATCAAAGCAAAAACGGCAAGTTGCACACGAGAAACTGAAGCTGATGCGCCATATATTTACTAACATCAGTAATTCTCAATCGAGTAGGACGAAAAAATTTATTCTTTCTTACAAACCCTAGAATTTTAGTGCCCGTCGACCGTTTAACTGATGCATTATTAGCACTTGGACATGACACCCGGAAAGATATTAACTATCAAGATTTTCTAATCGAACACGAATTGATTGAATCAAGTGGTACATTGGTTGGGTTATTAGATTTTGAACATTATGCATTACTTGTGCTTGAATATGAAGAAAAATTACACATAGAAGAAGAAGCACTTCGACGACTTGATCTTAAAATTGCTTTTGAATGTTTTGATTTAAATAAAGGTATAGAATTCTTGCATTTTCTTGTGGCTTTATCATATTCGATATAGATGGGATGATTGATGCAAATGAACTATCTGCTGTTATGAATATTTTGGGATTTCCCGTCACTGATCAAGAAGCAAAGGAAATGATTGACTTCGCTGATCATGATAAAGGTAATTTATATTTCTCATATGATGCATTTATATAAAAATTAATTTTTCAAAGACTCTTTATTATCTTTTGATGAATTTCTCGTTGTTCTTACACAAATCTCTACAATTGATGTACCATAACAAGATCTACTACAATAAATTTGCCAATCAATAACAATTTTGCAATGAATATTCTAGTAAAAATTGTTTGCTGTTATAAAATTATTCGATCAAATATAGTGAGCATAATCTTATAGAGCGTCGATAACATTTTCTTGATGAGTTTTGCATCCGATAAGAAGCTTGATAGTCAACACGGCATTGTTTCTATAGCATTTCATTAGTATAGAATCCAACGATTCATGTTGGAAGTAACTATTTCTTCTTTATTGATTAACAGTATACTCGACTGAGAGTCGCTTGTAGCACAATAAAGATTACATGGTCTTGTTGAAAAAAGAACAAATTGCATAGAATAATAATAACTCTATTGTCATTTATTCAACATTCAGAATTATAATAAATACTTTTAGTAAAAAATTAATTGGCATAATTTTAAATGAACAAAGAAACACTTGGTTGTATTGAATCAATTAGAGATATTCGATTACATCCTACATCTATTTCATCATCACACTCGTTTCTTGTATTACATTAATATTTGATTATATTTATTTCTAAGATGATTTATTATTTTCTAATCATGATGATGATGATGATGATCAATAGAATTTTCTTCTGATGATGCTTCTGTTTTACATTGATTGTCAAAACAAAAAAAGAACGCAGCATATGTATTATCTTGATCATTGTTTTGAATAAATAAAGCACCATCTTGATAAGCACGACCATCTTCCCTGACAATTTGATTCATATGAATATCATCTATACCACGTGCTGGTTTGTTTTCTCTCTGTGCACGTTGTAATCCATAATGACTCTCTTCTAAAGTATGTTTATCATCATATTTGGTTCCAAATATAATCACATTTGGTTTATTGTTTTTAAAATAAACATCAAGTTTCATTGCGATTTCATCCGCAGTTAATGGCTGTGATTCAATCAAAAGATTTAAATCAAATACTGGCCTTCGTACTAAATCTAATGCTAGTTCATTAGTATCATTAGATTCTAATGATGTAAAACCAAAAGGAATACTAGAAAATGGTATCAATGAAGTGATAAATGGATCAATTGAAATACATTTAACATTAGCCGATTGAAGTGATTGGATATCGATATTAATCTGATATTCTTCTGGTGTTTCACTTTGTTGATTGTCGACAGATAATAAATTATAATGACTTGCACCTGATTTATGTGAATAACTTTCACCGTTGTCAGCGATAACATTTGCTCGTAATACACCGTAGACTTTACCTGGAGCAAAATTTACTGAATCCATTTGAAAATCTACAGAAGTATTAAAATATGATTCTTTAATTCAAATATGAAATAAATCCTCATTGTGGTAAATTATGTATTAAAAATATCTCTATCCTATAGAAAAAACGAAATATGCATAGCTATTAATAAAGCAAAAATAGATAAAAGAAAACACACACTCTAAAAAATCAAGACGTTTCGTGCGCTAAAACAAGACGCTTCAAGCGTCAACGGGTGACCGATTTTAGACACTCCAGGGTCTTAATCATTTCTGATTGGGCCTGTTCCACCAATGACAGAAGCGTCTTACATCTATCTTCCTTAGACGCTTCTAACCGATCGCCACTCATCAATGGAATTCAAAATGTCATTGACAGGAAAAGTTATTGGTCATTTAATTTCAATCAATGATTCACTAACGAGAGCGATTAAAATTGAAGATTCATTAAAAACAGAATTTATCTTTAATAATTTATCACCGGCAAATGCATTATTTATTATATACGATTATATACTTATAATCGTATTGGTATGAGTAAATGAAGAAAAAATTTGAAAGTGGTACGTTTGTTTAAATCTGTAAAAAAAAAATTTCTATTATTATTCTATACAGTACATAGATGTCACAATACCTTTACACTGGGTATCGTCACTTTGAAGTCATAATATCTATCGGATTCTTTTGGGGTAATACCCCAAAACAACTCAAATTCCTCAATTTAAAATGCATAGCTATATAAAAGCGAATCCCCTGGGGGTAATACCCATAATGTTTATAAAATGTGTTTAGGTGGAGAAAAAGTCGTTACGCGGTGTAACGGGATTATGACATCACTCATACAGTACCTCTTTGTTCACCATCTGCAATATTCGAATTGATTCAATAAAAGGAACATCAGTTCGAGTTCAATGGAATGCATTTGAATCCATTTGAACAAGGTAGTTTTATTACTCGTTATAAGGTAAAAATTATTTGTTGAAAAACGTTTTTATTTCTATTCATTGATTATTTTATTTAGATAATGTATTTTTCATTATCTTCACCACAAATCATTCTTCAATTAGTTATATTTTAAATAATCTTGATGGTTATACTAATTATTCATGTTCCATAAGTGCATCCAGCGGTTGTAGTAATTATTGTCAATCGTCGATCTTTATGACTGAAGAAAGTGGTATGTAGAAATATTCGCTCTTTTTTTGGACATAGAGATAGTTTCTCTTTCTCTCTCGATAGCACCTTCAGAACCAACGGAAATGTTCTTTCCTGATGTGGATCATTGGTCAGCAAGAATGATTTGACAACAACCAACAAAACTCCATGAAATTCTAATTGGTTATGGACTTGTTTATTGGCGTTCCAATGATGAACAAACACGAATTGAAATTGATAATTTATTTAGTATAACAAATTCTTATCAAATTAAAAGTAAGTTTAGGATGTGTATTTTCTTTTCATAGTTAATTTTGAAAGAAAATATTTTCTGAATTCATAATATAAAATTTTCCTTGAGACATCTATTTGAACTATTCTAGGTTTATAAAAATGAAAGAACATATCAAAATTCGGAAAGTATTTCTTATATTAAACTACTCATGTCCACCTTGCCTTATGAAATCTTCTTCTTTCATAAATGATTAATTTTAACTTTAGAATTAAACTAAATTTTATTTCGACTAAACAATTTTCTTTTTGTCGTTTAGATTTAGACACAACAACTCCATATGCATTTATTCTCTGTGCAACAGCTCGAATGGGTTGTGGTGAAGCAAGTATTAATCGTTTATTAACCACGGAAAATCGAAGTATAATATTCGAAATCCTGTATTGTATTATATAAAAATAAAATATTTTTCTAGATCGGCCGGTTGCACAATATCCACCTACTATCAGTGAATCTTCAATCACTTCGACAAGTTTAATATTAACATGGCGTAAAGATTATGATTTTAATTATGCACCTATTCGATATGTATTAATTGAATATGAAAAAAAAAGCATTCAAAAATAGGAAAATCCTATGATGAAATCAATAAACTTGATGGTCAAATTACAAAACTATTCATTCAAAAGTAAACTAATTCGTTTTTCTTATTCGAACTGTTTTTTATTTTTAGTCTAAAACCAAATACAACCTATCGTTTTCGATTATCATTACAAAATGATATGGGTATACGTACTTATAGTCCTATGATAAATTATACTCGAACTAAAGAGTGGTAAGACAAATTGAGAATTCAGACGGCGAAAGGGAAAGATTTTATTTTTATTTTTTGTTAACTTTAGTACGATTAACTCAACCACAAATTGATTATATCCCAATGATTGAACCATGCCAAATTAATATTTATCTTAAACTAAATTTATAAATTAGATTTTACGTTTTTGATTCAAAATTTCTTTTTTTATTTTTTAAATAAAGGATTTTGCTTCAATTGGTACGAATAATCGCTTAAAAGTTTTAATAAAATCATTGTCAAACGAACACGTAGTTGAAAAAATTTACTATTTAATTAATGAAAATTATTCGATACGTTTAAACAATATTTGTAAAAATTCCTATAATATGAATGAAACTGATGCGTTAAATGTTTGTTTGAGTAATACAAGTGGTGATGGTCCACTATTATATGCATATTATTTTCATATGCAATCATCTGCACCAAGTCATGCATTCATTAATTCATTGAATGCTAGTGTTTTAAGTTCAACTGAAATCTTAGTTCAATGGAATGTCTTCGTTCGTATGATTTAATATATGATAATCGTGTATCATTTTCAATCTTACACAAATACTTCTTTAACTCGTGTTAAAACTATTAAACAAACATTATTACCTAATATAACATCATTACATATGGATGATTTAGATGCATATCAATTTTATGAATTGACATTATGTGCTTGTATAATTTAATTCAATGTGGTTCATGTACTTATAAATCTATTCAAACAGGTCCACAAAAAGCATCTCCATTACCACCATTTGATTTATTTACTAATAAAAATCATGAATTAATATGAAAATCGTCAATGAAATCAGAATATTATCTTATTGAACTGTCAAATGATGGTCATACGTGGAAATATTTCGATCAAATATATAAATCTCCTTATTATTTAAATCTAAATCGACTTCAATTGAATATTATTTTCGTTTATATGCAGTAAATCGTATTGGTATAAGTGAGCCAAGTCAAACAAATAAATATCATTTAACATCCGTTAACCGATAAATTAATAACAATTGAAATCAAACATCCACCAATAACTTCATGTGAATCTTTTCATTTGAAGAATCTATTTGTTCCAAAGTAAAGTGTATGATTGTTTTCTTGTCTCATATTCTGTTATAGATTATTAGAAATTGCTGATTGGAAATTAATTGGTCGAAATTATTATTCACTTGATAAAAAAGTTCAACAGGATCGATATAAACTTAAACTTTTTCCAGCTTTTTTGAATGTTGTTCATCTGAATAAAAGTTACTTTGATGAAGAAATATTCTTTAAAAAAAATGAATTCCATTATATTTAAGCCAATTTTTGACTATATACAAGTGCATTTTGTTTTTCATACGACCTTCAATGCCGTCGATCAAAGAGAAAAAGAATATTATTCGATGAATTATCAATTCATTTATCGTTCATTTAGATTAAACAAAAATGTGTCATTGCTTAGACAGACGACATCAGTCAAATAAACTCTTCGAATATATCGATATAAATATTGACATTTAGAATATGCACAAAATAGGTACAGATATAGATGAACATGAAATACTCATGTGTTCAATTGAATGATCTACCCGATGAAATTCTTTTGATTATATTAAAAAATTTGACTAATGCAGAAGTACTTTATTCTTTATTGGGTGTCAATAAACGATTAAATAATATTGCAGTTGATCCCGGTTTTACAAATAATTTATCTCTTGTGATGTCTGCATTGGATGGTTTGGTTTATTCATTACCTGATCCAATACTTGATCGATTTTGTTTACATATTTTACCTAAAATTCATCAAAATATTGAATGGCTTCATCTTCAATCACGATCAATGGAACGCATTCTTCGTGCTACAAATTTTCCGAATTTGTCTGGCATTAGTTTACACAATATTCAAGCAAAAACAGCTATAGATCTTTTTACGGGTAAGATAATTTCGTTCTTCCAATCAAAGATGATTGTTATAGATATCACTAAATTCAAAATAATTTCACTGTAAATTTGGATTTGTGAATATGAAGAGAAGGTTATCATGAAACGGATGATTTTCCATGAAGTTTAAGTACTTATACAAAAATGAAAGATATACATGTAGTCTCTAATTTAAAGTTTTCAACAAATATATGAAAAAGAAAATCTAGAATAAAATCAATGGATTTTTAATACTTTACCATTTTTTAGAACAAACTTCCGTAATTCATATTTTGAAAAATCAACTTTTATCATTTACTATCGACGTTAGTGCAAAAACAGAACGTTATGAACGAAACCGTAATGCAATTATATTTCATCATATCCTGACTGTGTTCACTAATTTACAATATTTTAATTTTGATCGATCTTCAATTTACGATGAACGATTATTCTTTTCTATGAGAAGTCCAACTGTTATCTCTACAAATTTGTTAGAATTACATGTCTCTTTGCTTACTTTTGGAGATTGTCTTTATTTACTTGATGAACATTTTAATCAACTTCGTTCACTTTATGTTGATGTTAATATGATTATCTCTTCGGATAGAAGCGTCAACAATACGGTAGAAATTATTTTGATATCTAGTTTAAGTCAAATAATAATATTATTTTTTTTTTGCAGAAAGAACTATCTAGTTTAAAATGCTTTTATCTACATTGTGAGACGATAACAAGGGTTTATGATGAATCCGTTGTGCCACTTTTACATCGAATGTCGAATTTAGAAACGCTTGATTTGTCCATTGCTGCATGGGAAAGGAAAACAATTTTTGATGGTAATGATTTGAAGCTGAATCTCATTAATTATATGCCAAAATTAAACAATTTCACACTTAATATCCAATCATTAAGTAGTTTTTATAAAAAAAAATGATTTAACATTAAATCAAGATATTCAAAGGATTTTCAAAGATTTTAATGATAAAAAAATAATCTATTGGGCTGATTATTTTCCAAAACAAAAGAAAGGTCTTTGCCATATTTACTCGTGTCCATATAAACTAAACTATTACAATGATATAACAAATAATTTTCCAGGTGAAATATTCCAATCCGTTCGTGAAGTATCATTATTTGATGAACGGCCTTTTGAACATGACTTTTTCCTTCAAATTGCTCAATCGTTTCCATTCTTGGAAAATTTATGTGTGCGTAATCACGAACGACAAATGTATAAAGAATGTAGTAAATCAATTATTAAATATCCTTATCTTAAAAAACTTGATATTATTTGCACTTGCAAAGATTACTATGAACAATTCTTATTCGATTGTAAAACATGTTTACCATTTGATGTTCGTGCTGGTATGCATTATGAACGAGTGAAGCAAGTGACATGCAATTTCACAAGTAATAGAACACGAAATAATTGTGCAAAAATCCATTACAGTAATTTATATTTTGGAATAAAAGTTGTTGGAGATTCTGAAAATTTTTGTGGTGAAACAGGAGAACTTTCTGAACATATAAAACGTTATTTTCCTCGTACGCAAATAAATTGTTTATTGTAAATTTATTATTTAAATAAAACATGAACCAAAGAACAAAATTGAACTAGCATTAGCAAGAACTAGCAGATGTGAAAAGAAAAGGATGTGCATAAAACTGTTAAATTTTATTGTAAGCAAGAAAGTAGAGTTTCAGAAATATATATGATCTGATTTAAAATTGGGACGGTTTAGTTTTCGAACATAGTATAAGCTATAGTTTAGAAAGGGATTTTCATTTAGATAAATAAGTAACACATAGGTTCAGTTTATGAATTTTAAATATTTGTTAGGTAATGATACTTTGTCATAGAGAATCTGTCTCTTTGAAGCATGAAGAATTTGACAAATTGCCAGGCTTTACCTAATCAAGTTGATCGGTTGTTCAAAGTGTGAAATAAATCAGGAAAAGAAACGTATTTCTTTTGTATTATGCACTTAAAAAACGTCTATATAAATCAATTAGTTAAATTAATATAAAAAATAAATCTGGAAACTTCGGATTTCATCCGAGAGTCATGTGTACTGCAAAAAGTGCATGGGACATATGAGTCATTCTAGCATGTTTGAACACCAAAATTATCATGAGAAACTAGACAATTTGATTTTTGGATGCCGTTTTTGTGCATTTTGAGACGTTTTTCAGGCGATGTTTCTTTAGAAAGCTACGATTTAGTTCAAAACTAATATCAGATTCGGAATCAGCGTTAAAAACTGAGTCGATTTATTTATGTTGTGATTGTGAGTAATTCTGAGAAAATTTTGCGTTTTGAAAAAAATCCCTGTACGCCTGTTCAGAGATGGTCTGGTCAAAAATGACAATTTTTTCAATAACTCGACCATTTCTTGAGGGATCCTTCTCATCTTCGAACTCGACCGAGATATCCATGAGATTGAACTGTGTGGAAAATTTCATCACGATCTGACTCTTCTTTCGAAAGCTATCATGCCTACGGCCGGTCGGACACACTGACCGATTCTAGAGTGTACTCACTTTTTGAGTACACAATAATTGAATATGCTGAAGATACTAGATAAACTAAGCTAAAAATGATTATAGGTGTTCTGTTAGTTTATTTACACTTCATTTTATTTGAGATTAGTTGAGATAAAAGTCATTTAAACGATAATCTAGCGCTTATGAAACGTAAAGCGCGATTCAAAATGTCTTCTGGAAATGTACTTCAAGTGGAGCACTTTACTTATATTTTAGTTTATAGATGCATGAATGAGTTTATATGTCTAAGACGAATAGAAAACGATAAAGCCAGACAAAGTATAATCAACATTTATAGAAGTATATATCTATGTTCGAGCGATATTTTTGATCAAAGATATAATGGACAGTAAAAGGCAAAGTTGGTCATAATTATCTTTTAACTATAACAATAAATCAACAATCAATAGCTATTATCACTATATTTATGAGTCGATGAAAACGATCAAGTAAGTCAAAACTTTCATCAAAATCATGTTCATGAATATGAATCTATCTTCAGTAAGTAGCCGCCTAATTCGACTTCGAATATAAATGAAAAACAACCACTCTCATGTTTTCACGCAATGGCGGAGAAAAGATTTAGTTTTAATAAATTATAAAATTTATAAATTGACCTTCACTCCCGTTAATAAGTTAGGAATAGATTTAGATTTACTTATGTTGTGTTTGTGTGCAGACCCGTTGTCCGCCTATCCTGGCACCCACACTTGCTATGTTTTGTTTGTGTGTAGACCAGCGTATGTCCGCCTTTCAACACACCCATACCCACACCCTCAATGTTCGATTGTTTTGAAAGCTATGTTTTATTAAAAAATATATTATGAATTTAGGTATTTGAAAATAGAAATGAGAAGTAATGACGAATTGAAACAAACCTTATCTAAAACTATATGAATACGATGTTTCATCTACTGTGAGCAGCAAATTTGGCGCATCTCTGAACACATCGGAATACACGAGACTCACTAGTTGTTGATACAGCCCTTCGTGAAATAATCACTAGGAGCTGCCTATAAACTTTATTTTATGCTCATAGTAGCGACACTTGGTGAATTCGTTATCGGAGAGTTAATTAAGAGTTGTTATCAATTTCATATAGTATTTTCAACACATTTTACTACTAATTCCTTTGAAATAGTTTACTGTATTAATCACTGTAGAATCCAACGCTCCATATAGGATATTTTCTAATTAATGAAATAGAGTCAATTTGAGTTGAAAACTGTATTGTAAATGAATCAAATGAAATCAGTTCTTATCACTAGGCAATTTGTTCTATTTGAACCCATCCGAAATTTCTTCTTCTCTATTATCATCAGTGTCTCAATATATTTCAATACATGGTGTGTAAGTCTTCATCGTTCAATACAGATATTGAATTCTTCATCGAACTACAAAATGTAAATGTCCAGAATGTAAAAAATATAAAGACCAGTAGATTTCAAAAACATGATTTAAATATCGCACAGTATCAATATCGTATTGATAATAGTCTATGAAATCCGTTCAGTAGGATTTGGATCAAAAATTTGATGAATAATTATTTTATTCAGGAACTGTTGCAAATTTATTGAAGAAAAAAAAGAAAAGCAATTAAATTTAAAATCTCAATTAGCTGCTGGTTTGATATCGCCTTTGATGATCTTATCAGCTGGTGCTCGTTGTTGCCATTCGATAAACGCACCCTAAAATGTGACAATATAAAATAAAAATTGAATAAATACTGCTAAAAATCTTCTATTCTAAAAAATGTAAACTAGTCTCTCACCATGTAAACAGCGTGTTCTTTTTGGCCGAGTAAATCAGCAATAAAAGCCAAAACACTGGCTGTGATGCCACCTTGACATGTATAAATCGCTGGTTTTGATAGGTCAACACCAGCTTTTTTAAACACTTGAACAAAAAATAAAAATACAGTAAGTATATTATTATGATGATATTTTACTTTCTGCGAGTTGTTCGTTTGATTTCAAATATTGATTTGCTTGATCGAATAAGGTTCCGTAAGGTAAATGTAAGGCATTAGGCATATGGCCCGCCTCGGTACCTTAAAAAGAAAACAAAACAGCTTGCACTGAAATTCAATTAGATGATTATTTTTGTCCTTGATAAAATTTGAATTCATCAAACCAACTTGAATAGGTAATATAATCATACTATCTGATTGATGTGAAATTAAAAAATACTTATTCGACTAACTTACTAGGATTATTGCTTCTAAAATTATCATTTCGACTTACCATTGAATAGGTTGGGTGGTCTTGCATCAACAACTTGTACACGTTGATCGCTATGAATGTCCAACGAAAGATTTGACATCATTTGATCGAAATATCTTATCATTTGTTCGTTTAATTTGACAGTAAACTTTTTCGTCTGAATTATCCAATATTTTTGACGAGCTTATTACATAAAACAAAGTTTACCTCATCTTTCGAAACTTTCGTCTCCGATGTTGCAATTTCATTGGTTTCTCTGACCCATGCATGATAGCCACCATTGAGAATCGACAAATTTTCCATACCATAGGTCTAAAAATATGCAACTTGAATCTAGACAAATTTTACTAACAACAGATCATCTACTTTAAATAAAAACCAAGCACGGCCAGCAGCAAAGAATCCCGATGGTGAACGATCATACAACACAATATGATCTTCATTGGAAATTCCTAAACGTGTTAGATGATCTTCGAAACTTTTTACATCAGGCAGACCACGCGGAAGGAATGCTGTTGGCGTTGTATATTCAAGTTGATCAAAATAATGAGCTGTCGGAATATGGCCTCTAGAAAAATCTTTCATTTAGCTACTCGTTTTGCAAGCACAAAGTTAAGATTCTAATCGGCAGACAAAACTTACGCATCAAAGTCAGCTTTAATTTGCTTACTGAGATCTGCTTCGAGTACTGCAACTGGTTGTGGTGAAATTTGAAGAAGATCTTTTAATGCTTGACATGAAAGTAATTGTGGAATGAGCTTTTTTGATGCCATCTAGAAAAACAAAACAACAATAGGGATAAAAAAAACAAATGTAAAAGAAAAGTTATAACTGAAGTCTAAATCATTTGTAATGTAAAAATTATCATTTAATGATGATTCTCAGGTAACTTAGTATGTTATCACTGAATATAATCGAACAACAACAGTGAGATCTAAAAATCTTTTCGTCATCAATCATGCCATTGGACGAGAACGAGAGCCTCCAAGGTTTATCGCAATATTATAATAACAAAGAAAGAGAGAGAATCAATGAAAGAATCCTGAACAGTCAATTTACATCAAATCAAACAGATTCTCTACTGTCCATCGTTGTTTCAGCGCCAAAAAAACACTGATATAATTGCTGAGTTGGTTTTCTACCATTTGTTACAATAGAAGCCTAATGAATATTGTCTTGCATATTCTATAGATAGTTACGGTTGGTAAGAATAAAATATATTTAAGTATGTATATTGACAAGTAAACCTTCACTCTGCTTCATAGAGCGTAGCAGACTTTTCAATGTGATTTTTTTTCTAATTTTTTGACTGTACATTAACGGTTTAGATGACAATTTAATTTATAGTAAACTTATTTTGTCACAAAATTTTAAAATTTTAAAGATCTTATAAAAAGAAAAGATTTTCAATCTGATCAGACCACAAAATATCAGTGTAGTATAAAAAATATATTGATTACAATGAAAAAGATTCATCATATTTTACGCATGAGTATCGAAAGTACAGGGATTAAACGTTTTTCTTCATGTGACAAGATTGCTTTCTCCGATTGAGATATCTATTGAGGTCTGAAAAAGTTCTATGATTACCATTTTCAATGATTTCTACTATGAAATAATAAAACCTATCTATATGCCAGTGTTGTTAATTAGCTTTTTTACATTCTTACCAATCAGTAGTGATCAAAGATTTAAAAATTTTAAGATGGGTCTTATGTTTCGAGCGACACATTCAAAAAAGTTTATATGGGCTTCTACAATAGTAATAAATTAAATGTCAAATATTAAGGATTCTAGACAAAAAAAAATCTTTCGTGCTTTATAAATCGTTGCGGATCTCTCGCCATATCACTTGATGAAGTTACTCACTGTTACTTGCTATCCACTGTTCATGTTTATATATACTCGTCGACTTGCTATGAAACGACAGAATGAATGCTGTATGAAACGTAACACATGTTTTATATGTGTGCCGTTTGGTTACATTCTTTTTTGACGACTCTTTTTTCTCGTATTTGCTGCATTCTGCTTTGTGTGATCACCAAAATCGTCATTTTCGTTCTTATCGAAAGTGCCACCGTGAGAAAAGGTAAATGTACCCAAGAAAGAAAAAACCAGACGCAGAGAGCAAGAAAAAATACAGAAGACATCTATTATTATTTTGCATGAAATCTGATAAGAGTGGCAAACATGATTTCATGGTCATGATGTATTCATAAAATACTTGATATTAAAGTTTTTCACGTCATTAGAAAGGAAACTATAGTAGAATAAAACATTGGAAATTAGAGTTTTGAGTAATTTCGTATAACAGATCCACTTCACTGTGTTAAGTTATATCCTTTACATTTAAGACCACAACAATTATAATCTAGAAATTAGAAATTCAATAGATATCCAAGTGGAATTTAAACGTTATAAAACATTTCTTCAGCATGAATACTTTGAAAATACTGGAATACATCATTGCATTAAATGATTTAAAAACGTTGAGGCTTGCAATTCAAATTCTAGAAGTTTCAGATATTCTAGAACGCGCCTGCTTGTATCGTTTAACGCATTATTTTCTCTATTACAATAATTAGCAAAACTATTGGCCCACTATTTTATCATTAGCGAATGTTTATCACATAGAAACATATCATAGAAGCTATTCAAATACTTTTATTAATTGATAATTTAGTAGAAATGTAGTATTTTCAAAAATTTCACATTTTCAAGCCTGTAAAGATTATTGAATAACACAGTAATAACAAGAACAAATGTTAAGCACGTATTCTCAATCCTCACGTACACTTCATATCGGAATAAAGGATATAAGAAATGGATTAACCTGCAGAATAATCTATAATATCACGAAAAGGATTAGGTGATTTTTTTTGTATAATAGACACATGCAATAAGTCAGTTATGTTTTCCAACAAATGTTTTCGAGCACAAAACATAGTGAGTATATTTTTGAATTTTATTCTAGGGCTACAGCTTGATTGCGGACATTTTATTCCTCCAATTAAGAGAAAACGTCCGCAAAGTAGAAACAGAGGGAGAGAAACAAAAATAGTCGCAGAGTGGAAAATGTTCGCAAAGCAGAATCGGGGCGAGAGGAGAGAAAAAAATGTCAGCATTATGGAATCAAGACAAGATTNTTTCCACTCTGCGACTATTTTTGTCTCTCTCCCCCTGTTTCTACTTTGCGGACGTTTTTTTCCAACAATTAAGAAAAAACGTCCGCAATCAAGAAGACGCGTGTTCTAGAATGAATAAGTTTTATTATCATTGCAACTTAGAAAGAGACTTTAAAAGCTTATATTAGATCAAACAAGACTAATGATCTCATGAAAAGATTTCAAATAAAAAATCGATATCTTTTATAGAATATCTTACTGAAACAGAGAAAGCGCTTTACATTATCTATTAGTTACATCGATCATGATATATATATATATATATCTAGTAGAATGTATTTTTTAATGCGTTGTACCAAAAAGATCATTTGAATGTTCACTTCGAATATGATAAACAACGAGATGAAATTTTCTATGATTGCTCAAATTGTATTATAATTGAGAGAAGTTTCGTTTTTAAATTTCAATTATTAGGCTATTGAAAGCTGACTGAACATTTTTGAGCTATAAATTCAACGGAAATCCTGAATCGACATTCGTATCCGACTCGAAAATTGCATTTTACTGCTATCACTTTGAGCCTATTGATACTTCTATCAATGATGATATACGTATATTGACTAGAAATCATCAACATGTTTGTTTAGAGCATTGAAACTGTTCAATTGAAGTAATACTGACTACAAGTAGATCAACGTATCCATTCGTGCTCCTATCGACTCAGTGTGAATTATATTTCTAAATTTTACTCTTGTTCATAAATAAATTTTGTTAATAAGTAACTTTTACGATAAAATTTGATTATTTGTTTCTATTCAAACCTATCATGGCAGGAATCAAGTTCCAAAAGAAACGTACTCGTGATATCACCTCAGAAATCACTTTCTTTTATTGAAAACAAAATAAAAGGTCTTCGTTTTTCTTTCATTGAATTATACACTATAGGGCAGATGCACCCGAAAAAAGTTATAGTTCCTGTGTTAGAAATTTTCGTGAACAAAAAGCACAGTCAAAGTTCATCTGATTCTAATTTATTTAAAAGATATTGGTAGTAAATGAATTGATTTAACAATCGTATTTACATTTTTTAGTGTATCATTTTCTTGTCATCTTGGTGATCGTTGCTTCGAATCTGAATATCGACGCAGGTCGAACAGACTGGTCAGAAGAGAAGAATCCATCTTTTTGGAATGAACAAGCTCGACTAGACATTGAATATAATATACGACGAACAGAAAACAAACGAACAGCAAAGAATGTTATTTTTTTTCTTGGTGACGGAATGGGCATTTCGACTGTTACGGCAGGCCGAATCCGAAAAGGACAAATGCTTGGTCAACTTGGTGAAGATTTTATTACTGAAATGGAACAATTTTCTCATCTAGGACTTGCTAAAACGTAGATCTTCTTTTTCAAACCTATTTTCATTCTATTATGAATATTTAAGTTATTGCACTGATCATCAAACATCAGATTCAGCCGCCACAGCAACTGCCTTGTTCTGTGGAGTAAAAGCGGCACTTGGTACGATTGGTTTAGATGGACGAGCTTTACGAAGAAACTGCTCGAGTTCTCATGGGCATCATGCCAACAGCATATTTGAATGGGCACAACAACTTGGTAAATATATTCATTTGAAATTTAGATCAAGTTCTGACAGATGATTGCTTTTTATTCTAATCTTATGAATAAAAATAATTCCAATTAATAATAATTAATTGAGCAACGTGAAATATCATCTGAGAACACAGTTCAACGAGTAAATTATTCTTTTAAGACTCCGCCTATCAGTATTCGCTGTATCAAAAATACTGATATCTAGGTGACGTATTTTCTTGTTATTCTGTTTATTAAAGTATATTGATTGATGGAATTAATATGTTCGGTTACTACGTAAATTATTTGAACGAAAGTTTTTTTCCTTTTGTCATGAACAGGATATCATATTGGTATTGTGGTTACTTCTCGGGTTAGTCACGCTTCGCCAGCTTCGGGCTATGCTCACTCACCGGAGCGTAATTGGGAAGGATATGACTCAATAAATTTTGGAGCAAAACAAGTTGCAGAAGGCTGTGTGGACATTGCTCAACAGCTTGTACTTCGATCACCACCAATCGATCTTGTTCTTGGTGGAGGTCGAAGATTCTTTTATCCAACGCAAACACCTGATATCGCCAATTCTTCATTGCGTGGAGCACGAACAGACAACGTTTCATTGATTGATGATATTTGGAAAGGTCGCTTTATTTGGAACAAGACAGATCTTCATAAGATTGAATTAGGATCGTCGGCACCAATTCTTGGCCTTTTCCACTATGATCAAATGCGCTTTGAGACGGATCGAATTCAAGATCCGAAAGAGGAGCCCAGCTTGTCAGAAATGGCCACTTTTGCTGTCAAGCATTTACTTCAAAAGAGTCAAGACAAAAATGGATTTTTTCTCTTCGTCGAAGGAAGTCGTATAGATCATGCCCATCATTATACTCAACCTAGGTACGCTCTTGATGATTACGTCGAATTCGATAATACCATTGGACAAATAAAACGTATACTACAGGATGAAGGTGTTCTTGATGATACATTACTTGTGGTGACTTCCGATCATTCAAATGCATTTTCTTTCGGTGCTGGTGCAGCACGTGGTTCCAATATTTTTGGCTTTGGCACTTTAGAAAATGCAAACGTGAGTAGTATTGATAAAATGCCAGTAAATATTATAGCTTATGGGAACGGTCCCAATTTTGCATCTAATCGCAACAAGACATATCTGGATTCACTCGATTTCAATCAAACTGGATATAGAGCACCAGCAGCGCTTCCTATGTCAGAAGCATCACATGCTGGTGAAGATGTAGCTGTGTTTGCGCAGGGCCCATGGAGTCATTTATTTATAGGAGTAATGGAACAGAGTACAATTGCACACAAAATGGCTTATGCAGCTTGTTGGGGTGACTATCAAAAACGTAAAGGATGTGCATAACAAATTTTGTAGCTTTTATTACTGATTTACAGAACTCTATCTTAACATAGACTATTATATCGATTCATGCTAATCTTACTAAAAAATACTGTTCATCTAAAAAAAATAAAATTCGTATACTCATATAGCAAAAATGATTGTTTTCGATAGCATGAATACGTAATATGTCGTGATCTATCTCATGATTAGTTTCATTTGTAATTTCAACATTTTACATTAGAGTATCATTCGCGCTACACATTATATATATTAATTTTTCATCTGAATTCTAAGATAGATGTAAATATTGCCCAAGATATGATTATACAAGACTAGAGTTATCAATCAATTATTAATGAGGCTAGTAAAGCTTTATTTTCATTTGCTCTGCAAACAACTCTTTTGTATAGAAACAGAAATCGTGCGTAAAAACGATTAACACTGGTATTTTATTTAATACAAAATACAGTTTTTCATTTGTTTTAATTCTCGATGTTGAATCGTTCAATGATGATGTTTAACATTCTTCAAATTACTATTACCAACTATTGAAATCGTTCTGATTGATGATCTATGTAAATGAACTGGAATAATCCACACGCAAATGAATATCGAGTTGCTTTCATTAATGTGATGTAAAAGTGAAATGAAGTTTTATATATTTTACAACAAATTTGTTCAATTTTATCAGTAATGTTGCGTACCAATGCGTTTGTCAGCTAACGATCAATTTTTAGCTAAATCGAGGTGAAATGTTTTTGTTTTTAGTGTAAATAGAACTAAGGCACTTTAGCCATTTATTCGACGCGCCAATTTTATTCAAATTTCATTTTATGTTAGATGAACTATAATGAATTAATATATTGTTAGAAATTTATTTTGCACAACAAAACATAGCTAGATAAGATTATTCTTACGTTAGTATACATACATAGGGAAAATACTTTCTACCTTTTCTAACCAATAAATACTACATTATTTGAAGCAATTCTATCATAGAAAAGATTATCAACTAATTAAATTGCTTCTCATAACAATACAAGTAGTCGATGAAAACCACAAAATTATTTTTCTCTTTCTTTCCTGAGTTTTACATGATCAATAACATGTTGTCTCTTATTAGTATCCTTACTTTATTGTTCGAAGATCTGTTTCAAGCATATCAACATATTCTTCATCAATTTCATTACTGAGCCGTGCTATTTCAATTGCTTTTACAAAACATTCAGCAGCTTCTTTACAATGTTTTATTCTTTTGTAAGCATTAGCTAGATGATAATAATGATAACTTATTTTTTTATGGTCATTCAGAGTATGTTTTAATAGAATAGCTAAAGCTATTTGAATTCCTTCAATAGCTGTATGAATTTCACCAAGTGCTAAGAAAGATGCTGATAATACACCATAAAAATTACAGAAAATATAATGATCTTTTTCAGTTGGCATCAATGCTCGTAAACCTTTTATTAAACATTGTTCATAGGAGATAGCGAATAACCATTCTCGTTGTAGACCATGATATAAAGCCATCAAATGATATTGATAAAAAGTCAGTAGTTGTCGTACGGGTAGATTAATAATTGCTTCTTGACAGTGATCCGGTATTTCAGACAAAAATGTTCCGAGCTGTATTATTTCATCTTGTGTAAAGGATGAGGAAACTCGTGTTAAATTTAATGAATTAAATTGTGCACCGTCAATATGTAGACAACTTTTGCAACAACCCATTCGTAAAATAGCTAACTGAATTTATGCATTGTTTGAGAAGGTAACTAAAATTGAACTTTATAATTGATATTCAGTTAATATTTACTTTTAGCGAAGATTAAAAAGAATTTCTTTTCAATTCGAATTATATTACATGTGTACTATTTTATTTTTCGTTGTCAAAAGTCGATAGAATATATCGAACTAGTATACTAACTAACTTTTATGCCAACTCATCCCCTGATCTTAAGTTTATTATTCTAAGAGAAAGTGCGTAATATTTTTGTTTTTAGAAAGAAATATTTTTTCTTCTGTTTTGAATACTAAACGGGTTAATCAGTAGATTTTTCTAAGTCAGAAACTTCTATGAGATCATTTTTTTTAGAACTAATTCGTGAAGAATCGAGCTATTCTGTTCTGAAACTTTTTATTGTAATTCATAAGATTTAAAAATGATGTCCACTGTACTATTGGTTTATTTCTTATCAAAGGAACTTAGACTTTATTTTCTATGAAAACAGTTACATTAAATGCTCTCTAAAAATTCGACCGAGTTGTAATGTTAAACAACATAAATATAAATCTCGTCTAATAGCCAGCAATTTGTTATTGCTCTATTTCTTTTTAGAAAATAGAATTACAAATATTCCTACTATGAAGATATAATTCATTCAAATCATACTTGTTCTTGGCCAATAATATGGCGATAATGTATAGATTTTACAAAGAAGAAATCGATAAAATGAATAGCATATACGTACAGACTAGATTAGAATCAAGTACTATTAGTGTGTAACCATTGAATATGATATTTACGAGGTCATTTTCCATTTTCTTCTCTTCTAGCACGAATCTCAGCAATGAGATTAATTTATTTTTCCTGTTCGAGTTTTTGGCATGTTGTAAATTAATGATATAGTATAGACTACTTATTCTCTCGTAAAAATAATTTATATTTTCAGTTCATATCTGTTGACTTTTCTCGTCTAATGCTGTACACTATTGTTATACAATAAATTGTTGTTATCGATCATTTATTCAATTTATGAGACAGCTCTGCGTTTTGTTTTTGTCAATTTAATTGTAAAACACTTTCTAAAGTAATAACATCAGTGGGTAAGACAACTCAGCTGATTTTTGTTTTCGACAAATGATGACAGTTTAGGTGAAAACTATATGTCAGAATAATTACATAGTAAACTAAGAACTACCGATCAAATAACATTTGCAGACAGTTATAATCATATGTCTTTTGTAATTACATATTTGTTTCCTCATCAATAGATGCAGGTCATATCTAAATGTTAGCTATTTAAAAGAAAACATGCTCACTATCAATCTGCGGCACAGTAAATAAACACTATAGGTTTATGTAAAATGTTCAAATTTTTCAATCAATAATAACCTAGAGTATGTTTAAAAAAACGAAAATAAAATCTGCAACTTGGGTTTAATAGAATTATTTATCTATTTCATGATGAATTAAATAAAGATTACATAAGAGAAAGCAAATAATACGATAAGTTAATGATTCGAGTTTGTCAATACAATTTGTTGCAAGACTGTCTTTTTATGCACATGACCAATAACTATTAAATCAATCAGAGTATGAATAGAAGCAACAATAAATACCACCAAAATGATTATTTTAAATGAGCTTATTAATTTTTTGTCACATAAATTTCCATATGAAAAGGTTGAAGAGCAACCTGTTGATATTCCAGAATTGGCAGCAGATAAAATAAGACCAAATAAAGATGATACAAAAATAGCAACAAGCAATATAATCAAATAAATCATTGAATACGATGTTCGACAAGCAATAATAAACATGGAAATACTTCCACTTAAAAGAAAACCACTTGCCCAGATACCACGATATACAGTCCAGTGAGATTTAAGGATGATAGTAACTTCTAAACCAATAGTTGATAAACTCAAAATAAAATAAATGGTACCTGAAAGGATAAAAAATACTCTAAGATCAGGCGTTATTTTGGTCGATATTTTAGTTCTCCATAATGTAGTATTCGTTTGTACAACAACAACAACGACACATTGTTGTGAATATAAGGGTGTTTGCTCATAGTATTGCACACTAGGTGCTACATAGCCAATACTATCAATCGGTTGTTGAATACATGATGAATAAGATGGTAGTTCTGTTGCATAGGACCTAAAAAAATTCTATCTTTCATCATAATCTAATCTCAATTCAAAATAATCACGCACGCATTGATGTTGCTTCTATCTGTTGCAACATCCAAATGATTGGTCAATGGATATTGATTCACATTAGTATTTTTTTGATCATGCAAATCAAATTTAGTTGGCTCATTTTCCATCTTGCTATTCATTATTGCTATGAATATGAATGCAGAATTTTTTTTGTCTTTAAAATTTTCTATGAGTATTTTCATACATTGCTGCTCAATATATATATATATACTCTTCACTGTTCAATATTTACTAGTTGATATCAAAAATAGAAGCAGATGTATGAAATGTTGTTTCTCATTCGGTGAAGTAATACAACAAAGAGATAAAAATTATTAATTTTATTCACTCACATTTCTACGTAAAATAAATATTATGAGTTGAATCGGTATGTTAACTTTATAATAAAAATAAATAAATATCATCGCTCAAAATATCAAAATTAACCTTTGTTATTAATAATGAGTAACCTGAAAAAAAAACAAGAATTTGTTCTTTCGAATATGAATCGTTCTTTTGATGATGTTCTCATTGTATTGCAGTTATTAACACTGAAGTTTTTCCAAACGTTGCCATCAAATATTGTCAAGATTAACATGCGAATTGTTCTGTCCTTATAATAATAAGAAAAGAATCATACTAACATATGGTATTATGTCTCTTAGAAACTAAATGTATTTAATTTCATATTTATATATGGATAAAAGCTAGCCACTCTAATACGTATATTATTGACAAGAAAAAACTAAATATGTATTCTTAACTCACATTTTCTTATGTTGTGTTTTTTAGTAGTCAATATCTGCTTATTGTTCATTTGATCAAAGAGATGTTCATTACGACAGATAAACACCCACTCGCTCCGCATATGGTGAATCGAGAATATGAAAGATACTGCATAAGAAAAGCGTGCTTTTTCAGGAAGGCCGCTGCTTGACAACATTCAAATACAAATACTAATAAACGACTTTGTCAATAGCATATTTTTTTTATCTTATCTTAACAAAATCCATTGTGTCAATTCATTTCGTTTTATACGCGCGTAAAAAGAAAAACAGATATTTTCGTCTAAAACTGATGTCGTCAAATCTTACAAGTGATATTAACAAGAATGATTCATGGACTCAAATTTTCGATCGTTTTAATCAAAACATACGTGCTGAAGCTGATACATTGCTCAAGCATATTTCCGATAGTCGAACAAATCTGATAAATGAGCGTGATAGTTTACAAAGCGAAATCGAGCTATTAAAAAAAGAAAAAGATGAAATGACTCGATTACTCAAGAAATATGATCAAATAGTAACACTTAATGTAGGTGGTCAATTATTCTCAACTACGATTGAAACTCTCACCAAAGAAAAATGTCTATTCACAAAAATGTTTAGTGGACAATATGATCTTCGAGAACATCAAGGTGCAACATTTATTGATCGTGATCCAACACATTTTAGGTATAAATGACAAGATAAAGAAACTGTTTTGAAGGTTTCACTTCAATCAATTATATTCAATTGCTTGTAAAAATTTTTGTTATTATTTTTCTGTAGGACCTTACTCAATTATTTACGAACTAATACATTTATTAAACCCAAATCGAGTGAAGACTATAATGAACTTTGTTTAGAAGCAGAATACTATCAGATTACAACATTAATCAATCAATTGAGAACTGAAACAGTTGTGATTAAGAATTCAGTAGAAAAGCTTTTGTTTGATTCATATTTGCACCATCCAAATGTAGTTATCTCGGAGGCTGGGCTCTCGGCTAGGTGCATCACGCGATGCAACAAATTTATGTATGCTAAAGTAAACAATATCATATGGCAAAATGGACAGCACTATTGGGAAATTATTTTAGAGGAACAAGCTGGTATTATTACTTTTGTCTTGGAATGAATTATCGAAAACATTCGAGTAGTATTTTAGGCTGCTACGCATCAATGGGTGTCGCTACTTCTTTGTGGGAAACAAACAAACGTTTGGGTGATGATTCTTTCAGTTGGACTCTGAGACTATGCGATCAGCAGACTTACGATGAACATGCTGGTTTGAGGCATGATAGTAGATCGTTACCTTATCACAATCTATTTCCTAAAGGTACGCGTGTTGGTGCATTATTGGATTTGAATCAAGGTACTCTAGAATTTGTTGTAGATGGAGTAAAAAAAGGTAAAAGAAATTTACTCTATGAACATTCAATTCATCATTTTTTTCTTCGTCTCAACTAGGTATAGCCTTTACCAACCTAAAAGGACATACTGTCACACCCATCTTTGAGTTCTGTCATGCTACATCTTATCGAATGAATCATAATGCAACTGTACCTACCAACTAGTACTCATATGATGGATGAATTCGTTATATAAGTTGGTTGTAATAACTCATTACCAAATGAAAATGATTTTTCTCTTTTCATTGTTTTGATAAACAACGACAGTTAAAATATCATTGGTATAGAAATAAATTCTTTAATATGTTATGACTTTATTCTTTCAAAATAATTTATCAAAAAAAATATATATTTCTTTTATTATTTCATATTCTATGCATGCATGAAAGTTATTCAATAGGAACTATTAAGATTTCAACTTTAATAAATTGATCTATCAGATTAAAAGACATTGTCAATTTCGATAATTTTCTTGTTCGGTGATAATCGTTTAAATCAACACAAAAGTTTTCCTTTTGTTTAGAAAAATTATTCTAACACCATATACCATGAAAAAAATTGTTATAGACGAACTAATTAACTGTCTCGCTTGTTTACAAACTTATGAAAGATCTAACAGGATGTCAAATATATTTTTTCAAAGAAGAAAACAGTAGTATTGATAGCGCATGAGATTAGCCATACCTCATTAACTGAATAATTAACTGTCTCTTCTTGTAATATTCTGTGCTTCTGATCGTATATCTTTGTTTATTCAGATTAAATTGAAACATATAGTGGTGTCCATATGAATTCGAAACGAGCAAAAAGCATATGATCGGAAGACTTTCAACAAGCACATGATAAGAAGCACAATAAGATTAATATAATTAACTTCAATAATGTTCAGACATATGTCGATAAAAGAGGTGCGTTCAGGAAAAGATTTTTTATAATTATAAGAACATTAGTCTCGATTGGTTCCATGTAAAATTGAAACTAATCAATTATTTATTAAGACTCATGCTACTTCTATTAATGTTGATAGAACTGTGCATTTAAAGTTAATACTATTAAATAAAGATGGTAAAAGCTTATGCGTAAAAAATAATAATATGTAAAATAGGTGTAGCGCACTCAATAAAGCATTTAATGATGTTATCAAATGTTGGTTCATATTTCACATACAGAGCGAAAGTTCAATAATGAATATAATAAAAAAAAACTTTTAAGTTATACAAAAGAGTGCTTAAATATGTATTCCTCTCTTGATAATTCAAGTTGTTCTAAAAGTTTTGATATGATTAGCTAACAAATCGTTTATCACATCGTTCTTGTTACTTCTCATGATATTTAACAACAAATAGCTTTATACAATCGATACGTATTGGAGTCATTTTCCAGACTCGATATGATAAAACAGTTATGTAATGCTTCTTTAGTTTACTGAATAGGATAGTTGATACAATACTTGTCAAGTAGGACTGTAATTGGAGTGAAAATTACGTGACTCATCAAATAAAATCATTACTAGCGAATAAAGACCGTCATTAAACGTGTACCTGGACAAATACATCAATATCGTTTGTTCATATTATAATATGATGATACATTTTTATACATAAATAAAGAAAATAAAAAGTTAAAATACAATACACGTGTAAATATTAAAACAGAAAATGCATTCATCCATTTATTTATTTATTTATTGATCATTAAATAAATGTCATACTCTACTGTAAAATATATCACTAATTTGAAGTCAATTCTCTTAATGGACTTGTCTGAATTGATTTTTCGTTTTACAGTCGCATATTATACATCATCATAGAGTGATGTCGGGAACAATGAACAATGAGTTTACGACGCATGCAAATAGCTATAGGCCGAAAACAATTGAGCGCAACAAGAATTGAATATAAGGTGTGGTGTATGTCTATTCAGATTTTTTGATACAGACATCTACGACTCGTTCAATATATATATATATATATATATATATATGCGTATTTATTCCTATATGCGTGGGCGGTGAGTGCCACTGTGCAAGACATAACAGAATAGGACAAAATATCCTATATGTATGTCACTGCAATACTTGGACATATACAGAGAGAGAGAGAGAACGAAAGTTCAATACACTGGAAGAATAGTAACACAAACAGATTCGTGGCTTCAGAAAGAATAAGAAAGAACTCTCCCAGATAAGTAAGAAGAGAAAAAGAGAGAAAAATCGTTTATGCACAATCAAAATCCACCTTGTTGATGCGATAGCATCTTTTAGTTCCTCTTTTTCTCTCACCCTCTCTCTCTCTCTCTCTCTCTCTCTCCCCATCTTACTCGATTTACCATCTATTCATTCATCGAATGTATATGCCGTTGTCACCGCCTTCTAACATACACAACTTTATAGGATAACGGGAGGGATTGAAGGAGTTTTTTTCTTTCGTCATGATTGCTGCTGCTCTACTTTATAACGTTAGTCTAACAGATTACTGCACAACTAACACAGAGCGACGTGACAAACTTGCTCGAATTTTTTTTGTCTCACCTATTCATTCATTTCTCAATATCTAATAATTATTTAGGTCGAGTATGTGAGCATGAACGTGTAGGAGGAAGAATCAATATTCGCTTTCGTTCTTTCTTTTCAAGGAGTGAAATGATGACAAACATTATCATCTTGTCTATAAAACATTATTGTATTTGTGATCTTTAAGAACACATGAGAAATGACACTTTTCTTGTTGTCTATTTCTTCTTCGTCTTCTTCTTTTATTCAAGATTGTTTCATTTGGAACAATATGTTGTTGGTATTTTTATTGTTATTAATCAATAATCAACAGGTAAAATTTCATTTGTTTTATTGAATAAATACACACAAATACATATGATTATTTGCATATTCGTTAATCATTAGTCAAGTGCAGTCGTAAATTTCTTTTTTTTTTGATTTATTCAAAGAGTCAAAGTTGATCATTTTGTTTCTTTTTGTGGTACTGACTAAGTACTTATATGTATGCGCATCGTTAGTTCATTGATGATAGTCAAGTGTGTGTACACCTAACCACTCGTCTGCAAAGATAAGAAAGAAAAAGTTCATTCGAATAGCCGACATTAAAAAAAAAAGGAATAATCCGATTGCAATCATCGATTAATTTTTACAAGAAATTAAAAAAACAGATTAATGATTCTTTTCTCATTGTTTTTTCTATCAATATATATATATATATATTTATGTAGATTGATTGTCAAGAATCACCATCAATTTTACTTGTTAATCTACTCCAATTTCACAATTCAAAGGGTATTACTAGCAATGGTCAATGTTGTGATGGCTCATTTCCTTTGTCAGATCATTGTCCTATATCAATATCCTGTCATCTAAATACAATTGTCTGTTTGGATTTCATCAATAGGTATATTCATTTTTTTCATATGAGAAAATAAAAATATGAAACATAATTGATTTTTTGTTCTGTTATTTGACTAAACACGTGTCTATATATATATATATATATGTGTGTGTGTGTTTATGAACGATAAAAGGTGATGCCACTTGTCTGGCATAACACTCAATGTCCTAATATCAGTATAGATTGATCGTACAAATAAGAAAGAGAGTATAACCCTTGAGACAAAAAAGAGAAATTTAAAAAGTAAACATAAATGTCTAGATAGCCTAAAGAAATTTTGTTTAAATCTTTAGTGAAACTCAAACGAATTGGACTATATGTCCACTAGGAACAAAATCAATACGAACAAAAATAAATACCACTAACTTATTTAATTATTATGCAATAGAAGATACAGATGATCTTTTACCATTGCAATTTGAATTACCACCAATAAGTGATGTGAGTTAAAAGAATTCATTTCTTTGTCTATTGAAATATTTTCTTTGTATTATTAATTATTAAATAGAATTCAATTAATATAAAAATTTTTGTTTTTTCTGACAATATAAATATGTTACTCAATCATTTCTATACTACATTTCGTATTGATATGTCGTATTCATCAGCCACCGATGGAGTATTTCAACAATCAGCAATTCTTGATCGGTCAAAACCGCCATCCGATATCAATCAGTATGTTATATTTTATTTTGATTTCTATTCGCATTCTTTTAATAGAGAAAAAATTGAAAGAAAAAAAATGTCCTTTTTTTTGTTTTTAATATTAGAATAATTGTTGCTTTAAAAACTTATTGTCGGCCTACATTTTATGGCAAACAATGTTCAATTCAATGTATACCAAATGATGATTGTACAAGTTCATATACTTGTGATCGAGTCACAGGTCAAAAGATTTGTTCATCAGGCTGGTTTGGAAGTGAATGTTCGATACGTCAAAAATCTTCGACATGTTTATCATCGGGTTAGATCAACTAGTTTTATTACGAAAAAAACAGCAACAATTAAATTTTTCTTTTCAATTTGAAGGATTAACTTGTTTTAATGATGGCTTTTGTCGAAAAAATCAGTCAACATGCTGTTGTCCTATTGGTTTGCACATTGATATTTTTATGAGAATACGTTTTTGTTTTCATTCAAACATTTTAGGTTTTACTGGTTCAAATTGTCAATATCTCGCAACATGTATACCTGGTGTAAACTGTTTGAATGGTGGTTCATGTAATCCAATGTATGATACCATTTCGCGAACGCACTATTTTACTTGCCATTGTTCGCTTGGGTAAATAAAACTAATCAAAGTTGTATTTTTTTTTAATATTTTTCTTTCATTATAATTTAGTTATACGGGTTTACATTGTCAAGAAAAACAGCAATGTCCGTCGTCCTACTATGGTTCTAATTGTACTGTTGAATGTTCACCATCGAATACATGTTCTCAAGGGCATTACTATTGTAATTCAAAAGGAGAAAGAACTTGTTTAAATGGTTGGGGTCCAAACAATAAGTGTACACAAAAAATGATTGCGCCAATTTTTGATCCTGACTGTCCAATGTCAACAGGTTGTCTAAATGGTGGTTCGTGTTTTAATGGCTCATGTTGTTGTCCGCCTACTTATACAGGTAAGCAGTATGTTCATGTTCGAAATTAATTAATAAATGTGACAATATAAAAGGACGTCTATGTGAAATATCTATTGATCCATGTGCAAATAATCCATGCCAAAATAATGCTCTATGTTTATCAACGTCTACTGGCTATAAATGTTTATGTTCAAGTTCTATTTATACAGGCTCATTATGTGAAAAAAACCAAAGTCCATGTCTTTATTCCCGATGTCAAAATGGCATGTGTCAATCATTAGAGAATTCAAATTCATTTAGTTGTATTTGCTATCCCGGTTTTACCGGTCAATTTTGTCATTTAAAAATTGATTATTGTTTATCACAACCATGTGAAAATAAGGGAATATGTGCTAGTGTAGCAACAGGTTTTGTTTGTACTTGTCCATCAAATTTCCATGGAACAACGTGTTCAAATGCAATCAATCCATGTTTAAATGAATCCTGTTTAGATAATAATCATATAATTGATTGTCCACAAGGTTTAACAGGCCCACCAGATTGTGTAACAGATATAGATGAATGTTTACTTGAAAATGAACCATGTAAAAATGGTGGTTTATGTATAAATACGATTGGTAGTTATCATTGTGAATGTTATGAACATTATCAAGGAAGTGACTGTAGTATTCCAATTGATTCATGTACCAGTAGTCCATGCATTGCATCGAATTCGATATCTTGTACATCAGTTATAAGTGACACCAATTCAATAGATTTTAAGTGTACATGTCGTGTAGGATTTACTGGTAAGTTTAAACAGAAGGATCGTTTATCTCTTCCTCTTCATAAGCGCATATTTGACAAAAGGAGACTAGTGAAGTTCCCTAACTTTTCTTCCCGTACTTCTATTCAAATTCAAATCAATAATTAAAATAGTACTAGCAACTGTAGTAAGAGAAAAGCTAAGAAGAACATTTAGAATTGTTCCAGAGGATTTCTTTTTGACATTGAAATGATTGAAATACATTGGTAAATGATCTCAATCGCTCTATGCCAAGATGCTACACTGAGAAATTCTGGAATGAGAAATACCCAAGAGGATAACTAACGATGTCTACGACAAATAGTGAATTAGGGAGAAAAAATATTTAAAAAAAATAAAAATAAGCGAATAGTAATGAAAGAAACAAAAGTAGCGCACCAATGAAAACGTAAGTTCTTCGAAATATAGAAAAATAAAATGCGATAGATCAATCTTTTTCTCGATGATTAGTTATTCGTATAGGATCATTATTAAGAAAATATTCACTTAGAATGCTTCATATCATTGTAAACAAAAGTTAAAAGATTTATTTTTATAAATAAATTTTATTATCTTTTTAGGAAGTCACTGTGAAATTGAATTAAATCCATGTATGGATAACCCATGTGCGCATGGTAAATGTATCGTGTTAACACCATTAACATGGTCTTGCACTTGTGAACCTGGTTGGACTGGAATTGAATGTAAAGATAATATCAATGAATGTCAATATAATCCATGTCTGAATGGGGGTATATGTATTGATGGTATGAATAAATATTTTTGTGAATGTTTACCAAGTTTTATGGGCGAACATTGTCAAAACGAAAATAATTCATGTTTAAGTTTTCCGTGCATGAATAATGGTCAGTGAATAATGATTTAGATGTTTGTTGGTTTGTTTTTTCAAATTCTTTTTTTGCTACAGGTATATGTATCAACAATATTGAATCGTATTCATGTTTATGTTCAATTGGTTGGACAGGAAATTCATGTGATATGAATGTAGATGAATGTTTATTTCCATTGTCGTGCCATCCAAATGCAACATGTGTTGATTTACCTGGCTCATATACATGTGTATGTCCATCGTGGTTAACAGGTGAAAATTGTTTAACAGCAATTGATCAGTGTGAAACATTTTCTTGTTTAAATAATGGTGTTTGTGTAAATAATTTTGGAAGTCTACCAACTTGCCATTGTCAATCAGGTTTTACAGGTGTACATTGTGAAGTAAGAAATTCTTTTTTTTTGCATTTTACTGAATTTCATATAATGAGAAAATTAATTTTTATATTTGCAGATAAATATTGATGATTGTCAAGCAACACCGTGCTATAACAATGGAACATGTATAGATCAAACAAATAGCTTCTTATGTCTGTGTTCATCGGGTTACACTGGTTTAAGATGTCAAACAATAATAAGTCAATGTAATAGTTTACCTTGTTTACATGGTGGTACATGTCGTATTGGAAATATGAATGATAGTCAAGATTTTAATTGTCTTTGTCCACCATATTTTACTGGCAAACAATGTGAAGAAATAATTAATCCATGTTTAAGTTTTCCTTGCATACATGGAAGTTGTATACCAAAGACACCATCATATTCATGTCAATGTAATAATGGATATAAAGGTAAAAATTGTGAAACAACAATTGATCAATGTTCATCGAGGCCGTGTGGATCACATGGAAACTGTACAAATTTATCAACAAAATTTAGTTGTTGCTGTGCACCAGGTTATACAGGATTAGAATGTGAACAATTAGTTGATGTTTGTGTAACAAATCCATGTTCAATTGAAGGGGTTGAACGTTGTGTAACAACAGGAATATCATCATTCAGTTGTGTATGCAAATCGGGATATTCCGGTCGGTATTGTGAAATTAATATCAATGAATGTTTATCGAAACCGGTAAAGCGATAGCAATGGAATGAACAAGTTAAAAGAAAATATTTTCATTATTTATTTTATTTTTAGTGTTTAAATGGTGGTATTTGTATTGATTTTCAAAATACTTATCAATGCATTTGTCCGTTGATTTATACTGGTGTTAATTGTGAATATTTACAAGATAAATGTGTAGGAATTCAATGTTTAAATGGTGGTCAATGTATAAATAATGGAGTCAATCTAACATGTTCATGTTCAAAAGGATATCATGGAGAAAATTGTGAACTAATCATTGATTATTGCCAATCACAACCCGTAAGAATACTTTAATTCAATTATGACATTATTAGCCGAATCTCGATAGCATAAAAATATGAAAAGGAATGTGAAGCTAGTGACAAGAAGATTTTTTGTCTTCTTCTTCTTCTTCTTCTATCTATCTAAGTAGCTATGTATATATCGTCATTGTTCTTTTGATTTTAATTCTTTAGACGTAGGTCATACATTACAATAAGACGTTATATATAGACATTTTGTATTCGAATAAGACTAACTTCTGTTGTAGTCTATGATATGGCGAGCAAGTTGCAATCCTAGATGTGATCACTATTTCTTTTAGAAATATTTGAGCAAACAATGAGTCAACATTATCTTCGTTTTAGTTTAAAAACACATTTTTCTATCTAAAGATTATGTCCATGAGTCAAAATTCTTGGTCTGTTACTAAGAAAGAGAATGCGTTCAAGGCTTTCTCCTGTTTGCAATTCTACTGTCGTGAACAAATGATTTTCATAGTATTCTTTTTTTTAGTGTTTAAATGGCGGTGTTTGTTCAAATACAGAATTAGGAGCTCAATGTACATGTACAAATGGAATTACTGGTTTATTCTGTGAGACAATAATTGATCAATGTGAATCTGAACCTTGTAAAAATAATGGAACGTGTAAATCATTAATCGATAAATATGTTTGTCTTTGTCCGAACGGTTATATGGGTAAAGAAAAATGAGAAAATAGTTGTCTTTTTTCAGAAGGAAAGAAATCTATTGAAATGATTTAGGCGTTCAATGTGAAGATGACAGAAAGGAATGTGAACCAGTAAATCCATGCTTAAATTCTGGACGATGCATCGATGGTTTAAATAATTTTTCATGTATCTGTAATCCAGGTGAGCAAAAGAAATGGGAGTGAGAACTGTTCTTTTTTATTCAAAAGTTTTTTTTATAGGTTTTACGGGCTATTATTGTGAAACGCAAATTGATCAATGCCAATCGAATCCCTGTTTAAATGGTGCACTTTGTCGAACATTAATTAATAGTTTTAAATGTGAATGTCCACAAGGATATACAGTAAGCGATACGATTTAAATTGTTCTTCTTTAAATATAAATATTTTTAATACAAAGGGATCGACTTGTTCATCAATGATTAATCATTGTACAAGTAATCCATGTTTAAACAATGGTTTCTGTATACCATTGATCAATGATTATCGTTGTGTATGTCTTCATGATTATATTGGTTTAAATTGTGAAAAAGTTTCTAATGAATGTTCATTGAATCCATGTTTAAATAATGGAACTTGTATTGATCAAGTTTGGAATTATACATGTCAATGTCTTGATAGTTTTACTGGATCAAATTGTCAGATACAAAAAAATCATTGCGAAAGTTCACCATGCATTAAAGGATTGTGTGTAAATAAGGTAAAAGAAAATGAAATTTTGTTTTTGTTGAATAAACTTGTTGATTTAGATAAATGGATATGATTGTATATGTCCATCGTCGTCATATACAGGAGCTCATTGTGAAATACAAATAAGCAAATGTGCTTCAAATCCTTGTTTACATGGGGGCAGTTGTATTGATGGTTTAGATAATTTTATATGCATTTGTCCAGCATGGTTTTCGGGTTTAACTTGTTCACAACGAATCAATCCATGTTCAAGTAAAAATACTTGTGCAAATAATGGAACTTGCATAGTAGATGTTGATATAAAACCATTCGGATATAAATGCCAATGTTTACCCGGTTTTATGGGACAAATGTGTGAAGTTAATGTTGATGATTGTTCATCACAACTATGTAGACATGGACAATGTATTGATAAAATCAATGGATTTATGTGTAAATGTTATGATGGATATGATGGAATTTTTTGTGATGTAAGTTATCAAATTTGAGTTTTGAAGAAATATTATTGATGATGTTTTTCGCCAATTAGAGTGTAATTAATCAATGTGGAAATTCACCGTGTCAGAATAATGGCATTTGCCAATCGTTAATCAATACCTATCAATGTCTTTGTTTATCTGGTTATCAAGGCAAAAATTGCGAAAAAAAGATAATAAAACCATGTTTAGCGAATCCTTGTGTGTGAGTATACTTAAAAGTTTCAAATTAACTTTTTAATTTCAACTAAACACAAGTAATCTTCTAGTAGAAGTCGCTTAATAGAGTTAAAAACAGTGTGTTGGTCTGCAGAAATTGAGAAATTTTTTCAATGTCAAGAAATTTCAATGATATAAAAAATGTGTTTTTTGATAATGTAATCTATCACGTTAGTGTCAAACCCCAACTGAATATGTGTGTTAGGTAAAAGCAATTTATCGGTCGAACTAATGAAAATGTTTGAATACTCTCTATGTGAATAGTCAATAGACTAACCCTTCCAGAATTGTTTTAATTTATGGTACTAACTAGTTCAAATTTGATATCAATCCAATGGTTCATACTCTAAAAGTGATAGCTAATTATGAGCTATTCTTGTAAGATCTGCATGCCAATAATCTGACCAATGTATAGGCTGTGTTCCAAGGACAAACAATCAGATACTAAGATCTGATAAGAATCTGATCTTGTATGATCTTACAAGATCATACGAAAATCATACAAAAAATCGTAGTCTCTGAGATCTTATATCAAGTCGGACAGTCAGATTCGTGAAAGATCTTATTAATGTGTAGGATCTTTCAAGAATCTGACTGTCTGACTTGATATAAGATCTCAGAGACTACGATTTTTTGTCAGATTCTTGTAAGATTTCGCCCATATTCAAAGATCTTGTATGTATTTCATAAGATCTTATGTCAGATTTTTCGACCTGGGAATTGACAAATAAATTCAACAAGACAATCAGACTCACATTAAGAGTTTTCATTGAAATTAACAGTTCATATTGAATACGATTGGGAAATTCAGGTGATTTAAAATAACTTTTCACAGAAAAATAGCAAAAGATTCTCATGAGACGTTATAAAGGGTATTATAATGATCGACAAACATGAAAATTTATTTTCATGAATCAATTAGAAGACGCACAGTCAATTGTAAAGATAATTTTTTCTCTCTAAATTAGATACTTTCGGCAGCATTCAATTATGCATCATTTTATAAACTAGTAGAATCATATCAAATACTAGAAAACAAAAAAATAGTAGAATAACTAATTTTACTATCATTAATATGACTTATGGTTCAAATTTCAAATGTTATCTGAAACATTTATTTACTTCTTCTTTGTTTAGAAATAATGGTACATGTACATTATTATCAGACGATGATTTTCAATGTAATTGTTTACTTGGTTATTCAGGTGAAACGTGTGAAATAAAATTTCATGCATGTAGTTCCAATCCATGTCGTTCTGGAACATGTCATGATATTGCAAATGGATTTTATTATTGTTCATGTATATCAGGTTATACAGGATTTAATTGTGAAACAGAAATAGATTCATGTGATAGTTTACCTTGTTTGCATAATGGCGTATGTAATAATTTAGCATCGAATCTGTTTTCTTGTACTTGTACAAATGGACATTATGGTGCACAATGCCAATATATTGATTATCAATGTGATTCTGGACCTTGTTTAAATAATGGCACATGTATGACAAGTAATAATGGCTATCAATGTATATGTCCAGTTGGTTTAACAGGTAACCGTTGTGAAATTGATATAAACGAATGTATATCAATGCCATGCCAAAATCATGGAATTTGTTTACAATCAAAATTGAACCAATATCAATGTCTTTGCCCAACTGGTAAAAGAAAAGCTTTTTTTCCTTTTTTTTAGTTAAATTAAATAATTAATTTTTTTTAAAATTTCTAACTAAAAAGGTTACACTGGTATGCACTGTGAAGAGAATATTGATCCATGTTTATCAATTTTATGTTTAAATAATGGTACATGTATTCGAACAAGTCTATCAACAGGAATATGTTCATGTTTATCAGGATATACAGGTTTATCGTGTCAAAATCAAATCAATACATGTTTAAGTGCACCATGTTTAAATGGTACATGTATTCCATTGATTAATTCATATCAATGTAATTGTTTTCCGGGTTATACTGGTCAACGATGCGATACAGCAGTAGATTATTGTTCACCAAATCCATGTAGTAATAATGGTACATGCATAAATCAAGCAACATCATTTGCTTGTCAATGCTCATATGGTTTTCAAGGTCGTAAATGTGTTATACGTGTACAATCATGCCAATCGTCGCCATGTTTAAATGGTGGAACATGTTACGATGTTGCACCGGGTTTACATCATTGTTCATGTCCTAGTTATTATCGTGGGGAATTTTGCCAATTACGTGATTCATTTTGTTTAGATATGCCATGTAAAAATAATGGTATCTGTTTAGATACATTGAATGGCTATCAGTGCATATGTCAACCTGGTTATAATGGAATAAATTGTACGTATGAAATTCAACCATGCAAATCAAATCCATGTTCAAATAATGGCCTATGTCGAAATACAAATAATGGATTGAGTTATCAATGTTCATGTTCCAAAGGTTATGCTGGCCTACAGTGTGAATTTGAAATAGATTGGTGTTTATCAAATCCATGTCAAAATCAAGGAACATGCAAATCTCAATTGACATCATTTATTTGTCTATGTTCATCATCATATACAGGTAGAATTTGTCAAACGCCAATCAGTAATTGTTCGTTGGCAACATGTAAATATGGTGTGCCACGTATATTAAGTTTAACAAGTTGTTCATGTGTTTGTTCAACTGGTTATACGGGTAGTCGTTGTGATATACCAATTAATCCATGTTTAAATGATTCATATTGTGTACGTGGTAAATGTAATTATCTTGGTCCGGGCTTAGCTGATTGTACATGTCCAATTGGCTATAGTGGAGTTCGTTGTGATACAATCTCATTAAGTGGTGCATGTTCATCATGTCCTTGTTTATATGGAAAATGTCGAACTATTGATGATATAAATAGTTATATTTGTGATTGCTATCAAGGCTATGAAGGTAAACAGTGTGATATATCAATAGATTTATGTAAACCAAATCCATGTTTATATGGCCATTGTTATTTTGACGAAAACAACGGTTATAATTGTCAATGTTTACCGGGTTCGACGGGTAGAAATTGTTCAATATTAATTGATACATGTGGTTCAAATCCTTGTTCGCATGATGGTGTTTGTATCCAAGGTTTAAATTCGTATCAATGCGTTTGTCAACCTGGTTATGCAGGTATACATTGTGAAGTGTTAATTAATCAATGCTCATCCTTACTATGTTCACATAATGGCACATGTGTCAATCTTCCAACAGACCCGCCTAGTGCCCGATGTCAATGTCCATCATTATATACGGGTACACAATGTCAATATTTAAATGCACCATGTACATCGCAGCCATGTCAAAATTTGGGAACATGCGTATCTGATGATATATCTTCTTACAGATGCGTTTGTCCAAATGGATTTTCCGGTATAAATTGTGAAGTTCATATACAAGTTTGTGATAGTAGTCCTTGTCAAAATAACGGAAGATGCTCGGAACCAGCACCCTATTATTATTTATGTCAATGTTCATGGCCTTTTTATGGTATTAATTGTGAATTAATGTTTGATCCTTGTTTAAGTTATCCATGTCGAGGACCATTGTCACAATGTATTTCAACACCAATGTATCAAAATTATACTTGTCTTTGTTCTCAAGGTTTCGATGGTTCAACATGTTCAACACCACTTGACCCATGTGAATCAAGTCCTTGTCGCAACCATGGCTCTTGTATTAGAACAGGATTTTTAACGTATGCTTGCTCATGCCAAGTTGGTTATGAAGGAAATAATTGTGAAACTGAAATACAGCCATGTTTAAATTATGCGTGCCAACATGGAATAGCTATTAGAACATCGTTAATAAATTGTGAATGTCAATGTATAGAATCATATTATGGAAAATTCTGTGAAATGAATATTTGTGAGCATAATCCATGTTTAGTAGGAACGTGTATTCCAGATGGTAATACCACTTATACGTGTAATTGTCCAGAAGGATTTCAATTTGTAATGGGAGTGTATGTATTTATATGAGAAAAAAGAAGTTTGATGATGAATATTTCGTCTTTTGTTTTGTTTTCGAAATTTCAGATGTGCAGATATTAATGAATGTAGAACAAATGTATCACTCTGTGGAAATGGCGGAAGATGTTTAAATACATACGGATCATATTCATGTTTTTGTAAAACAGGCTTTTACGGAAAAAATTGTGAAATTTTTGATCTATGTCGATCGATGCCTTGTATAAATGGTGGAACCTGTATAGCGAATGAAAATTATCCTTATTGGCAATGTAATTGTCCTTTATCTTATACGGGTAAGATTAATATAATTATATATAAAAGAAAGTCTTAGCTAGCTACTTATCTTTCGAAATATTTTAGGCTCTCATTGTGAAACATCTTTACTTAGTTGTTCAGCAAATCCGTGTCAAACGGGAACTTGTATTAATCTTTCACACGGTGACTATCAATGTCTATGTCCAACAGGTATTACAGGTAAAAATTGTGATACATCAATGTTACCATGTGATTCTAATCCATGTTCAAATAATTCAACATGCTTATCATTCACATTAACAAATTATACTTGTGTATGTCCCAAGTTTTATATGGGTTCACACTGTTCCGAGAGAAAAACTATTTGTTCGAAGAATTTATGTCAAGGAAATGCAATATGTGTTGTTAATCCTAATTCGGGAGAAGAAGTTTGTTTATGTCCTTCTGGACGTTATGGAATAAAGTAAGTTTAAGTTGAAATGAATCATTCTAACTGAATCATTTATTTATATTGTAGTTGTGAACTTATTGCGGCTTGTGAATTAAATCCATGTGTTCATGGAACATGTCACAATAATGATGAGAACACATTTCAATGCATATGTCAACCTGGATTTACTGGTAATAAATGAAGAGAAAAATCTTAAAAGACACTGTATTTTCTGTTTTCAATCAGATTCGAAATTTTCAAAGAGAGATCTAGACAGTAATTACAATAGAATGAAAAGGTTAAGATCCATGTCACAAAAAGCGAGTCATATTTATTGGCGCATAGTGTTCTACTGTGAAAGATTCTGTAAATCGTTGAAAACTGACTGTTTAATGTAATTAACGGAGAATAACCACCTGCTTTTCTTTTGAATTTTCACTAAATGAGGAATATCTGATAAGATTTCATGTTGAAAATATTGTCTTGTTTAAAATTTACAAATAAAAATGCCTATCACTTCTAGTTGTTTACTAATATGTCCAATCTCAAGCAGTTATATAATAGTGCATGTAAAAACGAAAACTGAGTTGATTGATATTTCTATTTTTGATTATCTCGAATGCTTTCTGTTATGTTATCGTATTCATTTTTATTCTTCAGAATTTTGATAGTAAACAGGATAAACATTTTATTGTCAGAAAATCTAATGAATGAAAAGTAAATTTCTTTGAAACAGCATCCATATTTCAGTCTGCAAATCCATGACGTATTGTAGTAGTCATCAATGGCTGTTTATTTTGAAGAACCTAGTGGATCAAGCGATGACTAAGTTATCACAGACAACTAATCTTTTGGTTTGAAAAAGTGTGCGCAAGACTACAACTATCATTACATATAGAGAATAGACTTCATTAATCAGTCTAACCAAGAGTTGTATCCTAGATCGCAAGGAGGAGTACAAAGCCCAGAATATTCTTCGATGCTCCCATGAGAACTATAGATAATGCTTTGAATTTTAATTGTTTTTTTTTGAATATATCTAAAAATTGAGAAATGTTAAACAGTACTAATATAACTTAGAAATTATTTTGTATTAATCATTTCAATCAAAAACTACTAACTTGTTTACCACAATTTCTATTTCATATATTTTAAGATTAATTCACTAAACTGAGAATTAGGGACCTAAAAGTGAAGAACTAAATCCCATGTCTTCATGTTGTTTATCTGAATATAATGATTGAAATTTATTTAGGCACAACATGCGATATGCCATCTGATTTTTGTAATACAAATCCATGTAAGCAATTATTTATAATCAAAACAGTGAGCACAAATAAGTTTATTATTTTTAGGCACAAATGGTGGAACTTGTTCAAATTTAGGCAATGGATCATTTATTTGTGCTTGTCTACAAGATTTTACAGGTCATTATATTAAACTTACATATATTATATAAACTATCAAAATTTTTCTTCAGGATCTGATTGTAGTGTTGCTCATTGTACAAAAAATAGTTGTTTCAATGGTGGTACTTGCTCTATTCAAAATAAAGCACTTCAATGCACATGTCCATGTGGATACACTGGTAATGTATTGCATAAAAAATGAAAATTTAGTTTCAGAAAACTAACGAGTTATTTTATTTTGACAAATAAGGAACACGCTGTGAAACTCCATTTGACACATGTGCATTAACTGTATGTCAAAATAATGCTACTCGACTTATGAATACAACAACATGTCAATGCTCATGTTTATGTCCTTCAACATTTACTGGTCATCTTTGTGAATCGCCAATCATACAAATAAATAGAACATATCCAGGACAAATTGTAATTTCAACAAAACGATTAGGAGGTAGACGATAAGAATAATTTAAGAAAAAATATTGTAATAATTGTTTAGGATCATCATGGGACAATGTTATGCAATGTATTGATCAAGTATGGAATAATTTAAATATTTTACTTGGTAAATTCGGTTTCTTTTCTTCATTGATTGGATAATCGTGCTATTTTTTTCGATAATTTCATTTAGTATGTCCATCGTCGTATGATCTCGTTACTCCAACATCATTTTATCCATATTGTTATCGAGTAAATCAGCAAAATGTTCTCAAAAATCAACTGGACGCAATAAAAGAGTGTGAACAGCAAGAAGCTAGATTAGCTTGGTTTCAATCTATCGATGAATTAGAAAAACATTTAATGCCAAGATTGTTTTCACGTGGATTAACTCAAGGTTGATTCACTTGATTTTCTATTTTACATAAAAATATTTGTATCTTTCTTCAGATTTTTGGACAAGTGGAATATATAATTCATCGTCATACCATTGGCAATGGCTACATACAAATTCTAAAAATCAAATCGATGTTAATCCATCAATAATAAAACAGTTTGAAATTAATTCTCTTGATGAATCACTTTATGTTACATTTGATCAATCGAAAAATCGACATTTAAGAGGAAGTTCGCCATCAGAAATATATTCAACACTATGCAAAATATCAGCAACACGCCGTCTTTTTAATAGTCAAACACGTTCGATCGATCTTAGTTCATATCAAACAACTTTTATGAATCAGTAAATTTATATTTGTTTCTTTGTGCCCTTTACGCGAGTATCCTTGATCTTTTTCGAAGAAAAATAGTCGACATAAGTTTAAATCACAATTTAAAGACTACGCACAAGACCCTAAACATCCATTTGAAGAAGACTATCAAGTACGTCATCCACAATAAACGAGGACGACAAGTATTAGAATGATCTCTATAATCAGTTTTTATTAAATGAAAACAAACGCGTTAAGCAGCATCAATAACAACACTATTAAGTTTTTTGACAATTCCTAAATCTTAGCAACATTATTATGTTTTTATTACCCTCACAGATATAAATGGTTAATTAAACAATATCAAAGAATGAAAAGTTCCTAAATTGCTTGCTGGGTTGTACATGTATCAGTAAATCAGTACTTTTAGTTCAATGAGCGCATCCAATGAGTAGGAATATATTGATTTATCACAGCCATAAATAAACCATTTTCCCATTCATCCTTGAAAACACACCTTAGTATGACGATGATTTTTCAATTGGTAGATTTTTCACTAGTATATTGATACTAAAAACATACATAAATTTCATATTTCAACTCCATTGGAGTGTGTGCGCTGAGATTTTCTTATCTCAATAAATTTTAAATCATAAACTATTCTTTAGGACGCAAGTATTTATTTACAATTTTAATTATACTATACTTCCGAGTATACCTCTAAGTACAATTATTCAACAACCAACAAATGCACAGTATGTTACTATATGTGATGCTCTTGGAAATCCGTCAATATCGGTTGAACCATATGTAATTGATATATGTGGGCATTTTTCTTCAATTACAAATAAAAACATTGAATTATTAATGCAAAAAATTAGCTCATATTATACTATTCATCGAACTTCTATTGGATCCATACGTAAGTTTAATTTGAAACAATATTTGAAACAAAGCTTTACTATTTTTCTAATAGAATTGTATACTGCTCAACCGTTAAATGTTGAACATTACTTGACTGCGACTGGTACCATAATGACACGTATATATTTTGTAATAACAAGTGAATCATCAATAACTCTCGGTTCAAATATTGAACCATTAGCATCCATCAACGATATATTGAATACTATAATTTATCCAGATTACCAACAATGTGTTCCATATATATCTTTAAATATTCTTTTACAACTAGAACTATGTATTTCAATAAATGAAATTTCACTATGGATGAATTTAATTACGAAAGCAGTTTCAACAGCTACTCGTAAAGAATTTATTACACACAGAAAATAAAAATATTGAATCTATTTTTGTTTTTCTCATTTAAATAGATCAATCAAATGTCAATGTCATGCTTAAAGGCGTTCAAGAAGGTGTCACAACTACCGGGTAAGTTCAATCTATTTGATGAAATAGAAAACATTTTGAATTTTTTATGAATAATTTGTCTCTTTAGTCAATCAGCAAATATTGCATATTTCTTAATAACAATCAATGGAATAACATTTAATCAAACGATGAATAATAATACATCCATGAATTCAATTCTTCTTGAAGCTATTCGAAAAGGCAACGAAAAATTATTGTGTCCGGAAAAAACACACATTCTCTTCCTAGAACATAGTGTTCGAAACTTGTACGCTTCTTGTTCAACTCCACAGTTGTAAGTAACTAAAAAGTTAGCACACTATCTGTGGAATCAAAATCCATCATTTTAATATAATCTTCGAATAATTCAATAGGAGGGATAGTTTACTTCTGATTTTCTAGTGAGTTCTAACATAGACGGTGCCAGTTCAAAATATCATAATGAGATATCGTTATTGGTATAGGTTTGGTTATCGTGACATGTAGGATTTTCGTTGGCATTGTTACCAAGGCTTTTGTTATCATATACTTAGAAAAGTAAATTAAGAGCAAAAAATCATTTTGTTACTCGCCAACTGGATTCTCACGAACTGTGATTCTTTACATTACATAATAAATCTGAGTAAAATCATTTTTCAAAACTAATAGTTTTCTGTGTGATTGTTTCAAAGTTCGAATTCTATTCTTCGGCGTTCCATTTAAAACGTATTTCTGAAGAATAAAATCCTATGTATATATAACATTAATTTAGACTTGAAAAGCAATTAAATAATGCTTTACATCAAGCCGGAATTTATAACATGAATTTAAATATATTCGGTGTTGAAGAAGCTGTTGATAGTTTTGGGTAAGCCATTATTCAATTTTCCTTCTTCGCTTTAGATTAATATTTATTTTTTAATTCTTAGCCGTATATATCATTTACCAAATATCTTTTTACAAGATCTTAACGGCACTTGGCTTGATAGTCCACTTGAATTCAATGAAGAATTATATGAAATTTTTATTTCTAATCAAATGCAACGATTACCCAATCGTGTTTATCGTTTATCAAAAGCATTCTCATATTTCTATTCAAATTCATTATCCACCGATGATCGTTATTATTTAGAAAAGCTTATTTTAACTTTATACAATCGACAAAGTACTAGTGTTATAGATACATTATATGATATTGATTTCTTTTTTTGCCTTTAGACTCAGTCCTAAGTGATGAAGTCAAAATTATATATGAAGATTTATATTTAAATAGAACTTCAATGAATGTAATTCGGCGTGTTCATTTATTTGCGTTTCATAACGAACAAGAGCTTGATGGAAGATATTTATCATCATTGGTTTTATCAGCCGAACAATTTCATGGATATCAATATGTACAAAATCCATTGAGCTATAAATCTAATCAAATTCCAGTGAATATTATTAAACAATATGATATACATCAAATAACATTTTCAGAAAAAATGAGTCAAATATCGGCAGAAAGAATATTGAAAGATTATTGGCAAAATCCAGCTAAACAAGGCCTAACAAAAATAAATATTGATATCATACAATTGCAAGAATATCTTACTGATTCAATCAAGTAATTGAAAAGTTTGGTTCTCGTTTTATTTTCATATTTGTTTTTGTTTTAGTCAATTCTATACAACAATAATCTACAGGGCTGTTGCATTCGATGATTATCCAATACCAAATACATGTTTTAATCCAAGTTTAATGCAAAAAATTCATAGTTTATGCACTACAACGCATTATTACATGGCAGATGTGCCAATTGGATATATACCATCGTTTTTTGATTTAAGAGGAACTTTTTCACAAATCGATCTTGACGAAGGCAATTTTTCGAAATTAATTACTGCATCATTACAACAAATGGGTGTTAATGCAAGAGGTAAATCAAGTGACTAGACTTTGAATTTCATAATGTTAAGAGACAGTAATATTTCCTCATGAAATGTAATCAAAAATTATTTTGAAACACTTTCGATGAGTGGACTTGATTAATTTTAATTTTAATTGATAAATCAAAAATAATCACAGCATTTTTTTTTTGAACGATTTCATGAGATAATTCTTCGCTTGTTTTCAATGCGGAAGAAGTATTTAGTGTCTGTCAATATTTTTTTCCAAGTACTATTCGGTAAAGTTGATGTTAAATTAATTGTGACTATCATTTATGTAAGTGTTGATTAAAATATTGCTGTGGCTCATAGCATTAGTTTGTCTTCAATTTAGACAGTTTACAGATGGATTCAAAAACCGATAGAATTTATATATGAACTTTCAATTCGTAAATTTAAAAGAATAATATGTTTATATTGATTTAGTTTCATCTGTACTTGCTGAATCACGTTTTGGATTGGATAGATCATTAATAACACGAGTCTATTACACGATGGTACCGAATCAAATAATCAACCAAGAACAAATCTATGATCAATTACATGTATGTTTTCTTTTTGGTTCCTATAATCTTTTTTCATGCATGAATTTATATAGCGTACTTTTTCGACCATACCAACACGAAGATATGAGTTATATCCAATGGAAGAATCATCTATTGTACGCTCTGATGCTCATCAATGTATTACTGATATTTTATCACCATTTACTGATTTAACTCGAAAAAATATTGAAAATTATTTAACATCCATTCATTCACGTATGCTTAATTCAATTCTTAGTCAATTAATCGTTTCTCTTTTAGAATATGGACAAGGAAAAATTCTTTATGCTGAATCTCTTCCTACAAATCAAACTCGTTTTTATTTAACTGTAATGTTAAAGTTTACAACACGAAATTTTCATGAATCCTTTACGTTTTTTTTTCCTTTTAGTTTATCAATCAAACACAATTAATCAATAGATGTGATTTTTCACTTTATTGTCCAGGTGTTTCAAATTTTCAAGAAGAGAATCGTGGAGTTAAAAGTCTCTATCTCAAACGGAATATATTTTTAGCTCAATCAGCTGCACTTGTCGATACTCTTACACTAATATGGATGAATGAATCTATCCATGATTCAAAAAAAATTTCTATTCAATTGCAAAATCAAATTCAATATATTTGTCCAGAAGAGTAAAATCTAATTTAAATATAACAGATAAAAAAATGTATGTGATGGGCTTGTGTTTTGTTTTAGAAAACGATCTGTTCGAATTGATTATGTTATTAAAAATGTTTCATTTTATAATTTAAAATCACCCTCGGAATCAGTATTCGAAAAATTTTATGGAAAATTCGTTAATGATTGCATTTCAAATGAAGCATATTCAATATATTTGATCGAACCACGTTTATCAAACAAAGAAATTCATGAAGCACTACAAACCGCCTGGCATCAATGGAATAGTAAGCAGTTCAGCATTGCTTTCTCTTTATTTTCATTCATATATTTTCGTATAGATAAGTTTTCAGTAAATATTTCTACAGACGTTTTTATTGATTCATCTTATTTAACAATTAAAAAGTAAATTTTCATATCTATTTTGTACTCTATTTTATTTAATTAATTTTTTTAAATTCCTCCTAGTCAAACATTAAGTCGTTTTATCTATACAATAAAGTCTAATATACCAAGAGTTATCCAACCACTGCCAAGTTCTATTGATTTATCAAATATTTATACCGATATTCCATATCAACGATCTACTATTTATGTTGAAAATAAGCCATTGAACTCAACAGTATTATCAATGATTAACAAAGTATTACGGCTAAGTTGGGCAAAAGCAAACAGTTATCTTTTTTCATCGGACGATATATCTATACCGTCCATATCCATGCACAGTACACTATCAAAGTAAGCCGTTTTTCACCAGAAAAAAAAAGAAACGCCTAGAACATAGATGATAACTGGCACATGAATAAGAAAATTCAGTTTCATAAGTGTTCGCTCAAGAAATCATGAAAATTTTAAATATTATGCATTGGAGAAGATATCACCCAAGAGATTTTTATAGTGAGATGCTTGTCCATAAGTACAACTAACTATAGTAAGAATATGAGGTGACAAGAATTGCCTCCCCATTCAACATAGATATTTCACGAAAGAGTAGTCAGTTTTAACTGAACATTTTTAAGATAATATCATGATCGACGGTTTAGAACATTATTTCTAGTCGAAAATATTGTTCTTTAATCAAAATTTATCAACCTTGTTGTAACTCTGAAGAGAAAAATTATTAGCTCTCATCATCGTAGTTCATAACTTGTCTTTACAGGCTCAACCTATAATTTATATAGATGAACACGATGAGAGTATTTTGATTGCTACTTTCTTAAGCTCATTTAGAAATCGTAGATTCATGCGTCATAATATGAGCGACTTTATCATTCGATGATAGTTTGTGTAATGGTGCAAGAAGAGAAATTAATAGCTGTGCTTTTAAATAATAAGACTGTTGGCTATCGATATTTTATTCTCTATGAAAAGTATCATGTTTTATATAGTTCTTAACTGCCATTAAAATTGTTCGGAATATATAGTAATCATGGTGGCCAGATCGAAAATTGAAAAATCAGAAATCTTTTTGTAAAAATCAGAAAACGATCAGAAAGGTTTTTAGTAAAATCAGAGGTTTATCAGAAAGATCATTTTTTTGTGAAAGAGCGACTTCTGTATAAGATGCTGGCATTAACTATTCCATTCCTTTTATGTCATTGACTGGTACTTCATTTCCAAAGATTTGTCACTATAAAGATGAATATTCATCAATCGATAACGAATCTTTACGAAAAACTCTTTTTTTTCCTTTATATGTCGAAATGATATTGCTGTGGCTAATTGATTTACTTCGATTAGTTTCTTTTCACAATCAAATTCAACCATATTAATATCATCCAATAAATAATTTTGTTTTCCTTTGTGGAATGTTCAATTAGATAAGATTATCGAAATCAAGAAAAGAATTTTATCAAATTCTAGTGCATTGCTGTAGCTGAAGTTGCCTATATAAGTCAGAAATTACCAACGGATAATCGAGAAAAATCAAGGTGCCGCAATATACATCTATAATAGTAACGTGTTATAATTTTACTGAACTGTACTAGCAAAACTGGGATCTGAAATAGTTACGAATTCGGAAAAAAATCAAAAGAAAGTATTGAAATCAGGAAGAATCAGAATATAGTACGAAAATCAGAAGAAATCAGAAGATCAGAAGAAATTCAGAAAGGACTTCAAATTTCAGAATTTTTTCCTACTTTTTAGAAGATCTGGCTCCCCTGATAGTAATGGACAAATTAAACTTGACTACATGATTGGTTTACGAGCTGGTGATATTGGAGATTATTCTCAACCATCTGAACAACTTTATTCACAAATATTCAATGAAACTAGTTTAAAAACATCAATTGATCTACGTTATAAACCAAGAAATACTAAGGAGGCATCATCAAATAACGAGCAAATATCGCGTTTTCCATCTGATCACCCACCTAGTGATTCGTTCAATCTGGTAAACTATTCGAATAAAAAGAATAAGTTTCTTTTATTTCTAAATTACTTTGTCTATCTTCTAGCTTGATTGGTGGATTATTTTAATTATTGTTATCGCTATCATAGCCATCTGGCTATTGTTATGTTTAATTTGTTATATATGTTGTCGAAAACGGTTAGAATGAAACAATTAATGTGTATGTATTAAACAATTTTCTTTTTTGTCGAGTAGATCAACGAATCGTTATCATCATAAAATTTCTGAAAGACCAACTAGACAAATGGAAGTTCTTGCTCGAGAACAAGATCATTATTTACGTCCATCATTATCTTCATTGGCATTTGATGGACCGTATGCTGAATCATTTAATTCATCGGCTGATGATCAACAACGTATATCTACAAGAACTATATCTTCACAACCTGAATTACAAGTTCGTCGTTTATCCGAACAAGATTGGCCACATTTTGCTATGCATAATCCATATGGATGGTCATCACTTCTCCTAAACTCACCATCGTACTCGGCCGATTCAAATCGTCCAATATAAAATTTGTTCGTTGCCACATTTAGTATTAATAAAAGCAAATGATTTACTGTGATTGCATAAGATATTGATTGTGGCTGTTTGGTTTTAATGTGTATTAGAATGCTACTTGTAAGATATTTGTTTGCCTTTTGAACAATATTTTTTTTCTTTTGTTTGAAAAATAAAAATAAAAACTATTAACCAATAAAATAAATTTTCTTGTTCTTTTATAATGCTCTTGATTAATCAAAATAAAAATGTCTGTGTGAAGAATAGCTACACTTGGCCTAAATTAATAAAAGCAGAATTTACGAGATTCTTTTTAAAGTGTTTCTCTTTCCGATATTCTTCAATTACTGGCCACAAGCATGTACCCTGAGAAAATCATTTTTAGAATATTTAACATTTTATAATAAATTACTTACCAATAGAATAAGTGTACAAACAGCAATCACAACAGAAATAACAACAGTACCAAAGATAACAACAGGTATTGTCATATTGTATTAATATTAAAATTGTGGTTCTCGTTTGTTTTATTGGTGTATGTCGTATATTTTTGCACAATTGTAATAGATAGAGTATATTTTTTTGCTTACGAGGATTGGTTTGAAGGTCACATATTATATATATATATATATATGAAAAGAACAGAACGAACAAGTAAGCAACGATGTATGTTTTAAATAGTTTGCGATCCTCTATTGATGTGAATGAAATATATTGAGTCACATGATGATGACTATTATTTATTTTTATCGAAAGCAATCTGAAATAATCAATATTGCCTATCGACGAGCATCATTCAATATCAGTAGAAAAACAAGAATTTATATTATTTGGACCTGCATATTTGTATGAAAATTTCAAAATAAAAATAGATGTATAATGTGCTCTATTTTATCTATCTAATATAGAATAAAAATGAAAATAATAATTCATAAACATTTTATTGATTAGTATGATTGTAGAGTAGTCATTCAGAGATCATCTTGTTTTGATATTCATACTATGTAGTTCCGCCATATCTGACAAATAAAAAAGTATATATTGAAACATAGGAGGTGGCTTTTCTAAGAAATTCATTAAATACATAATAAGAGCTTCAAAAACGCTTTTTCAAAATCTACAAAAAATTGTTAACAATATTATTTATTTCATTTTTATCGTTGATACTTTAATCGAAGCTTTTAATTTAGTATTGTAGAGTATTTAAATGACGAATCTTCTTACAAAAAAAAATGATCAATGCTTAATGAGAAACGCCTAGACGAGATATATTAAGAAAATACATAAAGGGAAAATGCATCCTGGTACTCCTGCTAATTCAGAGAGCACTGCTAAAATTGTAGTTGAGTAAAGCAGACATTTACAGCTGTTGCTGAATAGTTTTGCTATTAAATTTGTTTGATCAGAAGACTTTGAAGATGAACACAACAACGAATCACTCTGTATATTTGATAGCGGCAGATAAAAGAATATATCACGCAGAAATGTAACTTATTTTAGTATTAAGAAAAAATGATTAAAGATTATATAATTAATACGTAAATTATATTAACATATTAGTATACAATGATTATCATACTAAATATAAGTTTTTTTTTAAGATCAATTTGATAACATCTATTTTCGCTATCTTTAGATAAAGGTTCGTTTCATTCTTTAGAAACATGTGCATATACATTAATGGAGTTCTCATACAACTGAAGTTTGACATATCTAGTATTTACTTATTTTTTTCAATATCGATCAATTGGTCTATTTAAACGAAACTTTTCTGGTTACATTGATAAAAGAAAAAGAAACTAAAACCAATACATTGAAAATAATGTTAGGCGAACATTATTTCATTCTCAATTCAAGAAAAGTTTTATATTCTTTTTGCGAGCTATTGACTTCTCGAGGAATCAGAGAGATAATCAAGTGATCGATCCATAGTCTTCATCAGAAACATGTGGACGCCTGTACCTGCTAATAAAATTCTTTTAGAAAAGAATTTCTGAATGGCTCCTCTCTGATCATCGTTTCATGAAAACTTGTTGCACCATCTTTTCTGTATCTTTTTCATCTAGGAATGCACCAATTCCAATTCCAACGAACTCTAAGAATTGAACAGACTCGAATTGGAATTGTTGAATCCCTATTTTCATCAAATATTTAGTTTTTCATTACAAAAACAAGTTGACATATATCATAATGTTATGGAAATGATCTGATTTTATATTTGATTGACATGAAACATAAGAATATATAGTGCAATCTTATGTATAATATATGTCCGTTCCTGTCACGAATATATTTTTAATTTCAAACCCGAAAACTTCTATTTTATGATTTCAATTGAGGTTACACCAGCGATTGGATGCTTTCACGCAGGTCCGCCAACTTTATACGCAACCTTCTGTAGGTAAGATTTAATCATGCTAGTTTTGTAGCGCGCACCGAGTTGTGTAGGAAACCATATTTTGTTTTTAACGAAATCATGCGCTAAGTCCTACAGATAGGGCTCAAAATCAGATTTTCTAGAAATCCGATCCCCTAAACCAAGAAGTTTCATGTTTTCGTGAACACGATTTGAAAGTCTTAATCAGACCATTGGATAGAGCATAAAAAGTTGTCTATATGCAATAATTTTCGGGTGTGTACATAAAAATCTCGAAGCACCAGTGTACTTGCAAAAACCAGAGAAATGCGATGTTTGCTGAAATCGAGTACTCTAGAAAACCTACACGTGGACATAGAAACCATGATTTGTTAGAATCAAAATGACCCAGGTCGAACAATCCGGCACGGAAAAGGCCGGCTCTGTAGTGTTCCGGAGCGGATTTCCCCGGATTTTCCCAACATGTTTCCACTCATATCCCAATGGAAACACCGGGAAAATTTAAGGAAAAAATCCTGCATTTTCCTTTTATGATCCGAATACACGTCCCGCAACGGAAACACTTGGAAATGAGTGGATCTCCCACGGAATATTTACGCCGTTTTCCGGACGAGTCCCACTGACGTTTCCAACATATTACCCGCCAATTCCAAAACTGGAAAGACATCTCTGCAAATCGTATCGCTATTCAACCCGCTTCCACAATAATATTTCAAACCCATCTCCCAATCAAAGAGATTCGACATATACCGACAGCACCAATTCGTTACGCTAAACTCTAATATTAGTGAGCTTCGACCAAATCATACCAGTCGCTCACTACGCCATATCCTCACGAGCACATCGACCTGGTCAGAAACTGCGCCCACCAGAAACTCAAAAGCTGTAATGGTAGATTTTTTATTTCAACTCCGAGCTAAATTCTGAGGTAAGTTTGCAACAATTTATCGAGGTCGACGAATGCGAATCTGGCATCATCGATTGTGCCCGGGGATCCGATAGTTGAGTGATGCTTGTTGCCGGTTTGATTCCTGTTGTCGGATGCCATTGCATTTCAATCCCGGTAGTCAACTGGGATTCCGATTATATCCTATTGTTGGATTGATTGACCTGGGTGTACGTGATAGTGAATATACCGTTAACAATCGTATACGACCGTTTATGGTCACGGTAGTCTTTCTCCTGGGTGTGATGCAGTGTAGATATGTATAGTTCTTGACGATGTCAGACTGGATACTGAAAGATTCCTTAAGGAGTCCGTCGCGAATATGGTAGTTTCCGGATGGATCCCGTCAAGTGGATTTTGTTGGAAAGATATGGATCTGGTACGGTGCTTTCGTGTCCGGAATACTGCTTCTAGTTGCCGGGTGTTTTCCGGGAGTTTTCGGACGGAAAAATTGCGGATTTTAGCGGAATTAGCGGGAAAAAAGGCCATTTCCTGATGATTCCTGGAGGATCCGGACCTCGGAATCATCGTCCTAGGACGTTATCGTATCACAAAACATCATTACACTACCTTCTATAAGGAAAGAATCCAAGAAATATTAGCTGGGTGTTTATATAATGAAGGAACACGAAAAACAAAGAAACAGCCAATACAATAGCAACGATTACACAAGGAAAGTGAAATAGTTCATGATAATATATCAGAAGTCGAAGATGAAATAAATTAAAACAGTTTAACATTAATTAATCACAAGAATGATGAATTCTGTAAATATATACAAATGAACTTTGCGTACTGTTATTATTCATATTGAACTATAAATGAAAAAACGTTTTTGTTTTTCTCTAATGTTTTGTTTTTGTGTAAATGTTTTTTTCTTCTGGGATTGAAATGAAATAAATAAATGAAAAGAAAAGAGCTGGGTCTAGAAGACTAAAAGAAAATGACATATTTTAATGAAACAAATAGTAAAGGGTAAACACAAAAGAAGTCGTAAACGACACCGTTTTGATCGACCTGGGCGATCAATCCTTTAAAGAAAACAACAAAATACAAATACAAAACAATAAGTATAGTTTTTTACTTGATAAAATATCTCTAAAATATAATTGTTGAATAATTACACATCGTTGTTTTGTTTGATTTTCAGTTTTAAATCTAAAATTTTTATCAGAAATTTTTGATGTTTCCTTATGAATTAAACTAAAAACAAACTTTACATGTCAAATCAGTAATTAATGCAGTGCGAAGCACAGCATTCATTTAGTCCGTCGCGAGTTTTTTTCCTTTCTTTCAAACTTGAGTACGCATAAAAAGTTCTTATTAAGTGACGCGATGATCTAGAGAATAGAGTCCTGCAGGTCAACCTTGCCCTACCCTACCCTGCAGGGCAGGGTAGGACTAGGGTACAAAATTCGTAGGGCAGGGCAGGGTAAGGTTACAAAAAAAATATTTAGGTTATAAGTAGGGTGTAGCTCATACAAATAAAAATTTTATAGAGTAGAACTTAATATATATTTCTGACATCTTTTTGATCAAAAACAGTGTAAAGAGTGATATCATAATCTAAATCGAACGGGTAGAATAACAACGAACGGAAAACAATGGCCTATTGTTTAGTACCATTTTTACATAAGCTGACGAGTTCAGTCACTTTTGGTTACTTGTCTAGTAAATGTACATGTAAATGTAATAAAAAATGTCTTCAAAATCATCTCGACATGAACGTATTGTTAGCACAAACGGGCGAGTTTTGGAAGAGAGAAGGCAAAATTTAAGTGGTGATGTTGTAAATGATATTTTATTTTTAAGAAACTTTCGAAATATTTATTAATTTTGTATTTGATTCTCGTTGAAAATCAATAAAATATATTGAAACAAAGTGAAGAAAAACTTCATGCTGACTTTTACTTGGATCTGAAACTCTAAGGATCTGATAGGGTGCAAAATGAAAAATCTCTGTGATAGGGTAGGGTAAGGGTACAAAGCCCCTAGGGTAGGGCTAGGGTACGAACGTCGTAGGGCAGGACAGGGCAAGGGTACGAAGTTTTACGATAGGGCTGGGTTAGGGTACAAAAAAGTCTTAACCTCCAGGACTCTAGACTCAGTCCTCTTTAGGATGCTCTGAATTCCCTTTACTAGAGGCGTAATCCTGTCTAAAAGGGGCTTGAACCCCTGTAGAAACGTGACCAAAGTACCCCTGCTCCCTCTAGACGTATAGTCAGGGGCTGAGACACTTCTATAGAGTTTTTCTGGCGACGCCACTAATTATAAAAGATAACCGTAGGAAAAGGAAATATAGAAAGAAAGAAAATGTCAGAAGATAAGAAAGAGAAAAGAACTGTGACTATATTTATCAACTTTTACAGCTTCCTTTTTTATTTCATTTTAGTTTATAACTTGAAATTGATCCAAATCGAAATTAGTGAAACGCTACCTATACCGAAAGTAGAATTTTGCGATTGCTAAAATTACCTGAAACTGGGAATGCGATTTCGGCTCGAGGTAATAAAAATGAAAAACAAAGTGATTCCGGTTGGATTCCAAAAAAACCATGCGAAATCAGAACCACTAATTATAAGATATATGCAGAAATTTTGAAACTAATTTTTCGAAATCTTAACTCCTTAATTGTTGACATTATAGGTTGCTCACACTTTATTACTTAGATAAAACAACATTCGACATATGTACTAGAATCTTTAATCTAAAAAATGAAAGAATCAAGACTTCTCAGAAAAGGTTTTATTTCTTCCCATTTATCTATGACTGTACGGTTGCGGTTCGCGTTCTTTTGGAACCGCCGAATTCTAAAAAATCTATGCCACAATTGAATATGAATATTAGTACAATAGACACATGGTGCTTGATGATATAAAACCAATAACTGAATTACGGCTATTCACACATCAATTCATATCTTTTTCTTTACCTTTGGATCTTCCTTTTGGAAGGAATAGTTTGCACCACATGTAATCAATAGCTAAAGATAAGTTGTTTTAGGCTTACAATACAAGCCGATAGATTTGTTTGGATGAGCTAATGCAACAAAGAATTTTATCCTAAATGGCAGGGCTCGAAATGGGCCGATTCTCCGTAGTTCGAATCGACTAAAAATGGCTCAGATATTGTGTAGGCCCGCCCCGCCCGATTCACGTTTAGCTCAGCCCGGCCTAACAGGCCCAAAGGATATTTCCTTTATCAAAATTTCTTTCCCAATATAATCTAGGTATTACTTCGTTGTTTTACTATGTGTCACACATTTTCTGTATACATAATTCTGGATATACAAGCTACTGTTTTTAACTAAACTTTCCTTGCTTTTTTCTACTTCAACTTTTGTCATTGTCCAAGCACATGATCGGTAAATAACTTTTATCATTTCCCCTTGACTAAAATTGTAGTTAAGTAATGCATGAGTTTAGAGGTGTTACTGAATAGTCTTGCTTGTAAATTTACTTGATCAGAAGATTCGAAGGCGAACACAAGAATCAATCACTTGATACTTGTACTGCAATATGTATGCTTAATTTTTATGGCATTATAAAGTTTCAGGAAACTTCTTTAGTGATGGAACATTTTTCATTTCAATATCTTCAGTTTTCTTTCCATTTAATTTTTCAAAAGATTCCTATTTACAATGGAAAGAAATATAAAAACGGCCATTAATTGCAACTGTTTTAGATTGTTCTGACTCTATTAATGAGACATTCTAATTTGTTGTATAGCATGAGAGCATCGAATTCAGGTAAACATAACGACAAGCTATTGTCGAATGAAGCATAAATATTCTTATCTAGAGCTTTACCATGCGGACTTCTTTTCATTTTTCGAACGTTATCATTTGTCAAAAGCAAACAGATACTCTTCTTCATCACTCATAAATTTACTTGAAATTCAGAAGTATACCTATCAAACTAAAATCTTTTTTTATAAGTTATTCAACAATCATGTGTGAATTATGCAGTAACGTCAAAAATAGTTTTTTCGTAAAAAAGGTTATTTCTCCAATAATGATACTAGCCAATATTTGTTTAACCATCTATTTCATCGTTTCTAATGCACAACATTATGAGAAATATAAAGAACGTGATTCGTACGTAGTATATCACGTTGCAAATACAAGCTCGGACTACTATATTATCCGAGCAAACATGAATGATACTGTAAATTGTTCATCGAATGCTCTGTTTACTTTTGATGTTTCAACTGTATACAAAAATATTATTAGCAAGGAAGGACGACAAAACCTTCTGTTTATTACTGTCTACTGGCTAAGTACAATTGTTGCTGTACTTATTAGTATATTCGATATCATTTTGGCATTGATAGATCAATGCATGCAGCATCATATAGATTATGAAAATGTCGAAGAGAATGAATTGTTTGCTAAGACATTGCTCACTTCAATTGGCTCTCAATTTCTTCAAAAAGGATCATTCATTTTCCCTACCTATTTTATCAATATTTTTGACTATACAAAATTGTGTCTACCACATCATACCAAAGCATCATTATTTATCCTTCATCATACTTATATCGGTATTGTTATATCATTATGCGGTATGGGCTATTTAATACTGTGGACATTCGCTTGCTGGGATTCAAGCCGCCACAAATATTTCAATGACATTATATGGGTGAAGTGTATTGAAATTCTAACTTGTCGTCATGAACGAGCAGCGGTAATATTTTTTATTATTTTGTGTTTGGCTGTTCTTCCAATAGGTTCATACGGTATGTTTGTATGGGTAACATCTTTGATGGAATTCGCTGTGATGACAAAAGCAGTGTTGATAGGCTTTAATTTCATTCTAGGAGTCCTTCATGACATAATAAAACTTTGTAAACATTATTGACACTTCCATTTAACAATTGATGAGAGATCTAAATAGTTATTTTTTATTCAGTTTTAGTTGAATGAACTTGTTAGTGGAGTTAATCTTAAAATACTAAAAATAAGATTACCTTTGTAATGATCCTCAAGTGTTGCATAGTACTTCGTATTCAATATAGAATGAGATATTCTTTCTAAGTTAAGTATAGAGATTACCTGTTAGATTTTACTGCTACTGGAACCTAAAACAGACAGATGTAACGAAAATAGAAGGGTATATTTATAAATAATATTTCAATTGGAATGAGTTCAACCTGCCGATGATATATATACGTATATATTGATTTTAATTATCGTTTTATTCTATTATCCATTTTTCCAAACAATTTTTGTGAATGATACGAGAAAGAAAAAGTTTTGTTCTATGCAATAATACACATAGGCGGTCCGATTAATTGTGAGGATCGTTCATCTATTGACCAATGGAATTTTATTTGAATGAATCGGCATAGACATCGTCTACGTTGAACAGCATTTCAAACAATTTTTGATCTAGACAGAATGCAACAATTGACTTTGCTTTGTACGATTTGATTTATTATTTTTATTCCTTTTTTGATGTGTTATATATAGTTTTTGGTTCGTATGATTTGATAGAAGAAAAATAAAGGAATAGTCTTACATATATGCATCCTAAAAGAAACCTGCAAAATTTTTTCATGCTATCAATCCACCAGTGTCCATCGATAGTATTTCTTCAATGTTCAACCAGAATCGGTAATCTTTGAATAATATTTCATATCCACTTCAATAAAGAATAAGAAATTGATTTTTATATTTATACAAGATTACAAAACTAGGCCTGTTCACAATTTGTTTTTCTTTACATGTAGCAATATTCTTCTTAATTTGTCAAAATGGTCTCGGTGAATGTGTTCGTTTCTTGTACCTTATTCTATTTGATTGATGTTTTCAGCCATAACAATAATTAGAAAAATGAAAAGGAAGACGATTTACATTTTTTAAAGTTTATATTTCGCATTTAGAAAAAGATCAATATTGAAAATAAAACGAGCTTTGAATTTCCACATGAAAGTCTCGAATGTACATTATTAATAAATAGCGATGTCTCATGAGAATCAACGTTCTAAATTCCTGGTAATAGTGAAATAATGAAGTAAAATTAAGTTTCTCGAATTTCTCATCCGTCACTCCTTGACGAGCGACAATAACTGGTGTTTTTGTATCAGTATCATCATTAATATCAATCTTCTTTGGTCTATAAAGGTACCAATATGTAAAACCAACAAAAAATGATCCTCCTACAATATTTCCAAGCGTGACTGGTATCATTATACATGAAATATATTTTCCAACGGATCAATTAGCTCCAAACATCATTCCCATTTGAACTAAAAACATATTGGCAATGGAGTGTTCATATTCAGCAGAAACAACAAGTCAAATTCACAGAAAAATACCAAGTACTTTTGAATGGAAATCACGTGAAGTTATTGCCAACCATACTGCAAGACACACAAGCCAATTACCAGCGATACCTCTTAAAAACATTTGATGCCATGGAATGCTACTCTTTATTTCAGTGATTTTCAAAGTATACGCACGATAAGGATCAGTGGAAAGAAGACCAGCATACTAGATGAACATTCCCTGATAAAATAGAGTGCCGACAAGATTCCCAAAGTAAGAAACTACCCATGAAATAATAAGATCAAGCCATCTTGTTTTTTATGCAATGTAGATATTGTAAATACCATTGTATTGCCAGTAAAAAACTCAGCACCAGTATTCATAATCAAAACTAAACCAATAGGAAATACAGCGGCTTGTACCATTTTTTGTATGCCAGGTCCAAGATTTTGGGCCAATGGAGCACTACCATCACCAACGATAATGAGAAAACGTCCACTGAATGATATAAAAACACCAGCTAGCATTGATTTGATGAACAATTTATCAGGTGATTGTTTTGCTTTTTGAATTCCCATAGAGGACATAAGTTCAGTTGTATCCGAAACACTGTGAATATCATACATTATCGTAAGAATTAGGATTAGTCTCGCTCTAATATCTAGAAAAAATATATCTATTAATTTATTTTTATTAAAATAAAATGCCTAAATACTCTAAGGTACTTATTTCTATTCCATTAGACGAAGAATATATTCGATATTGAACTACATATATTCGCTTATTGATGTAGACGTGAAACATGACAGAAAATCAACGGGGAAAAAGCGGCTCCTGGTGGCTCCTGATGGATTCTAGAATCCACCAGGAGCCGTAGATTCCACCAGGATCCATAGAATCCACCAGAATCCACCCGGATCCATTTTGATTAGTGAATTTATATCAATATTTTAAACAATTTTCAGCTGCTAAAGAAAACAACGAGACTCATATATGTCGGATCTATATGACTTTGATCGAGTTTTGAAAAACGTTA